GGTCTGAATCAGGGGTCACCGATTCGTGTTTTTGCAGGTTTTCAAGCGAACCCAAAAGGAATCAACACTTGTTAAATATATTGATTTGGGGCGAGGGGGGAAACTGGAGGAAATCCCCGAATGAATGGAGGTTGTTCTTGGGGCCTCACTTTTTCGGCTGTCCGGTTTCCAGAAAGGAAGCCGCCAGGCTGCAGGGTCAATCATTTTGAGACACACCGTGGATGGACGAAATCCATTTCGCACCTGATTGATTCGATTTCCCTGTAAATACCAACAATCCCTGGGAGCCCCGAGACCTCATATATGAAGGCTTTCTGTTCGAGACCTGCGCTGGGAGGCACCTCTAGACAAGACCCTGAAAAATGAGGTCTCGGAATTAGATAGCTCAGAGGGGGCCAAGGCCTGAATATAAAGGCCTCAGGTTGACGGATCCACTGGTAGGTCAGGTGCCCTCTCCCTGCCTGTGTTCAGAGCAAAGAATGCGATATGAGTATTTGTTGATCATGCAAAACCGCAAGATTGTCAAACCAGACTGTGTACTTTTCCCCATGAAGACAGCCAGGCTTGACACTAAACCACTTTCCAGACAAGTTTCCCACTGCAACACTGATGGATGCCGGCCAAAGCAAAAACAAAGACAACAACATTTCCTAGGCTGAAGAATGGCTTTTCGATAGGAGCGCAGGCCAAAATTAAAGCGCGTTAAAATGCGTTAAAATGAACCCCCCGAGGCCTATATAACGAGGCCTCGAGTTAAATCGCGTTAAAACACGTTAAACCGAGTTAAATGCGTTAAAACGAGTTAAAATGCCTTAAGCCACGTAACTCAGATCATAGCATTCCAATTCAATGCCTGAACAGGTGCGAGGACAAATGCACAGAGCTGAGCCTAGTGCAAACTTGCATGAACTGCATAGCTTGCTTGTGTGCAATACAATGTGTCAGTGGTTCCTAGGATTAAGTCGATTCGAGATCTTCATGTACTGGCTGCCTGATCACAGTTGTCTGCGACATTTGGGCCTGACAAAGCCGCGAGAAAACAAAACCAAAAAAAAAAAAGTCCTCGTGGGGCATGCCGCTGTCAACTCTTCCCAATTTTCTGAGACCCTATATTTTAAGGTCCCGACCCCGAGACCCTGAAATTAGAGGCTTTGGCTGAGACCTTCACATATGAGGTCCTGGGCTCCTGGGGAATGGCTTCAACCACATTTTGAAAGTGGTGCAGGATTTCGTCCATCCACAGTAATTATGCAGAAGCTTTGTTCGAGCCAAGCGGCCCAGATGTGGGGTTCCTGATGCTGCTTGACCCGACTTCTCGCTTTCAATCGATGGGACACGTCCATGGAAAAGCAGGACTCTAGGAGCCACCCTTCCCGCACCCAGGGGCCCGCCCCAAGTGCACTTTCTGATAGGGTCCCAAACTTCTCACATATATATATATATATATATACATATAAATAGGTAGTGTTTGGCTTCTGTTGGTTGCTCTTCAACACCAAGCAAAAATGGGCTTCTAAACAAGCAAGACCCAACTGTCACACCGTATTCGGACAAGCAACACTCGTCCAACTCTCTCTTGCAAGCCCCTGTTCGCCAAGTACAAAATGCGGAGCCCCTTCAACACTCGGCCCCTAGAGGTGCGGTGCAACAGGACCCTTCATTGCAAATAATTGCAATCACAACCCAAGGAACTAGAGTCGACTCTTGACATGATGCAGAATTAGACAACATGACGGAGCAACCTGCAGAAACCAACAAAGCTCCTCCAAAGGTAGTCCCAAAGTAGGTGCGCTCGGATGGTTTGCTCGCGCTCTGAGCCCACCCCCACCCAGCCCCCGAACCAGCGCCACCGTGAGCCGTGAGGCCCCAGCCACCCGCTGCCGCAGCTCAGCTGCCAGACCTGGGCTGCGGCGCTTGCCGGGAGGAGAGGGTGGATGGAGAAAGGGGGGGCGGGGGGAAGGAAAGATATTACATTGCAAACGTGTACATGTCACCAAATGAACAAAAAGACTCCATGGTTCTCTCTCTTGATTGATTTAAATGGGTTTGAGACGACATACTTGATTGCATTGCCAAATTTCAAAGAGGCAAGCTGTGTCGAACCAAGCGTAGAATAATTGAACACTGCAACAAACAAGACTAATCTCGAACAATACCTGCCTGATCCTGCTTGCAGAAAATTGGCAACTCACTATAGAGACTCTATTTTGGGACGAATTCAACCAGGACGTCTAGGCGAAACCTGTGGATGGGCCCTTTGCAGACCAGTACAGCCTGAGCCAACCAAAAATCAAGCCTGACTGCCATATAACGCAAGGGTGCCAAAGGTTGGGCGGCAAGGGTGGGACTAGCGCAGGGGTGAGTCAAGCAGGGCATGCGGCTAGTTGTTGATCCCTTCCAAAAGCTCAACGTTTGCCAGTGGCGAAGCCAAATCGTTCCACATGCTAGATGCTTAAAGCTTAAAAGGGTTAAGAACAAACTTGCGTCCAACAAGTAAAATGGTTCAGGGCCAAACCGAAGAGCAAATCGCTTTGCAGCCGTTCAACACCTGGGTGGTTGTTGGAACCCCGCATTACATCATTTGCCTGGTGGTTTCTGTGTCAAATCGCAATGGCCCCACCGTGCTCCTGAAAGCGACCCAATCGCGGCTTTTGCACATGCGGCTTCTACTTCCCAGGCCTCTTTTCGCAGGTTATCGGCGCGGCAACGTCTTCTCAGGCCTTGCTCTTCCCCTTCTCTCCTTTCGCCAAGCCTGCCCCTGCCCCTTTTCGCGAATGACTCAAACTCCTCATGTTTGCCAGGAATTCTCTCAGGCCTTCTTACTCTTCCCCTTCTTTCCTTTCGCTGCCATGCCCTGAGATGCCATCTCCTTCCGCTGCTTGAGCCAGGCCACGGCTTTCGCGAAGGCCTTCTCGAGCTCCGCCTCCGAGTGGTCCAGGGGCTTGAAGCCCGCCAACCCTGGTTCTGACGGTCCCAAAAAACACCGAGGAACGGCACCTTGGGCTGGAAGACCCGCAACTCATCCCGGGAGGCACAGGCCTTCACAGTGCGCTGCAAGCCGTGGAGCTCCCGCAGCTGCAGGGCTCTCGCCTCCGCCTCGGCCTTCTCCTTGAAGTAGCCGCCTTGGATTCTCCTTCCGCCGGCCTTGGGGATCACTACCTGCCACTTCTTGCTCGCCTTTGCAAATTTCACCCCGGGCACGTCGGAGGTGAGGCTCTCGTCCCGGAGCTTCTCCTTGATGCGGCCCTGGGCCACCAGCTGCGCGCGGAAGGCCTTGGCGGCCTCCAGGGCGGCAGCCTCAGCTTCCGCCTCGTTGAGGCCATCCTTCATGAAGCCGCTGGCGCTGAAATTTTGGATGTGGCGAGCAGCTTCTCCCCCTGTTTGGCCTTTCTCAGTCCATCTGAGCTGCCAACGGAAGCTGCTTGAATCCCAACTAATGCCAGGAACCCCACTCTGCTTCTCCTGCTGTTTGGACAGAACCCGCGCCGGCTTCACCCCGTGGTTTGGGACAGCTGGCACTAGACTCGCATTTTGGCCAGGCGCAGCTCTGTCGACAGGCCGGGGCTGCTCCAAAGCTGCAGCTGGCTGCTCGGCCGTGCCAATAGACTCCCAGACCTGGACGCCTTTCATGGCGTCCGCACCACCTGCAGAGGACATGCGCCTTGGGCCGCTCTGCTCATCGTAGGCCCAGCCGCGGCCAGCCCAGATGTTGCTGGGCAGGTCCCGCATCCAGGGCCACATCTTCATGCACGCCGCGCCGCTGGCCGGTAAGCCTGCTTCCTCTTGCGCGGCTGCCGAAGCGGCCGCAGCACCTCGCCAAGCCAAACATTAGCGACATGACACAGCATCGCTTGCAACACAAAACTTCGGTGATGAATGTTGGTCTTCAAATGTCCAACCTCCAGCTGACTAAAACAACCAATGGTTCGCGGGGAAAAAGTAATGTTCCAAACAACTAATTAAGTGGCAAAATGTGACATCACCAGCTACCAAAATCACCTGCACTATCAGAGATGCCACAAACAGTGCTTCATGCTCAATCAGGTCTAACCCTCTTGACCGGGCATCCACTACTTGATGCCCAAACAAGTCCAGCCCCCTTGCAAAGTTTGACGCATGCCCGCCCAGCCTGAGACCCCGCGTGTTGGGACCTTTGCCGTTGGGCCAGTCTGCAGTGGAGCGCAAAAAGCAGGATGTCCACGCTCGAAGAACCGCCGCAAGCAACACAGCTCCTTCCGGGACAAGCGCTGCACGCAGGGCGGGTCCTTCTCCTGTGGCGCCACCGGGTTGCTGAAGAAGACGTTCGCCGGACAGCAGGGCCTGCGAATGGAAACGACGAGGCATGCTGAGACCGTGCGTTTCAAACACCTGGATGCAGTAAAGTGCGAGCCTCACCATTGACATCTAATTAAATGATGGTTTAAGTTGGAAACCATCTCCCAAAAGTCATTGTGACAAGTCTCCTTTTAGGGGCCCTAAACCGAGCTTCTTCTTGAAATCCCAGGCCTTGTGGGCATCCAAGTGGCCCTCTTCCGGAACTCAGCGCATTGTCGGGCCCGCAAAGCCACCTGCTCCTCAAACTGCGGCGGGGCCGGCTTGCCATCGGCAGGGTCGGTCCGTTGAGGGCGAGCCTCTGCTGAGGAGCCCGGCTCCACTTTCACCACGCCAGCGGTTGAGGCGTCTGGCAGACTTCCCAGCTCCACCTTCACCTTCTCCAGCTTGGTGACGGATCCTCCTGCTTGGGGCTCAGCCTTCACAGCGCTGCCCGTGCTGGTGGTTGGTACGATAGCTTCACTGCCGACCTGGCTCAGGGAAAGCATTGCAGTGTCTGCAGCGGCAAATGTTGACATCAACGCATAACACTGCGTCTCAAGATTGTCTCAAGATGCCCCAAACTAGCTTTGTGAACAAACACTATACTATACTGACTAAATACTGGCAACCATATGCAGTTCCCTGCTACGGTCACGGAGCTTTGGCTGCCAGCATTCATCCCCAGCCTGGTGGCTGCTCTCTGCATGCTCCTCTTTGACCACCATGCCTGCTTCGATCTTGTCCATCGACTGCGCTTCTTCTTTGACCTCCTGCTTCACCTGCAGCCAAAAGCTGTGCAAGTCAAGGCCCTCCTCTTTCATTCCAATCTTCCCGCAGGCGTCGGCCACGTTTTGGCCCACCTGCATGTCGTGACGGCGAAGGCGCGGACGCTTTACGGGCTGAACGGAATCCTCGCCTGGCTGACGAAGCTCTTTCTTGATTGGAGACTCGAGCTTGATGCCGGGCACGTCTCCAACCTGCTCCGCATTCTCCTCCTTGATCTTTTCCACCTTCATGCCTGCCGTGCCGCCCACGTGGAGCGGAACAATTGGCATGAAAGCGTTCCGGTCGTGGCAATGCTCCAGTTGAGCTCAAAATGCTGCGACAAGCGTGCCAGGATACTCATCCCTCCGAATAACTACCACGCGCATTCCAGAATGCCGATGCAACCGCTGAAGTCGTGCAACTGGTGCTGCTCTTAAACTCTCCGAAAAAAGACAAAATGAAAGAACCAAAAACTGGACAGCAGGATAGCATCAAGTGCGCATTTCCCTACATCTGACTTCTTCCTCCTGCGTGGGGAGCGTGACATGCATGCGACATCTGAGCTGGCCGCTCAAGTCGGAAGAAGGCCTGACGAGCGTCCGGCGGGTCCGACGTCTCTCACGGGCTTAAACCCGGCCAACACGTTCTCTCATGCAAACTCCGAAGCCAAACGCGTCCATCATCCGGAAATCGCAAATGAACAGTTTCTGCTTCTGAAACAAGCAATTGTATCACTCCACTCAACCACCTGGCTCGACCCTAGGCTGTTACTCCAGCCGGTTCCAGCGGATCAATTCAGCAATCGATTTGGTTTCACCGTGCTGCACGGACGCTCACCGGCTTGTTCGCTATTCCCGGCGGGCGGAGAACATCCCCGACCAAACAGGATGCTGCTCTCCAGAAGGGCCGAATGATTCTCGTATGAAACGCACGACAACAAATCTTGGTTTGCAATGCTCTCCTTTTGAAGCCATGCCTCCAAAAAAAGTCCGCGGCTCTATCAAAAGGATGGCTTCATTCTTAAAGCATGGCACTGCCTGGGTTCCGCGGTGACCCTCGCAGAACGAAGAGAACCACTTCTTCTTGTGGCCAACCCGTTTCTTTCGTGGGGATCCCACTAAACAATGGGATGATCATCAAATTTAAGCTGGGAGACCTGAGCGACCAACTTGACTTCTGTTTTTTTGGGTGGGGCTTCTGTTGAACTACAACGGTCGCAAGCCGTTTCGCCCGGACCCTCCGAAAGGCCCCTCGAAACCATGGTCCCCGGCAAATGAGTGTGGCCTGTGTTCCCAAAGGAGCTCCCAAATGCATGCCAACTGGCAACCAGAACGACCATCTCAAATACCAACCCAGGCATTACTGCAGCCTACAAGGACTTCCAGGAAAGCGGGGCTGGTGTTCCTTAACAATCTTTTTCGCTTTGCGGGCAGGATGCTTTGGTGCCTTGCAAAGAATCACCCCTGTACGCATCTTTCCCCCAAAGCACGCCCAACGCACATAGAAGGTGGCGTACCCCGACAAGCCTGCAAAACCGACAGGGGGCTATGCCTAAAACAAACTGGCAATGTCCGTTGCTCTCCGAGGGTTCCCCAGTCCAAAGGAGCCGCAGGGGGACAAATTCGATAATTCGATTGCCCGAGTAAACAACGAGGATGAAACGAGAGGACGCCAAAGATGAATACAGCAAAGCAAAGATTGGGAGTGGTTCCACTGCTCGCGGATTTGCGAGGCCGCAATCGCACCCCCTGCCATGTCTGGACGGTTCCAAACAATGCCTCGCCAAAGTAAGTGAACCGAAAGGAGAAAAACAACACAACGCAACACCTGCAAAGGGAGCTTCTGACCAAGTCGCTCTTCAGGTGGCCAGCCACATGGTTTCCTGGCAGCTCGGTACTTGACCAACCTCAAATAGTGTGGCTATCCATGAAAACGCGGTTTTGCCGAGCTCCAATCAGGAACCCGCTGTTGCAAGGCCGTTCCCAGGTGTCAAGCAAAAACGATACATGCTGGCAATGACTGTTGCCCTTTAAAATCAACATCCGTTTGAAACAAAAAACAACTTATGAACATCACAAAGCTCCTTGTGCAAGTCCAAGCTGAGGAATTCGCCCCCGCCCCCCTCCCCCAGGTCGCAATCATGGACGGCAGTCACCCCCCCACCGCCCAGACCCGGGTCGCCTGGTAGCTCGCAACTCCTGGCGGCTTTGTTTCATGCGGATGGCAATGTGTATATGTCTATTATTTGTTTTGATGGGTGTTTTCTAACTGTCTTCCCTCATTTGTTGGAATACGGTCCTTGTGTAGTGAATCGTAACATGTAAAATTATGCGAGAGGAAGACGCGCTAGAGGTTAGACACATACTTACCGGATGACATTGAGCTGGTTAAGCAACTTCCGCGTGGGGCGCGCACGCTTCAACTTGTTTGACCAGTCTTCCCGGTTCAACCCACAGACTGCTTAAGCAAGAGTGTGCATATTCCTATACAAAACCCTAGGCCCACTGCAACTCATGACGGGCAGTTTCTGGTTCCACCACAAGCCCCCCCCCCCGCTCACCCCCACCGCCCCACCTACCTAGCACGGTCGGCTTTGGGCTGAGCAACGGGTCGGCCCCAAACGCAGCTCCTGCAGTTCCGACTCCATCTGCCGCTGCTTGGCTTCCATCGCCTGGACCTGCGCCTCAGCGTCACGGCGTCACGCCCCGCCATCCGTTTTGTAGGTCTGAATCAGGGGTCACCGATTCGTGTTTTTGCAGGTTTTCAAGCGAACCCAAAAGGAATCAACACTTGTTAAATATATTGATTTGGGGCGAGGGGGGAAACTGGAGGAAATCCCCGAATGAATGGAGGTTGTTCTTGGGGCCTCACTTTTTCGGCTGTCCGGTTTCCAGAAAGGAAGCCGCCAGGCTGCAGGGTCAATCATTTTGAGACACACCGTGGATGGACGAAATCCATTTCGCACCTGATTGATTCGATTTCCCTGTAAATACCAACAATCCCTGGGAGCCCCGAGACCTCATATATGAAGGCTTTCTGTTCGAGACCTGCGCTGGGAGGCACCTCTAGACAAGACCCTGAAAAATGAGGTCTCGGAATTAGATAGCTCAGAGGGGGCCAAGGCCTGAATATAAAGGCCTCAGGTTGACGGATCCACTGGTAGGTCAGGTGCCCTCTCCCTGCCTGTGTTCAGAGCAAAGAATGCGATATGAGTATTTGTTGATCATGCAAAACCGCAAGATTGGCAAACCAGACTGTGTACTTTTCCCCATGAAGACAGCCAGGCTTGACACTAAACCACTTTCCAGACAAGTTTCCCACTGCAACACTGATGGATGCCGGCCAAAGCAAAAACAAAGACAACAACATTTCCTGGGCTGAAGAATGGCTTTTCGATAGGAGCGCAGGCCAAAATTAAAGCGCGTTAAAATGCGTTAAAATGAACCCCCCGAGGCCTATATAACGAGGCCTCGAGTTAAATCGCGTTAAAACACGTTAAACCGAGTTAAATGCGTTAAAACGAGTTAAAATGCCTTAAGCCACGTAACTCAGATCATAGCATTCCAATTCAATGCCTGAACAGGTGCCAGGACAAATGCACAGAGCTGAGCCTAGTGCAAACTTGCATGAACTGCATAGCTTGCTTGTGTGCAATACAATGTGTCAGTGGTTCCTAGGATTAAGTCGATTCGAGATAATCATGTACTGGCTGCCTGATCACAGTTGTCTGTGACATTTGGGCCTGACAAAGCCACGAGAAAACAAAACCAAACAAAAAAAAACGTCCTCGTGGGGCATGCCGCTGTCAACTCTTCCCAATTTTCTGAGACCCTATATTTTAAGGTCCCGACCCTGAGACCCTGAAATTAGAGGCTTTGGCTGAGACCTTCACATATGAGGTCCTGGGCTCCTGGGGAATGGCTTCAACCACATTTTGAAAGTGGTGCAGGATTTCGTCCATCCACAGTAATTATGCAGAAGCTTTGTTCGAGCCAAGCGGCCCAGATGTGGGGTTCCTGATGCTGCTTGACCCGACTTCTCGCTTTCAATCGATGGGACACGTCCATGGAAAAGCAGGACTCTAGGAGCCACCCTTCCCGCACCCAGGGGCCCGCCCCAAGTGCACTTTCTGATAGGGTCCCAAACTTCTCACATATATATATACATATATATATATATATACATAAATAGGTAGTGTTTGGCTTCTGTTGGTTGCTCTTCAACACCAAGCAAAAATGGGCTTCTAAACAAGCAAGACCCAACCGTCACACCGTATTCGGACTAGCAACACTCGTCCAACTCTCTCTTGCAAGCCCCTGTTCGCCAAGTACAAAATGCGGAGCCCCTTCAACACTCGGCCCCTAGAGGTGCGGTGCAACAGGACCCTTCATTGCAAATAATTGCAATCACAACCCAAGGAACTAGAGTCGACTCTTGACATGATGCAGAATTAGACAACATGACGGAGCAACCTGCAGAAACCAACAAAGCTCCTCCAAAGGTAGTCCCAAAGTAGGTGCGCTCGGATGGTTTGCTCGCGCTCTGAGCCCACCCCCACCCAGCCCCCGAACCAGCGCCACCGTGAGCCGTGAGGCCCCAGCCACCCGCTGCCGCAGCTCAGCTGCCAGACCTGGGCTGCGGCGCTTGCCGGGAGGAGAGGGAGAAAGGGGGGGCGGGGGGAAGGAAAGATATTACATTGCAAACGTGTACATGTCACCAAATGAACAAAAAGACTCCATGGTTCTCTCTCTTGATTGATTTAAATGGGTTTGAGACGACATACTTGATTGCATTGCCAAATTTCAAAGAGGCAAGCTGTGTCGAACCAAGCGTAGAATAATTGAACACTGCAACAAACAAGACTAATCTCGAACAATACCTGCCTGATCCTGCTTGCAGAAAATTGGCAACTCACTATAGAGACTCTATTTTGGGACGAGTTCAACCAGGACGTCTAGACGAAACCTGTGGATGGGCCCTTTGCATACCGGTACGACCCCACTAAAACCCAAGCCAAACTTCACAATCACATGACCCAAGGGTGGCCAAGGGATGGCAAGGGAGGGACTGGCGCAGGGGTGACTCAAGTAGGGCAGTAGGGCGGTTGGTTAGTCTTTGGTCCCTTCCAGAAGCTCAACCTTTGCTGGTGGCGAAGCCAAATCGTTCCACATGCTAGATGCTGAAAGCTTAAAAGGGTTAAGAACAAACTTGCGTCCAACAAGTAAAATGGTTCAGGGCCAAACCGAAGTGCAAATCGCTTTGCTGTCGTTCAACATCCGGGTGGTTGTTGCAACCCCGCATTACATCATTTGCCTGGTGGTTTCTGTGCTCCTGAAAGCTACCCAATCATCGCGGCTTTTGCACATGCGACTTCTACTTCCCAGGCCTGCTCTTTTCGCAGGTGTATTGGCGCGGCATGCAGCGTCTTCTCACGCCTTCTTGCTCTGCCCCTTCTTTCCTTTCGCTGCCATGCCCTGGGATGCCATCTCCTTCCGCTGCTTCTTGAGCCAGGCCACGGCTTTCGCGAAGGCCTTCTCCAGCTCCGCCTCCGAGTGGTCCAGGGGCTTGAAGCCTCCTTGCTTCCGATTCTTTCCCCCCGTGTCAGCCCGCCAACCCTGGTTCTGACGGTCCCAAAAAACACCGAGGAACGGCACCTTGGGCTGGAAGACCGGGAGCTGCGCCACCGCGGCAGCGTGCTCCTCCCGGGAGACGGAGGCCTTCACGGAGCGCTGCAGGCCGTGGAGCTCCCGCAGCTGCAGGGCCCTGGCCTCCGCCTCGGCCTTCTCCTTGAAGTAGCCGCCTTGGATTCTCCCTCCGCCGGGCTTGGGGATTTCGACCCGCCACTTCTTGCTCGCCTTTGCAAATTTCACCCCGGGCACGTCGGAGGTGAGGCTCTCGTCCCGGAGCTTCTCCTTGATGCGGCCCTGGGCCACCAGCTGGGCGCGGAAGGCCTTGGCGGCCTCCAGGGCGGCAGCCTCAGCTTCCGCCTCGTTGAGGCCATCCTTCATGAAGCTGCTGGCGCTGAAATTTTGGATGTGGCGAGCAGCTTCTCCTCCTTTTTGGCCTTTCTCAGTCCATTGGAGCTGCCAGCAAAAGTTTCTTTTCTGCCAGCTGATGCCAGGAACACCACTCTGCTTCTCCTGCTGTTTGGCCAGCACCTTCGCAGGCTTCACGCTGTGGTTTGGGGCAGCTGGCACTGGACTCGCACTTTGGCTAGGCGCAGCTCTGTCGACAGGCCGCGGCTGCTCCAAAGCTGCAGCTGGCTGCTCGGCCGTGCCAATGGACTCCCAGACCTGGACGCCTTTCATGGCGTCCGCACCACCTGAGGAGGACAAGCGCCTTGGGCCGCTCTGCTCATCGTAGGCCCAGCCGCGGCCAGCCCAGATGTTGCTGGGCAGGTCCCGCATCCAGGGCCACATCTTCATGCATGCCGCGCCGCTGGCCGGTAAGCCTGCTTCCTCTTGCGCGGCTGCCGAAGCGGCCGCAGCTCCTCGCCAAGCCAAACATTCGCGACATGACACAGCATCGCTTGCAACACGAAACTTCGGTGATGAATGTTGGTCTTCAAATGTCCAACCTCCAGCTGACTAAAACAACAAATGGTTCGTGGGGAAAAAGTCATGTTCCAAACAACTAATTGGCAAAATGTGACATCACCAGCTACCAAAATCACTTGCACTATCAGAGATGCCACAAACAGTGCTTCATGCTCAATCAGGTCTAACCCTCTTGACCGGGCATCCACTACTTGATGCCCAAACAAGTCCAGCCCCCTTGCAAAGTTTGACGCATGCCCGCCCAGCCTGAGACCGCGCGTTTTGGGACCTTTGCCGTTGGGCCAGTCTCCCGTGCAGCGGAAAAAACGGGATGTCCACGCTCGAAGAACCGCCGCAGGCAGCTCAGCTCCTTCTGGGACAAGCGCTGCACGCAGGGCGGGTCCTTCTCCTGTGGCGCCACCGGGTTGCTGAAGAAGACGTTCGCCGGACAGCAGGGCCTGCGAATGGAAACGACGAGGCATGCTGAGACCGTGCGTTTCAAGGACCTGGATCCAGTAAAGTGCGAGCCTCACCATTGACATGAACTGAGTTGAAAACCATCTCCCAAGAGTCATATTGAAACCCTTCAACATGTCCACTTTCAGAGGCCCTAAACCGAGCTTCTTCTTGAAATCCCAGGCCTTGTGGGCATCCAAGTGGCCCTCTTCCGGAACTCGGCGCATTGTCGGGCCCACAAAGCCACCTGCTCCTCAAACTCCGGCGGGGCCGGCTTGCCATCGGCAGGGTCGGTCCGTTGAGGGCGAGCCTCTGCTGAGGAGCCCGGCTCCACTTTCACCACGCCAGCGGTTGAGGCCTCTGGCAATCTTGCCGGCTCCATTTTCACCTTCTCCAGCTTGGAGACGGATCCTCCTGCTTGGGGCTCAGCCTTCACGGTGATTGGGGCAACAGCTTCACTTCCGACCTGATGCAGGGAAAGCATCGAAGCATCAGCAAATGTTGACATCAAGGCATGGCAAACAGCGTACGTCCCAAAATTCGGCAATCTGCTCTGCATTTTCCCAAATATCCGTAGCTTCTTCAAGGCAGTTTGGAGTCCAACCACTTTATTGACAGTAAACAAAGTGGCAAACAAGCATTCCCTGCCACGTTCATGCAGGCGTAGCTTTGGCTGCCATTCGAATGGATCATGCCCAGCCTGGTGGCTTCTCTCTGCATGCTCCTCTTTGACCGCCATGCCCGCTTCGATCTTGCACACCCCAGCGTCCTTTGTGAAGCAGCCTTCCATCAGGCTTTCCTCATCCATCGACTGCGCTTCTTCTTTGACCTCCTGCTTCACCTGCAGCCAGAAGCCGTGCAAGTCACCTCCCTCCTCTTTTGCTCCAATCTTCCCGCAAGCGGCGTCCACATGCTGGCCCACATGCATGTCGTGACGGCGAAGGCGCCGACGCTTCACCGGCTGAACGGAATCCTCGCCTGGCTGGCAAAGCTCTTTCTTGATTGGAGACTCGAGCTTGATGCCGGGCGCGAGTCCAACCTGCTCCGAAATCTCCTCCTTGATCTTCTCCACCTTCATGCCTGCCGCGCCGCCCACGTGGAGCGGAAAATCTGGCACGAAGCTTTCCGGTCGTGGCAATGCTCCAGTGGAGCTCAAACTGCTGCGACAAGCGTGCAAGGCTACAGTTCAAACATGCAATGACAGCACGTCCCATGCCAAGGCTTTTCAACTCTCCTAGCAATTAACATGCCGATGCAACTGCTGAAGTCATTAAACACAAAAAACATTCAGCGTGCCAGACTTCACAGCGTGCCAGAGGTGATGCCACCCCGAAAAAGACTGGGTGCCACCTGCGCATGTCCCGACCTCTGACTTCCTGGTGGGAGCCCGTCACATCCGACCTCTGAGCCGGCCGCGGTCCGAAGCAGGCCTGGCGGGCGTCCGGGTCGGTCCCGGGGAAATCGCAAGAGGTGTATGAAACGATCCATCTAATCCAGAACTCCCAAAAAAAGCTCTCTCTCACCTAAACTCCAAAACCAAAAAACACGTTGGTCATAAAACAGAAACATGAATCACTCAGGACGCCTGTTGAATGGGTTTGACCAGGCTGGCGCACTGCTCAGGGCGAAATGACTGGCACATGAGATGGCGGTAACAGCAACGATATCCAGGCTCCCACGACTCTTCCCAAAAAGTCCGTGGTTCGATTGTTCCAACATAGCCCTCTGCCCACACACCCTCTGCCCACACACCCTGGGTTCCCTAAGTTGCTCAGTGATTCTCGCAGAGTGGAACGACTTTTTGTTCTTCTTGTTGTGGTCGAAGGAATCGGAAGTAGGGAGCCCACCAACAAATGGAACAAAGGCTAAATCTAGTGAACTGGGAGGCCTGAGCACGTCCAACTTTCTTTTTTGGGGGGGCATTCGGTTGCAAACCAACTCAATGTAGCGGTGGTTTCCCATCACGAGTACCGTGCAAACGATTGCAAAGGGGGAGAAATCCAAAAACCCGCGAAAAGAAACAAATACAACAAGAGGACGCCAAAGATGAGTGCACCAAAGCAAAACGTAAAAGTGCTTCCACTGCTCGCGGATTTGCGAGGCCATTGGCAGCCCGCAATCGCACCCCCTGCCAAGTCTTGATGGTGGCAAACAAAAAGCCTTGCTAAAGCAACTGAACCGAAAGGAGAAAACAAGACAACCCAACACCTGCAAAAGGGGATTCTGACCAAATTTCTTTTGAGGTCCAGCCTGCGAGCGACATGGTGTCCTGGCAGCTCAGTACCTGACCAACCTTAAATAGGGCGGCAAGTCCATGAAAACGCAGTTTTGCCGAGCTCCAATCAGGAACCCGCTGTTGCAAGGCCGTTCCCAGTTGTCAAGCAAAACGATACATGCTGGCAATGACTGTTGCCCTTTAACATCAACATCCGCTTGAAACAACAAACAACTTACAAAATCACGAACCACCTTACGCAAGCACAAGCCGAGGAACTCGCAGCTCCCCCCCTCTCCCAGGTCGCCATCATGGACGGCAGTCACCCCACCCCCCACTGCCCAGACCCGGGTCGCGGGTCGCCTGCCAGCTCGCAACTCCTGGCGGCTGTAGTCATCGTTCCGCATTTGTCGGAATGCGAGCGGATGTCCCGCTAGAGGTTAGACAGCCATACTTCCAGCAAACATGAGCAGGCTCAGAAGCTCAGCAACCTCCACTTGGGGCGAAAACGCTGCAACTTGTTTGACCAGTCTTCCCGGTTCCATCCGCAAACTGCTTAAGCAAGAGCGCGCATATTCCTATGCAAAACACTAAGCCTTAACCCCCCCCCCCAACCAGCAACTCATGACGTGCAATTTCTGAAGACTTGGGGGTGTGGTTCCCCCCCACTCACACCCCCCCCCCCCCCACCTACCTAACACGGTGGCTTTGGGCTGAGCAACGGGTCGGCCCCAAACGCAACTCCTGCAGCTCCGACTCCATCTGCCGCTGCTTGGCTTCCATCGCCTGGACCTGCGCCTCAGCGTCACAGTGTCACAGCGTCACGCCCCGCCCTCCGTCCTGTAGGGCCGAGCGGGCCGAGCCAGGGGGCACGGGTTCGTGGTTTTTGCGGTTTTCGAAAAAAAGAAAAAGAAGAAGGAACCAACACTTTTTAGATATATTGTTTTTGGGGAGGGGCAGACTGTTTTACTTTTGGCAATTCACTGGTGTCCATTGAAACTGCCACTTTTGAAGGTTCCAACAAGGGAAATGGAGGACACCCTGTGAATGGGTGTCGTTTTTTGGGGCCTCGTTTTTTCAGGGGTCCGATTTCCAGAAAGCCTGCAGGGGTCACTCATTTTGAGAAAAAATGTGAAATCCCTTTTCGCGCCACCCACAGCAACCATGGTTTAAATTTGGTGCAGGATTTCGTCCATCCACAGTATGCAAAAGGTTTGCTTGAGCCAACTGGGCCGGATGTGGGGTTCCTCACACTACTTGACCCGACCTCTCGCTTTCAATCGACGGGGCACGTCCATGGAAAAGCAGACTTCCAATGTAGTTGGCTTCCAAAGTGGTTTCTCTTCAAAACCAAACAGAAATGGGTTTCTAAACAAGAAAAACCTAACTGTCACACCATACTCGGAACACAACACCCGTCCAAATGTCTCTCTTACAAGCCCCTGCCTGCCAAGTACAACATGCGGAGCCCCTTCAACTACAGAATGAAACTCGAACTCGGGCCCCAGAGGTGCGCTGCACTCTCGCCAATGATTGGAAACAAAACCCAAGGAATTAGAGTGGACTCTTGACATGTGCAGACAAGAATGCCGGAGCAACCTGCAGAAACCAACAAAGCTCTTGCAAAGGGTAGTCCGAAAGCAGCCCAGGCGCCGAGCTGTTTGTGCGCTCAAATGGTTGGCTCGGGCTCTGACCCCACCCCCGCCCCACCCCACCCCCGAAAAAGAGCGCCAAATCCGTGGGGCCCCTGCCACCCGCTGCCGCAGCTCAGCTGCCAGACCTCGGCTGCGGCATGATGGAAAGGCATGGGCTGCACAAAACGGGTACTGTTGTCGCCAGGTTTAGTGGGAGGGGAACAGCCCCCCGACTTACCTGCAGATGAAAAAACTCCATGGTTCTCTCAAACGTTCGATCTAAATGGGTTTGGGAGACGAGTTCAACCAGGATGTCTAGACGAAACCTGTGGATGGGCCCTTTGCATACCGGTACGACCCCACTAAAACCCAAGCCAAACTTCACAATCACATGACCCAAGGGTGGCCAAGGGATGGCAAGGGAGGGACTGGCGCAGGGGTGACTCAAGTAGGGCAGTAGGGCGGTTGGTTAGTCTTTGGTCCCTTCCAGAAGCTCAACCTTTGCTGGTGGCGAAGCCAAATCGTTTCACATGCTAGATGCTGAAAGCTTAAAAGGGTTAAGAACAAACTTGCGTCCAACAAGTAAAATGGTTCAGGGCCAAACCGAAGTGCAAATCGCTTTGCTGTCGTTCAACATCCGGGTGGTTGTTGCAACCCCGCATTACATCATTTGCCTGGTGGTTTCTGTGCTCCTGAAAGCTACCCAATCATCGCGGCTTTTGCACATGCGACTTCTACTTCCCAGGCCTGCTCTTTTCGCAGGTGTATTGGCGCGGCATGCAGCGTCTTCTCACGCCTTCTTGCTCTTCCCCTTCTTTCCTTGTTGCACTTGCGCTTGTTGCACATGAACTGAGCGTGCCAGCACTGCTTTAAGCGTTCCCAACTGACGCCCTGGAACGGCGCCTTGGGCTGGAAGACCGGAAGCTGCGCCACCGCGGCAGCGTGCTCCGCCCGGGAGGCGGAGGCCTTCACGGAGCGCTGCAAGCCGTGGAGCTCCCGGAGCTCCAGGGCCCTGGCCTCCGCCTCGGCCTTCTCCGTGAAGTAGCCGCCTTGGATTCTCCCTCCGCCGGGCTTGGGGATTTCGACCCGCCACTTCTTGCTCGCCTTTGCAAATTTCACCCCGGGCACGTCGGAGGTGAGGCTCTCGTCCCGGAGCTTCTCCTTGATGCGGCCCTTGGCCACCAGCTGCGCGCGGAAGGCCTTGGCGGCCTCCAGGGCGGCAGCCTCGGCTTCCGCCTCGTTGAGGCCATCCTTCATGAAGCGGCTGATGCCGAAACATTGGATGTGTCGAGCAGCTTCTCCTCCTTTTTGGCCTTTCTCAGCCCATTGGAGCCTCCAGCAGAACATTGATCGATGCCAACTGATGTTAGGAACCCCACTCTGCTTCTCCTGCTGTTTGGACCGAACCCGCGCCGGCTTCACCCCGTGGTTTGGGACAGCTGGCACTAGACTCGCACTTTGGCCAGGCGCAGCTCTGTCGACAGGCCGCGGCTGCTCCAAAGCTGCAGCTGGCTGCTCGGCCGTGCCAATAGACTCCCAGACCTGGACGCCTTTCATGGCGTCCGCACCACCTGCAGAGGACAAGCGCCGTACACCGCTCTGCTCATCGTAGGCCCAGCCGCGGCCAGCCAGATGTTGCTGGGCAGGTCCCGCATCCAGGGCCACATCTTCATGCATTCCGCGCCGCTGGCCGGTAAGCCTGCTTCCTCTTGCGCGGCTGCCGGAGCGGCCGCAGCACCTCGCCAAGCCAAACATTAGCGACATGACACAGCATCGCTTGCAACACGAAACTTCGGTGATGAATGTTGGTCTTCAAATGTCCAACCTCCAGCTGACTAAAACAACAAATGGTTCGTGAACAAAGTCATGTTCCAAACAACTAATTGGCAAAATGTGACATCACCAGCTACCAAAATCACTTGCACTATCAGAGATGCCACAAAAAGTGCTTCATGCTCAATCAGAACCGGGCATCCACTACTTGATGCCCAAACAAGTCCAGCCCCCTTGCAAAGATTGACGCATGCCCGGCCAGCCTGAGACCGCGCGTGTTGGGACCTTTGCCGTTGGGCCAGTCTGCAGTGGAGCGCAAAAAACGGGATGTCCACGCTCGAAGAACCGCCGCAGGCAGCTCAGCTCCTTCTGGGACAAGCGCTGCACGCAGGGCGGGTCCTTCTCCTGTGGCGCCACCGGGTTGCTGAAGAAGACGTTCGCCGGACAGCAGGGCCTGCGAATGGAAACGACGAGGCATGCTGAGACCGTGCGTTTCAAGGACCTGGATCCGGTAAAGTGCGAGCCTCACCATTGACATGGACTGAGTTGAAAACCATCTCCCAAGAGTCATATTGAAACCCTTCAACATGTCCACTTTCAGAGGCCCTAAACCGAGCTTCTTCTTGAAATCCCAGGCCTTGTAGGCATCCAAGTGGCCCTCTTCCGGAACTCGGCGCATTGTCGGGCCCACAAAGCCACCTGCTCCTCAAACTCCGGCGGGGCCGGCTTGCCATCGGCAGGGTCGGTCCGTTGAGGGCGAGCCTCTGCTGAGGAGCCCGGCTCCACTTTCACCACGCCAGCGGTTGAGGCCTCTGGCAATCTTGCCGGCTCCATTTTCACCTTCTCCAGCTTGGAGACGGATCCTCCTGCTTGGGGCTCAGCCTTCACGGTGATTGGGGCAACAGCTTCACTTCCGACCTGATGCAGGGAAAGCATCGAAGCATCAGCAAATGTTGACATCAAGGCATGGCAAACAGCGTACGTCCCAAAATTCGGCAATCTGCTCTGCATTTTCCCAATTATCCGTAGCTTCTTCGAAGCAGTTTGGAGTCCAACCACTCTATTGACAGTACACAAAGTGGCAAACAAGCCACGTTCATGCAGGCGTAGCTTTGGCTGGCATTCATGTCCAGCCTGGTGGCTTCTCTCTGCATGCTCCTCTTTGACCGCCATGCCTGCTTCGATCTTGCACACCCCAGCGTCCTTTGTGAAGCAGCCTTCCATCAGGCTTTCCTCATCCATCGACTGCGCTTCTTCTTTGACCTCCTGCTTCACCTGCAGCCAGAAGCCGTGCAAGTCACCTCCCTCCTCTTTTGCTCCAATCTTCCCGCAAGCGGCGTCCACATGCTGGCCCACATGCATGTCGTGACGGCGAAGGCGCCGACGCTTCACCGGCTGAACGGAATCCTCGCCTGGCTGGCAAAGCTCTTTCATGATTGGAGACTCGAGCTTGATGCCGGGCGCGTGTCCAACCTGCTCCGAAATCTCCTCCTTGATCTTCTCCACCTTCATGCCTGCCGCGCCGCCCACGTGGAGCGGAAAATCTGGCACGAAGCTTTCCGGTCGTGGCAATGCTCCAGTGGAGCTCAAACTGCTGCGACAAGCGTGCAAGGCTACAGTTCAAACATGCAATGACAGCACGCCCCATGCCAAGGCTTTTCAACTCTCCTAACAATTCCCATGCGTACTTTCCAGAATGCCGATGCAACTGCTGAAGTCATTAAACAAAAAACAACATTCCTTCTAGCTTCACAGCGTGCCAGAGGTGATGCCACCCCGAAAAAGACTGGGTGCCACCTGCGCATGTCCCGACCTCTGACTTCTTCCTGGTGGGAGCCCGTCACCATACGACCTCTGAGCCGGCCGCGGTCCGAAGCAGGCCTGGCGGGGGTCCGGGTCGGTCCCGGGGAAATCGCAAGAGTTGTATGAAACGATCCATCTAATCCAGAACTCCCAAAAAAAAGCTCTCTCTCACCAAAACTCCAAAACCAAAAAACACGTTGGTCATAAGGACATCACAAACCAATGGTTTATCAAACAGAAGCATGAATCACTCAGGACGCCTGTTGAATGGGTTTGACCAGGCTGGCGCACTGCTCAGGGCGAAATTACTGGCACATGAGATGGCGGTAACAGCAACGATATCCAGGCTCCCACGACTCTTCCCAAAAAGTCCGTGGTTCGATTGTTCCAACATAGCCCTCTGCCCACACACCCTCTGCCCACACACCCTGGGTTCCCTAAGTTGCTCAGTGATTCTCGCAGAGTGGAACGACTTTTTGTTCTTCTTGTTGTGGTCGAAGGAATCGGAAGTAGGGAGCCCACCAACAAATGGAACAAAGGCTAAATCTAGTGAACTGGGAGGCCTGAGCACGTCCAACTTTCTTTGTTTGGGGGGCATTCGGTTGCAAACCAACTCAATGTAGCGGTGGTTTCCCATCACGAGTACCGTGCAAACGATTGCAAACGGGGAGAAATCCAAAAACCCGCGAAAAGAAACAAATACAACAAGAGGACGCCAAAGATGAGTGCACCAAAGCGAAGAGTGGGAGTGCTTCCACTGCTCGCGGATTTGCGAGGCCATTGGCAGCCCGCAATCGCACCCCCTGCCAAGTCTTGATGGTGGCAAACAAAAAGCCTTGCTAAAGCAACTGAACCGAAAGGAGAAAACAAGAAAACCCAACACCTGCAAAAGGGGATTCTGACCAAATTTCTTTTGAGGTGGCCAGCCTGCGAGCGACATGGTGTCCTGGCAGTTCAGTACCTGACCAACCTTAAATAGGGCGGCAAATCCATGAAAACGCGGTTTTGCCGAGCTCCAATCAGGAACCCGCTGTTGCAAGGCCGTTCCCAGTTGTCAAGCGAAAACGATACATGCTGGCAATGACTTTTACCCTTTAACATCAACATCCGCTTGAAACAACAAACAACTTACAAAATCACGAACCACCTTGCGCAAGCACAAGCCGAGGAACTCGCAGCTCCCCCCCTCTCCCAGGTCGCCATCATGGACGGCAGTCACCCCACCCCCCACTGCCCAGACCCGGGTCGCGTCGCCTGCCAGCTCGCAACTCCTGGCGGCTGTGGTCATCCTTCCGCATTTGTCGGAATGCGGTCCTTGTGTAGTGAACGTTAACATGAACAATTATGTGAGCGGATGTCCCGCTAGAGGTTAGACAGCCATACTTCCAGCAAACATGAGCAGGCTCAGAAGTTCAGCAACCTCCACTTGGGGCGAAAACGCTGCAACTTGTTTGACCAGTCTTCCCGGTTCCATCCACAAACTGCTTAAGCAAGAGCGCGCATATTCCTATGCAAAACACTAAGCCTTAACCCCCCCCCAACCAGCAACTCATGACGTGCAATTTCTGAAGACTTGGGGGTGTGGTTCCCCCCCACTCACACCCCCCCCCACCTACCTAACACGGTGGCTTTGGGCTGAGCAACGGGTCGGCCCCAAACGCAGCTCCTGCAGCTCCGACTCCATCTGCCGCTGCTTGGCTTCCATCGCCTGGACCTGCGCCTCAGAGTCACAGCGTCGAGCCAGGGGGCACAGGTTCGTGGTTTTTGCGGGTTTTCGAGCAAAAAAAGGAAAAAAAAGAACCAACACGTTTTAGATATATTGTTTTTGGGGAGGGGCTTACTCTTTTACTTTTGGCAATTCACTGGTGGTGTCCATTGAAACTGCCACTTTTGAAGGTTCCAACAAGGGAAATGGAGGACACCCTGTGAATGGGTGTCGTTTTTTGGGGCCCCTTTTTTTCAGGGGTCCGATTTCCAGAAAGCCTGCAGGGGTCACTCATTTTGAGACAAATTGTGGAATCCCTTTCGCGCCACCCACAGCAACCATGGTTTAAATTTGGTGCAGGATTTCGTCCATCCACAGTATATGCAGAAGGTTTGTTTGAGCCAACTGGGCCGGATGTCGGGTTCCTCACACTACTTGATCCGACCTCTCGCTTTCAATCGACGGGACACGTCCATGGAAAAGCAGACTTCCAATGTAGTTGGCTTCCAAATTGGTTTCTCTTCAAAACCAAACAGAAATGGGCTTCTAAACAAGAAAAACCTAACTGTCACACCATATCCGGAACACAACACCCGTCCAACTCTCTCTCTTGCAAGCCCCTGCCCGCCAAGTACAACATGCGGAGCCCCTTCAACTACAGACTGAAACTCGAACTCGGGCCCCAGAGGTGCGCTGCACTTCCCCCGTGTTTCGTCACAGGACCCTTCATGCCAATGATTGCAAACAACACCCAAGGAATTAGAGTGGACCCTTGACACAATGTGCAGACAAGAATGCCGAAGCAACCTGCAGAAACCAACAAAGCTGTTCCGAAGGGTAGTCCGAAAGCAGCCCAGGTGCCGAGGTGTTTGTGGTACGCTCGGATGGTTTGCTCGCGCTCTGACCCCACCCCCGCCCGACCCGACCCCCTTAAAAAGAGCGCCGCATCCGTGGGGCCCCTGCCACCCGCTGCCGCAGCTCAGCTGCCAGACCTCGGCTGCGGCATGATGGAAAGGCATAGGCTGCACAGAACGGGTCCTGTTATCGCCGGGTTTAGTGGGAGGGGAACAGCCCCCCGACTTACCTGCAGATGAAAAAACTCCATGGTTCTCTCAAACGTTCGATCTAAATGGGTTTGGGAGACGAGTTCAACCAGGATGTCTAGACGAAACCTGTGGATGGGCCCTTTGCATACCGGTACGACCCGACTAAAAACCAAGCCAAAGTTCACAATCACATGGCCCAAGGGTGGCCAAGGGATGGCAAGGGAGGGACTGGCGCAGGGGTGACTCAAGTAGGGCAGTAGGGCGGTTGGTTAGTCTTTGGTCCCTTCCAACAGCTCAACTTTTTCTGGTGGCGAAGCCAAATCGTTCCACATGCTAGATGCTGAAAGCTTAAAAGGGTTAAGAACAAACTTGCGTCCAACAAGTAAAATGGTTCAGGGCCAAACCGAAGAGCAAATCGCTTTGCTGCCGTTCAACACCTGCAACCCCGCATTACATCATTTGCCTGGTGGTTTCTGTGTCAAATCGCAATGGCCCCCATGTGCTCCTGAAAGCTACCCAATCGCGGCTTTTGCACATGCGACTTCTACTTCCCAGGCCTTTTCGCAGGTGTATTGGCGCGGCATGCAAACGTCTTCTCGCGGCATGCAACGTGAACAATATGAACAAAAGCACTCAAGCAGGGAACTTGAGAAAAAACAAAAAAAAAAGAGGAAAAAACAACAGCTGTCGCCAAGCCTGCCCCTGCCCCTTTTCGCGAATGACTCAAACTCCTCATGTTTGCCAGGAATTCTCTCAGGCCTTCTTACTCTTCCCCTTCTTTCCTTTCGCTGCCATGCCCTGAGATGCCATCTCCTTCCGCTGCTTCTTGAGCCAGGCCACGGCTTTCACGAAGGCCTTCTCGAGCTCCGCCTCAGAGTGGTCCAGGGGCTTGAAGCCTTGTTGCTTCCGATTCTTTCCCCCCGTGTCAGCCCACCAACACTGGTTCTGACGGTGCCAACTGACGCCCTGGAACGGCACCTTGGGCTGGAAGACCGGCAACTCATCCCGGGAGACGCAGGCCTTCACGGTGCGCTGCAAGCCGTGGAGCTCCCGGAGCTCCAGGGCCCGCGCCTCCGCGGCGGCCTTCTCCGTGAAGCAGCCGCCCTGGATTCTCCCTCCGCCGGCCTTGGGGATCACTACCCGCCACTTCTTGCTCGCCTTTTCAAATTTCACCCCGGGCACGTCGGAGGTAAGGCTCTCGTCCCGGAGCTTCTCCTTGATGCGGCCCTTGGCCACCAGCTGCGCGCGGAAGGCCTTGGCCGCCTCCAGGGCGGCAGCCTCAGCTTCCGCCTCGTTGAGGCCATCCTTCATGAAGCTGCTGGCGCTGAAATTTTGGATGTGGCGAGCAGCTTCTCCTCCTTTTTGGCCTTTCTCAGTCCATTGGAGCTGCCAACGGAAGCTGCTTGAATGCCAACTAATGCCAGGAACCCCACTCTGCTTGGCCTGCTGTTTGGCCAGTACCTTCACAGGCTTCACGCTGTAGTTTGGGGCAGCTGGCACTAGACTCGCACTTTGGCCAGGCGCAGCTCCGTTGACAGGCCGCGGCTGCTCCAAAGCTGCAGCTGGCTGCTCGGCCGTGCCAATAGACTCCCAGCTTTCATGGCGTCCGCACCACCTGCGGAGGACAAGCGCCTTGCGCCGCTCTGCTCATCGTAAACCCATCCACGGCCAGCCCAGATGTTGCTGGGCAGGTCCCGCATCCAGGGCCACATCTTCATGCATGCCGCGCCGCTGGCGGGTAAGCCTACCTCCTCTTGCGTGGTGGCTGCCGCAGCACCTCGCCAAGCCAAACATGAGCAGCGTGACACAGCATCGCTTGCAAAACAAACATTTGGTGATGAATGTTGGTCTTCAAATGTCCAACCTCCAGCTGACTAAAACAACCAATGGTTACGTAGTCATGTTCCAAACAACTAAATGGCGAAACCAAGATCACTTGCACTATTCAGTATGAGAGATGCCACAAAAACTACTTCATGCTCAACCAGGTATAACCCCCTTGACCGGCATTCACTACTTGATGCTTGATGCCCAGTTTCATTCATTCATGCCCGCCCGGCCTGACTGCTCGCGTGATGGGTTTGTTGTTGGGCCAGTCTCCAGTGGAGCAGAAAACATGGGATGCCCACGCTCGAAGAACCGCCGCAGGCAGCTCAGCTCCTTCTGGGACAAGCGCTGCACGCAGGGTGGGTCCTCCTCCTGCGGCGCCACCGGGATGCTGAAGAAGACGTTCGCCGGACAGCAGGGCCTGCGAATGGAAACGACAAGGCATGCTGAGACCATGCATTTCAATTCAAAGCAATAGCACTGGATCCAGTGAAGTGCCAGCCTCACCATTGACGTCTAAATGATGGTTTAAGTGGAAAACCATCTCCCAAAAGTCATTGTGAAAACTCTTCAACATGTTCTCTTTTACGGGGCCTGAACCCATCTTCTTGAAATCCCAGGCCTTGTGGGCATCCAAGTGGCCCTCTTCCGGAACTTGGCGCATTGCCGGGCCCACAAAGACACCTGCTCCTCAAACTCCGGCAGGGCCGGCTTGCCATCGCCAGGGCGGGCCCATTGAGGGCCAGTCTCTGCTGAGGAGCCCGGCTCCCCTTTCACCACGCCCGGCTCCACCTTCTCCAGCTTGGTGAGGGATCCTCCTGCTTGGGGCTCGACCTTCACACTGCCCGTAGCGGTGGTTGGGACCTGGTTCAGGGTAGGTGTCTCGCGTCTCAAGATTGTGTCACCATGCCCGTCTTTTCCCAACTACCGTATCTTCTTCAAACCAGTTTGGTGAACAAACACTATACTGACAACAATACAAAGTGGAAAGCAAGCATTCCCTGCTACGGTCACGCAGCTTTGGCTGCCAGCATTCATGCCCGGCCTGGTGGCTGCTCTCTGCGTGCTCCACTTTCACCGCTGTGCCTGTTTCGATCTTGCAAACCCCAGCATCTTCCTCCTTTGTGAAGCCACCTCCCTTCAGGATGTCCTCATCCATCGACTGCGCTTCTTCTTTGACCTCCTGCTTCACCTTCAGCCAGAAGCTGTGCAAGTCAAGGCCCTCCTCTTTTATCCCAATCTTCCTGCTGTCGGCCACGTTTTCTCCCACCTGCATGTCGTGACGCCGAAGGCGTCGACGCTTCACAGGCTGAACGCAATCCTGGCCTGGCTGGCAAAGCTCTTTCTTGATTGGAGACTCGAGCTTGATGCTGGGCATGTGTCCAGGCTGCTCCGCACTCTCCTCTTTGACTTTTTCAGTCTTCATGCCTGTACGCCGCCCGCGTGGAGCGAAAAATCTGGCACAAAGCTTTCCGGTCGTGGCAATGCTCCAGTGGAGCTCAAAATGCTGCGGACCCCGACAACTCAGCGTCACACAGGCATGAGGGCAAAGCAGGTTCAAACATGCAATGACAGCACCTCTCTCCCAATCACCCCGCGTATTCTCCAGAATGCCAATGCAACTGATGTCACCAAACATTCCTTATAATTTCCATCGGCTCAAAAGGCGCTGCTTCAACAAACCAAAGCTTGGATATCACCTGAATCTGAATCTGAAGCCCCTCAGTCTCAGTCTGCCTTACCACCAGTCAGGTGTTCACTTGACCCACGAAAGAACTTGGATGTTTCTCAATAAATGGTGGCCCAAAAACTGTTTTGTTTTCCTGTTGATGTGGTCCATCCAGAGTATCACCAAGTACAGGATATCACCACATACCCTCCCACCAACTAACATGGAAGTGCAAAACGGCCCTTTCCAAAAGGAAAGTAGTCTTTCTACAGGAGTCTGTGCACCAAACCATGTTAGCTGGTGGGAGGATACACGTTTGCCTGAATCTGACTGAGGAGGTGCGTACATCTGAGCTGCCGGCTTAAGTCCGAAGGCCTCTCATGGACGTTTGGCGTCCAGCGAGCGAAGTGTGCCCTCTGGGCAACACGAGTAACCAGTAAACAGGTTGCATGCACAAAAGCTCAAAAAAACACGTGTGCCGTGAAGAAATTGCAAATTCGACCAGTCCAGTGTAAAGCTCCGGGCACCCTGTCGGACGGTTGTCTGCAACGGCAATTCTCCAAAAGGACCTCTCACCGGATCTCCGGAGAATTCTGGCCTTAGACCCAGGGCCTGCAGGGCACCTCGCAATGAGCCTGGTAAGTCATAGGCCCAGGCGTACCGGCCAGGTTGACACAGCACCGGACTTCGGCCCATGAACAATACTTAGATTCCCGTCCAAAACGACAGACATGGAAAAAAAGCGGGGGAACAAACAAACAACACCGAAAAAGGACGGCAAACATGCACACCGCAGCGAGTTGGAGCGATCGCCCTCGCGTGTTTGCAGTCAAAGCTGCTGGCCCCTGTCCAAGCGATGCAATCGTTTCGTGCCGTCCACACGTGTATCGCGCCCACATTTCGCAAGGATGCCTGACTTCCCAAAGACTGCGGCCCTGCAAGAGCTGCGAACAGCCTCACAAGCAACTAATCCGAGGTCAGCAGTACGGCCTTAAGGATCTAAGGCCTTGCTGAGGGGAATGGGGGAGCTTCCTGGCCGGCACCATAACAACTCGCTTTGTGGAGGCTGAGGGGTAGAAACCTGCCTCCTCCTCCGCTTTTTCGGGAAGGTCCCCACATCGTCCACCCGATTTTCGTTCTTTGCGACCGAACGGACGTCCATTTGCGTAAGGTGCAACTAAGCAAAGGCGCATTTGCCAGTCATGGCCGTTTGTCCTTGAACACCGGCGTGCGACGGCTACATAAGCGACAGCCCCCGCCCTGTGCGCCTGGCTGCTCGCAACTCCTGGCGGCAAATGAACGCCATGGGCATTTAGACGGAATGGATCAAAGGGCCGCAGGCCTGATGTCAGCCGGACCCACGCCACCAACTTCTTTTGGCGATGGAGATGCCACCCATTGGGGGTCAGAAAGGGAAAAGCACCTGCTTGAGGCCCCGTGTGTGTCCTGACTGACGAGGGTGCATTATGTTTAGCCTTAACTTGCTGTGCGTGCTTGGGCATTTTTAACTTAATCCTAATTGCGCTAATTGTTTGGGGGGTCCCAGAATTGCAAGTAAAGCAACCCGACTACCAAATGGCCATGTCAAACATGTAGAACACCACTTTGTGTTTAAATGGGAAATGGCAGCAAAGCAACTCCCCCAAAATTAATGGGCAGGTGTACTCCCTTACGTCCGAGACCACCCCAAAGAACAACCCCCCCCCCGCCCGCCCCCATAAAACACAAATATCTTCCCTTCAAAGGCTTCAACCCCTTTTGCCACCAATCGACCCAAAAGGGCAAAAGAACGCAACCCCCCCACTTCAAAACCAATTCCCCAGCATAAAGGGCCCCAAACCCTTCCCTCTTTGCCATGGCAGACTAGAATCGGGCACAATTCGTTGATCGCCGGCTATGGGAAGCCTCCAAACAAAAATCGGCTTCCCGCCAAGTGGTTTGGATTGGAAGCTTGGTGGTTAGTCCCATTTGCCCACTACAAGGTTCTAAGGCTTACCTGCTTTGAGGTTTCTTCCTTCTTAACAAACACATAGCTATACCTTCCATTTGCTCAAGCCCCCCTGGAAAAGAAAAGAGAACGTTAAACCCAACACGGGAAAATAAGAAATATTCATTTCAGCGCATGGAAGCTACATCTGAAAGCAACAGCAACACAGCGCAAGCGCTGGAGGTCTGGGATCGTCGAGCCCAGAACACCCATGGGATGGGCTGCACGCTCATCAGGGGAGTAGCTAGCAAGGTTGGTTGGATGTGCGTGGTTCAGTTGCACCATTTCAGGATTGTTCCTTTTGCTTCTGTTTTTTTAAAGGAGGGGGGGGGTCAGGGCGGTTGCGAAGAAGTAAATGCCAAGCCCGGCCCGGGGAGAAATGAGGCGCTGAATCCGCTGAATAGTCACAACGCGCACTGTTCTCTCACGATTCAGACCTATCCCACACCCAATTCTAGCAATAGGCGAGCCCCCCCCCATGAAAAAACAAACACTGCTTTCCTTTTGGTCCCGATTCCCCCTCCCACAAAAATGCAAACTCACTTGCCGACAAGTCGGAAATGGGTGGACGATGGTGGCCATGGGAAACCCAAAGGTCATTTCCGGTCGATTCCGTTTCAGTCGGAAACTGGTTGGTGGTTTCCCTTTGACCCAGCACTTCGGGAGTCTTTTGGGTGCCTTCCATTTGCTTTTTCGCCCCCCTGGAAAAAATGACATAATTTCCATTAGTGAAATCGATTCCCTTCCAAACCAAGAAGGGGAAACAAAACACTACTCATTTCAGCAAATGGAAGGTGCTCAATTCGCCTCGTGTCACAGTTGGCCGCTTTTGGAGTGAGACAGAAACGGGCCCCCGAGGTCAGCCGATTCGCGCCTGCAACTCCGACTCCAAGTTCCGCTGCTTGGCTTCCATGGTCCGGATCTCCGCCTCAGCAGCCGGAAAAGGGGTGTTCACCATCACACCTTCAGGGCGGGGTCCTCCAATTCCGTGTTTCTAGCCTCCCCAAAAACAATGGGTGGTCATCAATGGAAAGGCGATCCCCATGTTTTAAAAGCTGCTTTTAAGGGGCACACTCTAGGCTTCATGGCTTAGACTTGTTGCACCACAGGCCCAACCTGAAGTAGTTCTCGTGGTTGGGGTGCTATTCCCCACATAAACCACCATTGAGGTCGTGTGAGGTCGTTATAATTCATCCAGGCTTATCATCAATCCCACCTTCAGGACGGGATCCCCCAATTCCATGTTTCTAGCCTCCCAAAAGAACAAGAGCTTGTTGCCATCAATGGAATTCCAAGGGATAGAAAATGGGTATCATCAATGGAAAGGGGTCACGCCTTGCAGGTGGGGATGGAACGCCTACTCTTCACAACCCTTGGTTGCAAAAAACATTGTGTTTTGCAGCCCCTACTAAAAATGAACAGAGCCAAGAAACTAAAAAACAAGAAACATGCCAAGAACCGTGAAGTACTATCTTCTCTCGCTCCCTGAGTTGATTGGCCCAAAAACGTCCAGAAGCACTGCGTGATTCCCGCTAAACCTGTCCCACGGAGTCCCACCCAAGGCCTAAGGCTTAAGTTTTTGGAATAAAGGCTACCACTTACAACGACGGGCCTGAGTATGTGGTCTCTTCTGGGATTTTCCGAGTTGGGCAGAAAGCATAGGTTCTTCTCTAGGAGATTCTATAGTCTCCAAATGCTCCATACACCGACTCGGAGCCATAGCAAGGGAAGCACCACCAAGGTCCATCCCTTCTATGGCCCCTACAAATATGAGCCCTCTGCCAGCATAAAGAAACTCCACTGATGGAAAGCACTCGATTAGCGTAAATGCCACAACTGATGAAAACCCCTGTGATAGTATAAGGACTTTCAACTGATGGAAGGCCGTCTGCTGGTCTAAGCACCCCCCAACTAGCTTCACATTTTCTCAAGTGATTGAAAGCTCCCTGTTGTCTAAAGACTCACCCGCCCTCGCTGATGGAAAGCCCTCTGCTGGCCTAAAGACGTCAGCCCTCTGCTAGCGTAAAGACGGCCCACTGATGAAAAGCCCTCCTAAACGCCCCCCACGGATGGAAAGCAGCGCAGCAACACCCCCTCACGAGCGGAAAGCAGCCTTTGAAAGGACTCTGCTAGCGCAAAGACCCCACACAGATCTTCACACACAAACCTCTTAAACCCACTATGTCACTATACACTGCCCACTAAAACACCAGCAACCCTCATGGATCCTGAACCCCCCTTCCTTCATTTCCGGGAGCTTTTTTAGGGGGTCTAAGAGATCGCAGACACATCTTGGCCAACGTGAAGCGACCGGATCCGCTGGCCTCTCGTTGACCAAGAGACGACCTGGGCCTCAAATGCCCCGTGGATTTCCAGGGGAGAGGTTGAGTTCAAAGGAATCGGATCGGAACCGTTCCACACCCCCAACAAAAGATTGAGGCAGGTGGATAAAACAACAGAAAACATGCCAAAACCCTACCACCAAAACCCCCCCAAAAAAAAAGTTGGACAAAGGAAGCAACCCACTGGGCAACAGAGCGACCCCGAAAATCAGTGCTTTTCCTTGCTTCTTTTCGGGTCTCGGTTTTTTTGTTTGCGTCCCCGGCGTCTCGCTGCCGCTCCGCCCTGCGCTCCAGCTCCGCTAGGCCTCAGGGTCCCCCGCCGAGTGGGGGCTCCACAGGCGAAAGGGGGGAGGGGGAGGTGGGGAAGGGGGGAAAGGGGGAAGGGGCAAGGAATGACTTGAGCCGATTCCTTTAGAAAGTAGATACCAACAAACGTTATGAGCGCAACCATGGCAACACCTGTGGTGTGAAATGGATTTTGCAGTATCTGGTTCCCTTTGTCTACCAGGCCTAAAGAACAACTGGGTCCCGGTGGTCCATCTTCTTTTGGGGCAAACTGTGGATGGTGACCAAATTCACGTGCCACGGTTTGTGATTCCGCGGTTGAGGGAAACCATAACTTTTGTTATTTATCTTGGGGAATCGAATCATTCCAGGTGATGCAGGATTTCATCCATCCACACTATGAAGGCTAGGAACAACCACATCTGCTCGCTTCCCAAGTGGATTGGCTCGACAAAAGTCCAAACACATGATGCTTGTCACTTAATTGTCTTCAATGAAGTCCCGGAATTCAGGCAGCAAGCTGAATTCGTATGTGCAGAGCAGGGTTCACTATTCAACCAGTTTGGGTCATGATCATAGGACAATAATTTGTCTGTGCGCGCATGTAATTGTATAGCCCTTCATATTTCCAGAGTTAAGCAATCAAGCAAGTAGCCGTGCACCAGATACGAACAAGTATTGAAAACAACACATAGCATGCAAAAGGCTATGCATGCAAGCGGGGTATAACATGTCAAGTTTTGGGATGCCGACTGGTTCGATTGCTTTGGCAGCCTCGAACGATTTCCTAAGCATTCACTAGGGGTGGGAGGTCTCCGAATGTTGGTTCAAGCCATGAGCTACCGCGCCCTCCAGTTCCCAAAATGTTTAGGGGACGGCTGTGCCATTCTATATAGGCCCTGATCGATCCTTGAAGTAGTTCACCATGGTTTGTGGCTGTTTCACTTGCAATCTTCTGTTAAATCAACCACGCAATTCCCTATTTTGGGGTCCCCTATTGTCCCCGGACACTCTCTGACCCCCCATTTTTTGTATAGGCCTCCAAAACACCGAACATTTACAATGATTCCAAAACCTGCAATAACGGATCTTCGAAAAAATGGGTCTTTGGTGAGCTCGTTTTACCCCCGATCGGTGAGCTAGCTATATACAATAGGCAGAAACATGAAGCAAAGTGAAACTTTGAGGCCCCGCAACAGGCGGTCCCCGAAACAGGCGTGTCTTTCAGCCGAGGGAGTGGGGTGGGGGTTCCGAAAGTTCATGTTCTTTGGTCTTCCCATAAAAACAGAAAATGGAACCAAACATGGAATTCTAAAGGGTAACCACCCCCCCTCCCCCAATTCCATCTTTAAGTGGTGGGGATTCTGTAGGTATAACGGAAAAGCTCTCAAGGGCCAAGAAAAAAAACAGCCAAGCAATGAACGCTTTGAAGCTAAAACCTTTATATCGAGCCAACCAACCCAGCCCCGAACTTGCCGCCGCAAACATCTCGGGCTGTAAATTGAGGGTCGTGAAACATATATGGCTGTGGGTCAAAAAAAGGTACCCAAAGGAAACATGGACTAAAATCTGCGGTCCCCCGGCGGTTAAATTTTGACCCACAGCCATATGCGCAAACCCATGCCATGTTGGTTGGCCCTTGAGATGTTACCTGAAACGAAACACGGAAGCTTCAGCATCCCACGATTGCTTTTTCTCGCGCTGGCACGGAGAAAGTCTTTCAGGCGAAGGATGATGTCTTCGGATATCTTAGACGCAGATTATTTTCTCTCTTGATGCAAGGTGCACTTCTAAGTGCAATATGGTTCCCTAGGGCTACTCTTTGAAGAAGGCTACACATGATGTTCAAACCACACAAAGGAGGAACTGTAAGTGAGGTGTCTGTGTCTGGGGGGATGTTTGCGCGGGCCCTGGAACGATAGGGAACAAAGGGCCTTTTCAAGAAGATGCTCACATTCAAGCACCCTCTTCTTAGCCTCCATGATGGCTGATGGCCACAAAAAAGACAACCGATCAAAAAGACAAGCCTAACTGAAAGGCGATAAGGCCTAGATTTCACTTAACTTTTTGTTCCACCAAATCAGTAGACAAGCCTATCTGAAAGGCGATAAAAAACATAAAAAACAAGCGATACCAAATCAGTCCGCTAACGCCGGTGGTTGCCTGTTGGACAAACGTCAGACTTCGCCCCCTGCTCTGATCACTTCAGCCACACGCTGAGCCTCCGCATTCTACGGTTGAGCCTCCCTCCCTCTCTCGCTGCAGTTATTTCCAATAGGGTGGGGCCGAAGGTCACTTCAAACATCTTTTCAAGCTTCCCCTGTCCGCGCCTGGGGCCAGAGGGCTTGAATGTTGCTTCCCAAAAATAGTCCAAGCTTCCCCCATTCTCTCTGGGCAAATCCAAGCATCCTGCGAAAGTGGCAGGAAGGCTCCCCTACAGGGCAAGAAAACAAGCGAGCCACCGCTAAAATCTCTGGGTCGTTTGGGAAATGTTGTGACACTGCATGATAAGTAAACAGATTGCCTACTTGTGACCTGTGTACCACATACAAAGGCCATGTGTTCACATGCCAGTCACCCAAACATACAAATCGACTTGGAACCCGCATGTACGTTTCGTTCATACCAAATGTAGGGCCCCTTCTTGAGGTGGTGGTAGCACAGGAGACAGCGATTTGCTCACTCTGATCAACAAAGTAGTGTTGCAGCCTGAGCTCATTTCGTGCGCTCGTAAAATGTTCAGTTCCGATATTGACATGCTAACATATCAGGGATCCTTACAATATACACCTAAACATTGCAACTTGTAAATGGTGGTTTCACTTTATTATGGTGGAGAAAGCAACACGTTTCGAATGGTTGCAAAATGAATTTCTTGTAAGGAGCCCTGTATATGGTATACGGCCCGAATTCGCAGGACCTGCTGCTTCGTTCTCAGATTCTCACAGGGGCTCAAGTGACTTTCGCTGTGAAACAGGGCGCCAACGCATCCCTTCGGGAGCTGTTCGCCGTTCCCGTCATATCCGACGCGTTCGTTCGATGAATCGAGTGCTCGGACGCTGTGTCCGGCCTAAAAGGTGCAGTGGAGCTGCGCGTAGTAAAAATTGCTTTCACTACCCCCAAGCCACCACAGGGACCCAAGGATTAATGGGATGGATATGCAACCACAACAAAGCCACAAAATATTTATGCCCAAAAAAGCCGGTGTTCCTGTGGGTAATGGAAACCATCTTGAATCATAGGACCTTGTCTTGATGTCTCAAACCAGAACGCCGTAAGGACACGCTACGGATTCTATACTTCCTCAAGAAACATAAGCGAGGTTGGGGGGTGGGGGGGGAGAGGCGGGAGGGAGGGCGGGGAGAGGCGGGAGGGAGGGCGGGGAGAGGCGGGAGGGAGGGGGGGGGGGAACCAAGCGACGTAAGAAAAGCACAAGCCCGAATAATCAAACCAAGCCCAAGGTCGACAACCCAGGCCGTGGCCATGGGACAAAAATGAGCAGGTGTCGCTGGAAAACAACAGATTTTACCCAGACTTACCTCAAAACAGGATTTGTACCCAGCTGTCTGGGGTAAGGTCAAGTCAGATACTGGAGACCGACTAAAAGAAGCCTCTAGGCGCTTTGCAGGGTCCGCAACACGTGCGCAAAGTAGGACACATGTTCCCAAAATCTAATCACAGGAAACCGAACCAAGGGCCTACGCGCTTAAAAATTTGTCATCTTGAGGCCAAAGCAGAGACCCGGTTGAAAGAGAAACACTGAAAAAAGCTGTTCAATATGAACACCGTTGCCACAGTTGAAGGTCGCAACTCCTTTTCTTAGAACACCTAGAATCAGAATAACATCAACTTTAGATTAATCCGAAGGCGTGGTTCTCCCCTGTCGATGGGTTTCCATAGGTTCGCAGGGTTCTCCAGCTCCAGAACTTCAGCTTTGGCTTGGCTCAGTTTTCACGAATCCCCCGTCCCCCCCTGCAAATTTCCATCGGAACGCACATCCAGCCAGCTCCATCCAGCTATTCAATCGCAGAGGCCTCTGGCCTCCATAGAGCCCCGACTTTGTCGATGCCCCGCTGTCTCCAAACTCTGCACTTTCTTTGGGGGCATCATGGCAAGGAGCTCGGCCAGGCTTTTCAGGCAACAAGAACAAAAACGGGGATTTGGAGAAACTTTCCCGAACTCCGGTCTTGGCAAAATGCGTGTCGGCGTAGGGTCGAAACGTTGGGGTTTGGACAAGTCTCTGCTCTAACTCTGCCTCCAAAGACTCAAACTGCCCGTGTGATCGACTACAACAAGTTTAGGCTGTCCGTTTTCTGATCCTAAAAGTGACATTCTCTCAGTGAGTTCAATTCGAAAACCCATCCACTAAACCCAAAAAGCTCAAAAACTAAGGAACCGGATGGCTGGGAACCACCAAAATAACACATTTGACTTCAAGCAGCTAACTCAGGAGGGAGCAGGGCACACTAAGTTTCCCAGGCAAATCGATGTCGGGCCAAGGTGTCAGAAATTCGCCACCTCTATCCGGGCGGGCGCGTTCAGCGGGGTTCGCGGCGGCCGTGCGCTCCTCGAATCAGGTGACTGTGGACCGGGCTGAGCCGACCCGCCCTTCAACTGAACAGCACCCGAGCCCATGGACTTTAGGTTCTACTCCGATGGTTATCATCAATTTGCTTTAAGCCCCTGGGCAATGGAACTATTGGATAGTGGTGGATCCCTTTGAAAGCAACAGGGAACATAACACACATTCTGAAACGCAAGCGGAAGTCAAGGTGTGCATAGCCTGGCTATCACCTCCGTAAAGCCGGGTAGTAGACTTTACAACCCTTGGTATGTCGCAACAGACTTTGTGTTTTGCACCCACTAACGCAAACCAAAACAACGAAAGACCTAAAACCATGATCCAACAACAGTAAACTAGATCATGGGAAGCCTCCCCCTCCCTGACGACCCGTGGCCATGACGCCAAACCGAATCGACCGAGGCGGGGGCCCTGGGCGCTTGGCGGTCTTCTTGGCACTCTCCGGGCGGACCCAGGCCTGCACCGTGCCTGGCGCTTGTGAGAAGTCCGCTGGATTAGCCCAAAGAAAAACCTACCTGGAGGCTCAAACTACCCATGCACAAGGGGGGTCCCTATAATTTTTGGGGTGATAACCCTGGCATGTTGTCGCTTCTTCGGGCTGAAGGGGAGGTTGGACAACCATTCTTGGCTAATATATGCCACAAAATCATGAATCAGTTTCCCTCCACTTGGAGAAGAAGAAGTCCAGACTCACGTCTGGTCACCAAAGTGGATTGCCCCAAAGAAAAGACTAGGAACTTTTTGTATAAAGACTCGTTTTGTTTTTTCCGCAAAACAAGTCTGAACTCCTGACTTTCTACTTTCTGAGTGGGTTGGACAAAGGATACAACCAAACTTTGTGTTTGCCACCAAAGTTGTCTTCCCAAGAAGTTTAAAGTCCATGAACCCAATAAGTGAGGAGTGGGATGCGCAGCTTCCCTCCAATTGGTTTGGAGCCTGGGGGTTTGGAACTCTACAAGAACTGGGAGCTCAAGTTCCACCAGCCGAAACCATTGAGGTTTACTTACTTGAGATCTACACGATTGAGCCAAACATTGCCAAACATGACAATATCATACAAGAGGGGCTTCTCCCAGTCAGACACTTGTGCTTAAAGGATGGCACAAAAAGGGGCAAGCCTCCGCATCCAACAATACACCTCGCTTCCTGAGCTGATTTGCCAAAAAAAGTCCAAACTTTTTGTTTACCACCAAAATGGTCCAAACCCAAAAAAGTGACTCAAGTCCATGAACTCAGGGAGTGAGCCACACGGTTGAGTTGAGAAAACCCCTTCTCCGAATTCTTCAACCGGGCTAGGGATGACTCATTTTTTCCCAGGTTGCAATTCACAGGTTGCCCTTCTCCCCTGAAGATGCCACAGGTCCCACGGAGCACGGGGAGCCCAAATCACCTTGACATATTAAAAACACCGGTGTCGGTCGATTTTTCAAGGGTGGACCACCAAAGTGGTGGTCTTTCCTTCTGGTTGCTTTTTTTTACAGCCACGAAGCACGGGGTACTTCTGTTTGAGGATTAACAAACACGTTTAGTAATATGGGGTGTGCCTGGCTTTTGCGGGGAGAAATCACTTTTGGAGGAGCCCCCACCCCCATATTAAGAAACAAGGTTCCTTAAGCCGGGGTCAACATTATTGGCCAACACTACGCACTTATTTCTTGGTTCACGTTGAAAGGGGAGCAACAATTCTCAAATTCTAGCAGTTAAGTGGTTGGGTTTCAACCACTAAGCCATCAGCAAAAATGTGGAGCAAAAAAAGGTCAAACCCAACAACAACCATGATCTGGATACCACATCATTTGCAAACCAACTGCTCGTTTCAGGGCGCTTTTTTTCATGGCAGTTGAGGGGCATAGGTGTTCCCTTATGACTAAAAATGGGCCCAAGTTGGAAAACCCAAAGGTCAGATCCGGTCGATTCGCTTTGGACTAAGTTCTTTGAGCAGTTAAGTGGTTGGGTTTCAACCACTAAGCCATCCGCGCTCCAATTCCTCCGCGCCTTGCCGGCTGGGCTTCCCCGAGGCCGCCCGCGCCGCGGAGGCCGAGGCCGGGCGCGCCGCGGAGCCCGGGCGCGAGGCGGCGGGTTTCAGGGCTGAGGCTGGGCGGGAGAGCCTCGGCTGCTGCGCAAGTTCATCCTCACGGTTCTTAGGGCACGTTAGGTGTTTTGTTTCATGTTTATATACATATATGTTTACATATATATATATATATACATATATAGTTATAATTATTTACATATGTGTATATATATATATATTTATTCATAGATAATTTTAGTGCTTTGGTTCTGTCCATTTTTCGTAGGGGGCTGCAACAAAACAAAGCTTTTTGCAACCATGCCAAGGGTTGTGAAGCCATTAGGTGATCCCCCCTACTTAAAGGGGCGATCGGGTACTTAATAAGGGGTTAACAAGGTTTGTTATAACCCACTGAACGGAGACTTATAACTTATAGCCATGATAAGTGACCTACTTAGTAAGTACCCGATCGCCTCTTTAAATACAGATACATTGGGAAGGGGGTGGGGTGCTTAAGGTCCGAGACCCATATTCTTGTTGTCCAGTCTGGGTAAAACTCATGCTGTGGATGTACGCGAAATCATGGCACATTCAATTGCTTCAGGTGCCACGTGATTGATCCCCATGTTTTTTCGCGCATTTGGTTTGTCAAACACCTCCCAAATGGCGGTTTCATACCCCCTACCGATAGAGGGGGAGCGGGCAACCATTTATCCAGTCTTCCGATTCCACAACAGGGAACATGGGTTGCCATCAATGGATTTGACTGGTGGAGTTGGCTTTCTTAACTTCCCTTCCCGAGTGGATGGCCCAAAAACAGTCTTCAACTTGGCGCCTTATGCTCCATCAGGCTAGAATCACCCAGACCCCCCTTTTCAACGGGAAGTGCTCTTCCCAACAATCCTTCATACTAAGAGGATACCACCCCAGAGTCATAACCACAACTTGGTCAAGTGACAGTGGCCCCCTACACCTTGTGTCAGTGTTTGGGAAACCAAACCGGAACCAGCGTTTGTTTGTCGTTTTTTGTTCAGGGGCAACCCCTGATTTTGTGGTTCAAGACCATGTACAAAGCTAGGGCTTTAGCGGGTGGATTCCCGCTCCATGTGGCTGGCAGTGTCCCTTGTTACCCTTCATGCACCCCTAAGTCTGGGGGAAGAAATGAAAGTCTCATCGAAGGGTGCGGATGAAAACCTTCTGAACCTTGCCGTTGACCCTTCTGCCACAGGCTTAGCGGTTTGTGGGTCCAATTCGGAAAACAAACTTGTGAAAAACATGTTCAGCACAAAGATCGGCTACCAAACAGCAGTCAAGAGATAGTGGTTTGTGTATCCCATTTAAGCAGTCTTAAAGTCTGGCCCCCAGAAGATTGTGGAAGGACAGGGCTCCCTATATTCTCTTTAGAACATCACCCCCGCCAAGGGACACTCACGATTCATGGGCCAGAAAGGTGACGTTTAAAACCATTCAAAAGGAAAATATATAGGGACCCCTGGTTCACGAAGCTGCTGATGCGATACAACAGAAAGGGCTTCTCAAAGACCAACCCCCCATACAAAGGAGAAGATTCCCGTGTATCACAAAGGTGGGGCCATACCCCTTGATCCCGCAACCCTGTGCCGGCAGGAACCGGTGCTATGCGTCAATCAAGCGCGGTCCGGATCAAACCAAGCAGCGACGCCCGGGACGCCGACGCGGGCCGGGACGCCGAGACAGGGGACCCCCGTGTGCCGGGCCGGGAAGTGCCGGGTCGGTCTGGGCGCGCAAACGAGCGAAGGAATCCCTGGGAATTCAGGGAAACATGGAGTGTTCCACCAGACAAACCTTCAAGCAAGCCCTGCCCACTGCACACGAGTTGTATTTTTCTACGGCAAAAAGGGAACGCCCAAAAACAAGCATTTGCCTTCTTGGTCCCTTTCAACCTACCTGAGCAAGGGAGACATGGAGCGTACCACTCAAGTACGCAACGGGCAAATCACCCTGGAGTTGTAGCTCGGAGGTAGTGGAAAAGCCCAGCCCACTGCACAGCGTAATCCAAGGCACATGTTTTGAAGCTCTCGTGAGCTCACAAGGTTGACAGGACCAGGAACACGGGTCAAAGAAGGACAACCCCCTTCCAATTAAGCAAGAGGGGCCAAATCTCATACCGAAACATGGCGCGTAGCCTGTATAGTAAGGATCAAGCAGTCATGTTTCCCTGCTTATTGCAGGAATCAGCCATCATGCTAAAACAAAGAGATGTTTGCTCTTGTGGCACAGCTGTTTTTTGGAATGTTCACCTTTTGTTTCCAGCCTTTACTTCACCGTGCATCATGGAACAGGGGTTGCTGGATTTTGCCGTAGTTTGCAGTTTGCTGGTTTTCGGCCGTGCCCAAAACTAATTCACTGACTTTTGGTTTACTAAGCTGGGTGTAATTTGGGTATGTGTCACAAAAAGGATTGAATCGGACCCCAAGTGGTGCATGTCCCCCAAGAGGGCGCCCTAAAAAAAGCAAGCCGATGTATGCAGGCCGTTCTACACACATTGCTATCAAGCGGAAGCAGCTAGGAACCGCCCCCCTTGGCGGACCGCCCCAAACACACCCAGAATGGGATATTGTATAAATATATTGTTCTTGTTGGGGGGAGGGGGTATCGTCTTTTTGGTAGCGGAACTCACTTCCTGAGTGGTGGGCCGAACAACAAGTCTGAACTGTTTGTTTACCGCAGAAAGATTGTCTTCCCAAACGTGGCCTCCTCAGTGGATTGGCCAAAGGAAACGTCTGAACCTTGAGTTTGCCTCCAAACCCAAGGCGTGACTGAAGTCCACGAGCTCAAGCGAAGAGGAAAACCGTTCTTGAGTTTGGGGCCAGCAGTCTCATACTGTGGATGGACAAAATTCTGCACGTTGAAACCATCGGAAACCGAAACCTCGTTTGTTGACAATTGCAAGGGAACCGAATCTGAGTTCAGTGACCCTGGGAAAAAAGGAACCCTTTTTGGGGCTTGGACCATTTCAGTGGGGCAGTGAACAAAAACATGAAAAAGGAAAAATGACAAAAATGGTGCCACAAAAGTCTTAGAAGGCCAAAATAAAGGGAAAAAGGGTGCCACTGAACTGAGGAAACATTCGCAGGGTTTCTGAATGGTGCGGTTGGATGGACTTCGTCCACCCACACGACGCCGGTGTGGTTGTGCGCCAGGGCGCCGCCCAAGACCGAGGGCGAGCTCGTGGGTGGCAGCGGGTCCTTGGAGCGATGGAATCGGGGGCCCCGTGTTTCAAGGAACACAATGGGTCGTTTGGATTCTGATTTGAACGGGTCCCTGAGAAAGACCCAACAATCCAGACCGCCAATTAGTGGGAAGCTGAGTTTTAAGGGTTCTATGATGGTTTCTACCCAAACTACTACCCGAGCGTGAATTGGGATGTGTCTGTATCCTGTGTTGGCTGTGTAGTAGCTGTACATCCCGGGGGGCTTTGGCTTGGGGGTAGTGGAAGCCATCCCAGAAACCACGCTCTAACGTGGGTTATATGGAAACCCCCACTAACACAAAGCCTTAAAAACCTTGAACAACACAAGGCGCGCAGTGCCTACCCTCTAACACTGGAACCGGAAACATGGCCATGGAGAGACGATTTCCGAGCGGCGATGAGCGGAGACAGGGCTGCATCCTTCTGCTGAAGCGCGTGGTTCGCCATCACCGCGTAGCCTCGTTGCGAGATCTCCCCATGGTTGGATCTCCGGTTTGGGTCTTTACCTCTTGACATGGGCTTGCCCAAAGCTTAGCTGTTGGAACAAAACTTTGAGTTTTCCAGACCCCGTACTAAAGATGAACAGGCGAAACCAATGTGTCAAAATCGAGCAATTTTCCTGTGCAACCTCAGCGTTTCAAAGAACACACACCCTTAGAACAATCCCTTAACCGACAAGCCAAAATATTTTCCAAACAAGCAGCATTTAAGATTTAGTTTTGTTTGAAGGTATTCCGAAGGTGGTTTCCCCTTTGTCCTCTGCAAGAACCAAAGGTTCAAATTCCCAAACAAGCAAAAAAGGGGTAACCTCAGCAAAACCTGGAACTCTTCATTCGAATTAATTTTGGTATGTGGGTTTATTTGGGTACTTGGATTCCCCCTATAAGGGATAATGCATTCATAAACTCAGGGATTAGATTTGGCCGGGACAAGTCCAGTTACAGTTCCCCCCAATAGGACTGGGCTGCAATCCCAGCTTGCGCCATCCAACTTCTTGAGCTGGCAAACCAGGAACCGACCTGCTGTTGCAATCAGCGTTGACCATGATTCCTTGCTGGCATTGCTGGTCCCTCCATCCACCCTGAACGCGGTGCCCCATTCAATCGAGGGAATCCTTCTCTTTTTGGAAGAGCTTGCTCTCCCTTAACATCCTCCAGGGGAGCTCCCCTGAAGCCATTGTACGTAAAGGTTCCCCCCTTTCTTGTGCTCCGCGTTGGAAATTCTTGTAGGGGAGTAGTCTGGGGTGAATATTCCCAAGCCCTGAAGTTCAAGCCCGCAAACAAAGCAAAGGGGGGTCAATATAACCACCAGCCTTTACCTAAGGAGTTGCATCATCCAAAGTGGGTCCCCTCGGGCCATTCCTTTTTTGGGAACGGAAATTTAGGTTGCAAGGCCTCAACATCATATTTGAATTCGGTCAACTAGTCTTTCATTCTTCCAATGAGGGCAAGGAACCCTAGGTTGCAAGGCCTGAACATCATCTTTGCATGAAGTTAATCATTATTTCACTGGGGTTGAACGGAACCCTACTAGGTGCTCCAGTGGAGAGGTTACAATCAGGGTTGCCTTTCTTCTGTGGTCTATTTTAGTAGGGGAACCCTCCCAACCAAAAAAAGGGGTACTAGGGCCAATACTGGGGGTAGCCTAGGTTGCAAGGTCTCAACACATCATCTTTGAATCGGGTCAACTATTCGATTGAATGGGGTCAACTCTTCTTGTATTCGTTTAATGGGGTTGAAGCGGAAATTTTGGTTGCAAGGTCTCTCTGGCCGTGGGGCGGTTGAGGTTGCCGTTCAGGAAGTTGGGATGGATGTCCGCGTCACCCAGCTGGTTCAGCGGCTTCTCGTGCGCCTCCCACCTGAGGTACTTCCGGCACTCCTGGCGGCGGAACTTCGCGCGAGCGCCCTTCCTAAGCCATTTTGTTGCGCCTGCCTGGTTTTCCAATCACTCTCTCTCCATGAGCCTGGGTCGGGTCATTACCCGAAATAAAGGGGACATGACCCCATTTTGAAAGGATCATGGAGATGCCAGGAAGCCACTGCACAGATTTCAAAGCGAGTTGGACTACCGCAGAGTGAGGCTTCGTTAAGGCGGCAGAGGCAGAAGAGGGCAGATGAGGGCCCCATTCCCAGCCCCAAACAGCCTCCTGAATTCTGCACCAAAGCCCAGCTGGAGGCCCCATAGCCCCATAGCCAACTCAGGAAAAAAACACCCGGGTGCTTCAGATGCCCTTGCAGCAGAAAACAAATCCAGGGGTTCCATACCCCCCCCCACCCCCACCCTCACAAGAAAACAATACACATACTGTGTAGTGGCAAAGTCGATGGTTGCATATCCCTTCCGACCATTCCTGGGTGCCAAATTCGTGAGTGGCGCACACGAGCGATTCGCGTATCCCAAGCACGCGCCTCCTCTACAGCTTTCCGCCGAGCCTGCGGCAAGTCCAAATTGAAGCCCCGTACCCAACTAGGTCCTCCAGTAGAGAGGCTAGAATAAGGGTACCAACTTTTTTTAGCTGTAGTCTATTTTAGTGGGGAATCCCTCCCCCAAAGAAGAAACGGTAAAAGGGCACTACTGGGGGACCAGCCGAACAATCAATACCATCGGCTGAATGAAACTCATTTTCCTGGGCCATTGATGTGGTGGACACATGGCAACCAAGCAAGCTAAAGTTACAGATGACTGTCAAACTTTCGGAGGGTAGCCATTTTTGTGGTTGCCAAGGGACACCGACGGGAAACCACCATTCTGGGAGTCCCCGAGATGGGCAAGCAAATGACATGAACAAAAAACATCGGGCTATGACATTTAGTGGGGGACCACCCCCCCAAAACTGGCTGGACATAACTTCCGCAAGGGATGCCCACTACAAATCACCCCCATAGAGACAAAAGAGGTTCGTGGCCTCATATCTCACATGTGCCACACGACAAGCAGCAATGATCCACTGGAAAGCGTGGTCAAGTTTGGTGCAGTATGAATCAGGTCATCATCTTGTCCAGTGACAATCTACCATGCCACGTTTATGTCCACCCCGGATCAATCTGGAACACCCTACTAATCAGAGGGACCCCCTAAAAAAAGCTCATGTCTTTCCTAAAGGGAGCTTGTTTTTGGTAGGGTCCTCCGATTTCTCCGAGGTTAACATGAAAGGAGCAGCCTGGGAAAGGTTCGACCCGAGGATGAACAACAGAATTACGGCACGATTGGATTCCTATGTCAGGCGCACGTGAACGATTGCATGTTGACCAAACGTGCGCAAGGAACACAGCAACCAACAGGCTTGTCGAGTTTGCATCACCTCCAAACCGCTTCCTTCCCAAGGGGAAACGCTTAGTGTACTCCGCTCATTGTTCAAGGGCCGAAATCCAAGTTTTTGGCAACACACCCAAATCACACTGCGGGCGCTAGGCCAAACACACATCGGATGCGACCACTTTGCAGGGACCCAGCCCATCAACCCTTTTTGGAGGGTGCCCGTTTTTTTGACAGGTTTAAAGGGAGAAACCCATGTCGGTGGCTTCCGCCTCTATTGAGACTACTCTTGGTATGGTAGCAAACAACTTTTCTTTTTGCAGAACTAAAAAACAAAAAACATGCCAAGAACAGTGAAGCAAATAAAAGGCTGAACCACCTCAGAACCCCATCCGCCTCACCACGCTTCTCCTCCACCACCATCTCCAGCTCTTCGACCACTCCCGGCAGGCTCAGCAGAGCCTTGCCACCCGAAAAGGGTCCGACGGGCAGAAGTTTGAGCAAGCGGCTGGGTCCAGTCTTAACCGTATTTTCTGTTAGTTTGGTTCCAGCACAGCTTGAAGCAACTTATTGTGGACTTGAGCCACCAACCATTCTCCTGCCCACTACGGATAACAGCTCGAAAGCTTGGTTTCGGACAAGTCAGAGAGGAAATTGTGACTTCGAAAATCGTGTCGCTGTAGGCAAATCAGAGGCAAAGTTGACTCTGTTCCATCCGCAACAACCAGCAACACAACATAAACAACACATGTTCAGAATTACAGTGAAAGCTTGTGCACTTCTCGAAGCCGCGCATGAACTTAAACAGAAGGTTGCTGTACTTCAAGTGCCGCGCATTCAAAACAACGCTGCTCAAAATTTCCACTACTCAAGCAGTGTTCCAACCTACCTGAGCTAATCGTGCCTGCCCCCCCAAACCAAAAAGGTGGATTGGTCGGGGCTGTCCCTGGCCCTCAAATCCATGCTTAAGATATCCAACCCCCCGCGGAAAGATTGCAGCAAAAGGAACGTAGAAAAAACAACAACAACAACAACATAGCTGGAGGCTTGGTTAAACCCCCAAGATTAGCAAACCCCTGGTATGGAACAAGGGACAAATCCTAAAAAGAGCAACAAGGTTAAAACGGCAAGCTAAGTCTGGTCATGCCATAATTACCGTGAAATACACTATATAGCCACCAGAGAAAGGGTATACTTACTTGCCCACAGGATCTGGAAATTGCGAAATCAGCGGTTCAACTTTTGGGACCTTTCCTGAACATGGACCAAAATAGATCAGGGCAGTTCCCTTTGTGCAAGTGAGATCCCCAACAAACGCATCCAACGCGTGTTCTAGCGTCTGTTTGCTGTCCCAAGAAAAATGAAAGAACATGCGTCCAATAATGACAGGTTCCCTTTGAAACCAGCAGGGGGAAGTACAACATATTGCCTTTGAACCACCAAAGCAAGACAGGCACATATACTAAAATGGGCACCCCCGTTTCTTGTGTGTTTTATACTTTCATTTGCTTAAACCCCATGGAAGATGTTTTCCAGTAGTTATATATTACCCTTTAAAACCAACGGGGGAAAAATAAAACATATTCTTAAGCAAATGGAAGTATAGAAAACCACTTTCTTGGGTGGGCCGAAGTCTCTCCGAAACCGCACAACTCAAACGCTGCCTCGGGCAAGTGGGCAAGCTCCGGGCTCAACTCGGGCAGTTCGTCGTCGCCTTAAAAACGCCAAGCCCACGGCGAGTTGAAGCGAATGAAGACTTCTAGGCTCAACCGAGGTGAAATCAAATACATGGGGTTGATCCCAAGCTCCCTTATTTGGGATTACCATTGGGGAAAACCACCAAACATATATCTATATATATATATGTTGTTTCTCAGTAAATGAGAAAAGTTATCCATCGTCATTTCTCGGCAGCTTTCTGCTCCCCTGCTAAAAGCTTAGTTTTGCGTGGTTTAATGGAAAACACACTAGTTGGCAAAAAGTTCAAGTCCTAACATCCAAGCCAAAAGGCAACAAAGTAGGGGTAGCTTCCAGTTCCAGTCTTTGCAGGAATCCGGATCTTTCTTCCCCAGTCTTTTCCAGAAACCGGATCTTTCCAAAGAACCTTCAGAAACCAAGGGAGAACACCTTTTTTCTTTGAAAAGAACGATGGTCGAAAAGATTGGACAATCAACCCCTACAACACTACGCCGCTGTTGTGCATGTGAGCACGCACGCCTATGTATGCACATTTTTCTTTCATGCAATGCATCTGTGACAGAATCTGCCACTTTTTTAAGCTACTCACTTCCGTGGATTGCCCGAAACAAGTCCAAAATGCTGTTTGCCGTTAAAGTGGCAACCAAATCCAAAAAGTGACTAAAGTCCGAATGGAACGCAGGAAGTGGTTTGGGGTGTGCCCCATTTTTGTGGTGGTTTGGGGCAGACTGAGGCCCGAACTCACCTCCGAGCTGCCTGGCACGGCAGCTCACCCCTTGCCCGGGGAATGCGAAAAATACCGAACTCCTTTCAAAGAGGGCCCCTTGTTTCCACGCAAATATATCTGATCAACGGTCGAGTATACTAACTATTACTTATCTTTCAAATTTAGTATCTCATTGAATATCTCAACTAAAGGGTCTGTATGATTCCTACTATTTTCGCGGAATTCAGGAATCTGTAATTGACGAATCCCCTTGAACCAAACGAAAAGCGTAAATATTGGGTATTTAGGCATACATTGGACCCTCTGGGTAATTCTTCAGACAAGTAATTAATCACTGTATTCAGCGATGTTATCAAGTTTCTTTTCTAGAACTTCAGTTTCAATAGAAACGTGAACTTTTCAGCGACATAACTCATGTATTGAACCATCTGATCTAGTTGAATTTGGGATTTCGCGCCCGCTTCAAAATCCTGGTTTCTGATCATTCCCCAAAGTAAATACCAACAAACAATTCTAGGTTCTCCAGTAGAGAGGTTAGAATAAGGGTACCCCTTTTTCTGTAGTCTATTTTAGTAGGGGAACCCTCCCCAAAAATGGTACAAGGGCACTACTGGGGGACCTTGAATAGTTTCAATTAAGTGCAAAATGGATGTCGCGACCATCCACTGCACAGCGATATACCGACCCTCTTGATCATCTTGCCTTGAAGTGGTGGCTATGGGTGGTTTGGAGCTGTTCCGTGGGGAATACACTCAACATTTACCCTCTACAAGAACAAGGGGACTCACATCCCCCAACAACCAATTGGACCAATCCAAACACCACAAATTACACTAAATATCATATGTTCACCTTCTGTGTCACTTTAGCACAAATCGTTTCTGGGATGCCCAAGCAATGATGTTGCTCTAGCCCACAGTTAGGCAGTTGGGTCCCAAGTGCAAAAAACACAAAACATCATAACAACTAACTGTCTCAAAATGAAACCCGAAAGGCAAACGAGAAGGAATTTTGGAGAACCACCATCTTGAGACACATCCATTTGCATGGTCAATTTTTGGAGACTAAGCTTAGGGCCCACAGTGTTCCACCCAACTTCCCCTCCACAAACCAGGGTTCACTGGGCCTGGGGTAAACAGGAATTAACGTTTGCCGACTCCGTACCCCTTAAAAAATCAGATAGCTTTGCAAAACAGCTTGAAAAGGAAATTACGTGAGTAAACGTTTTTTTGCCGTATACCCTATTCTCGCAAATCCTGACAGGTAGCGGGTGGGAACCGCATCATCGCCTTGGCGTTCGCTGCGTGCAAGAGGTTCAACTCCCTTGATGTTGTCGCTACATTCAAATCACTGGGCTGTCCTCAGATCCCCAGCTAAAAGTTCAACTTTTAGTGGGCTAAATGGAAAACCCCACTGAACACGAAAAAGGCTAAAACGATAAAAGGATGGCTGCGAGCTTCAACTCCATGGACAGTTAAGCGGATTCGGATTGTACCCAACAGGAGCATTCGACATTCTTGCAACGGGCAACCCGTGTGCGCCACGTGCACTTAAAACAAATACCATCCTCACGGATTGCCGGCGGGATAGGATCTTGAGAGACGGAGTGGATGTAAAGCGGATACTGTAGCGGGAAAAGTTGAATAACCACATTCTCCCTTTTTCCATGCCATTCTGCTTACAAAAGATGGAAATATTTTTGGTTCCATTCAAGGGCAATACCACGTCATCTCGCCGCTCGAAAACCCCGAGCCCAGCCTCTGAAGCTGGTGAAGCTGCCGGATGTCAACGTCTTCTCCATGACAAGCCCGTCCCCCTGACGGGGTGTTCGAGTCAACCGCGTCATTTTCAGCCATGGGCCTTCAACAAGTAGGGTGCAAACCCATATGAGGCACGGTTGAAATTATTTACTTGCGGCCATTTCGCTACTTGGTTTGAGAGCCCTCTATCGTTTTCCAGCGTTTTGTGTTTTTGAGACCTCTCATTCTGCAAGTGCTGCGAGAACAGAAGAAGAGGAGCAGAAAGAGTTGGCAAGAAAGGTAAAGAAAGGAAGGAAAGGAAAGAAGGAAGCCAGGGGAGCAATTAGAAGGGGAAAGGGAAGGAGGAGGAGAAGGAGAAGGGGAAAAGCAAGAAAGCGAGAAGGCGAAGAACAGAGGAAGGGAGAAAAGGGAGGACAAGGGAGGACAAGGGAGGAAGGGAAGAAGTGGAGAGGAAGGGAGGAGAAAGAACGGAGAAACCAAAAAAGGAAGGAAGGAAGGAAGGAAGGAAGGAAGGAAGGAAAAAAAGGAAGGAAGGAAGGAAGGAAGGAAGGAAGGAAGGAAGGAAGGAAGGAAGGAAGGAAGGAAGGCATGAAGGAAGGCGTGAAGGAAGGCATGAATGAAGGAAGGGAGGGAGGAAGGAAGGAAGGAAGGACGGACGGACAGGAAGGACAGGAAGGACAGGAAGGACAGGAAGGACAGGAAGGACAGGAAGGCAGGAAGGCAGGAAGGCAGCAAGGCAGGAAGGCAGGAAGGCAGGAAGGCAGGAAGAGAGAACGGCAGGAAGGCAGGAAGGCAGGAAGGCAGGAAGGCAGGAAGGCAGGAAGGCAGGAAGGGAGGCAGGAAGGCAGGAAGGCAGGAAGGCAGGAAGGCAGGAAGGCAGGAAGGCAGGAAGGCAGGAAGGCAGGAAGGCAGGAAGGCAGGAAGGCAGGAAGGCACAAAGGTCCGCAAGGGAGAGGAGAGGGGAGGCCTGGGAGTGAAGTTTGGTGGCATGAGTCTGGGTGAGCGGTGGTCTGGACGTATTTTTATGTTTTCCCGGTATCGTTCAGGTATCGTTCCGGGTATCGCGCGGGGTATCGTTCAGACCGCCTGCCCGGCATTCCGCTAAGCTTTTCTTGGCCCGAGCACTGCGCAAGAAAAACTACGCACGCGTTTCACACGCGCCTCGGCCCGGCGACTTGACTTGGTAATTGGCTTTGCTGTTCTAGCATTCGCACTCACACGTTGCAACCGCATACATAAACAAAAAACACGCGAGAATACGCATAACTGCTTCCAAGGGTGTCGTTTTTGAGAGTTCCCTATCGTGTACCATGGTGCATTTCCACAACATCAAAGAAACACCGAACACTAGATTCAACAGAAGTAATTTTGACGGTGCTTCATATGCAATCACGGAACTGCTTGGTATACGACAACTATATTGCCAATTCTATTTTTGAGCTCACCGTTGCCTTCTGTAGCTTTCTTTCAGCCATCCATTCTTTGAGGTGTTGCTGAGTTGGTCAATCAGCACTTCTTGAGGTGGACCGGCGGTCGCGCATACGCTTCTATATCTCCAAAACCCATACCTGCAGCTAGCATTGAATCACATCGACTGATTCAGAGCCAAGCATTGGTGAACGTTAGGTGCGACTTAAGAACTAAGAAGGTTCACGACCTTCCCGTGCCTCCCCTTACAAATCGGCTCTAAATCACTGTTGAACCCTTGGGGGTTCAGACTCTTCCAAACTATGCCACCTTCCCAACACACAGTGCATTTTGTCAAGTGAAACTTGTATGGGTGTGTGTGTGTGTGTGTGTGACTGTGCGTGTTTGTGTTTGCGTTTCTGTTTGCGGTTGTGTTTGTCTGGGGGACCCTTTCTGAGCTGGGGTTGGGGAAACAAAATGGACGCGGGATTAAGTTTTTCGGGCTAGTTTTGAGAACCTCCCTAAATGCAAACACTTCAAGAGACCCAAAAAAACGGGACAAAGCACACAACGCCAGTTCCCCGCCAGTACCCCACCGGGACACAACTCAAAGACTTCTCCCAACCCCCAGCTCAAACCCCCAAAAGATACAACGCTTAAGCTTTGTTTCGGTATGTTATTTACCCCTTGTTTACCTGATTATTTACTCCGACGTTAACCTCATCTTGGGGTGTGTTCCAAGAGCCTGGTCTTCGAACCACGCCCTCGATGCGCCGAAGCTGGACGCTGGACGCTGGGTTCCTTTTTGGGTGCTTGAAATCACGGGCCTGGAAAAAACATAAACCGCTCTTTGGCTTCCTTTGGGTAAATCAACCCAGGGTCTACCCTCCAACCAAATCGGTTTGCTGACTTTGTTAGGGTATCCCCTTAAACAAGGATGTGCTTAGCATGGAACACCCGGCTTTCCAAAGTCCTGAAACAAGCGGGTATTTGGACAAAAAAAATGGCATGTGTCAAGATTGAATGGGGCCCCCTGAAATTGGAAGGGTTGTTCTTTTTGTTCAGGTGCCCTAAGAATGCACACAACTAAACATGTTCTCAAAACAGGTACCCACCATAGCACAAGCCCGCAACCAAACGCCAGCCGTCCACCACGTCCGCCTCGGAAATGATGGTGCCGGAACGGAAGCTGCGCTGCTCCCCGACCACGGTGCCCTCTGAGAGGCTTGACGCGCTCCTCTCCGGCAGGTCATGCGGTTGCCATGGCCAGCGAGGCACATGAGACCTCTTTTCGAGTTTCAATTTATGGAAAAAAGGAGGGGAAAGTGAGGAAAACCCACCAATTATTTGAGTAACAAGGAGGGGAAAGTGAGTTCAGCAAACTGTGCCAAAAGAAATGCCACCAAAGTAAGTGAGTGCCCGTTTACCTCATTGGGGTGGATGGGATTTCCCGGGTTCCACGTTGATCACGGGAGAGTGCTTACCCACGCACATCGAGGTTCCACCATACCATATCCTCAGAGGGTTGGGCCAGCCCTTGGAACAAAACTCGTCAAACCCCGCCCTGTGAAAGCCGTGGTTGATTGAAGCAGCCTGTCTTTGGATTCCCTTAGGCAGGCCGGGGTGGGTCACTCTGCCCCAGACACCTCTGAACCCTTGCTCAAGTGACAGCGAGGTTCGAACAAATGTTCCAAGTACCACCATCCCAGTTGCAACAAAGTACTGTTGTTTGGGAACCTCAAAACCTCTTTGTAGGTTGAGTTTAAAAGGATGCTCTTCCCCAGGTTGAAACAAGTGGAAGCAAATGTCCAGGGGTAACTTCCCCATTCTGAACCCAGGGATCCGGATCTTTCTAGAAAACCATCCCTAGAAAATGCCAAACAAGCGCTCCAAGCCCAAACCTTCATGGCCCTTGTCAGCACTCCGAATCTGTATGGGTCTCCCTTTCTGAGTGGGTTGGCCGGAAAAACGTCTAAACCTGCTCTTTACCACTCAACATGCCTTCCCAAAGGTCTAAAGTTGTCAGGACATACTGTGGATGGACGAATTCCTGCACCACCGAAGAAGCACTGGAATGATTCGATTCCCCTGTTTTTACCAACAAACACTGGTTTCAAGCATGGTTTCAAAGTGGCGCGAAATGGATTTCGTCCATCCACATGGGAACTTCCTCAACTGGGAGGTGCTTCCCTCTGGTTCCCCAAGCCCAAGCAAACCACGGTGGCCCGAAGGCTCTCGGCCAAGGCGCGGCTTGAGCTTTGGCGCTGCAATGCGCTGTTGCAGCTCAAAGTCCTGCGGAGAACCACCCGAATGTGTCTCGATGATGTGTTTTCTCAGTTGCCCCTTAGGGACCGACCTTGACTAAACATGGACCGGTAAAAAGTAAAAGGTCGTCTTTGCGCAAGTGAGTTTTACCTTGTGGCTATATGAGACCTATATACACACTTTTTCTTGTGGGTAGCGGTTTGGAGGTAGTGGAGACCGTTTACGATGGTGTCCACTACCCACCAGGGGCAAGTTTCAAGCGCAAGGCTGCTGCAGGAAGATCATAGACGAGCCAGAGTTGGTTGCACATCGCCAGCCGAAGTTTTTCTTAGGGAACCTACATGGGTTGATCTTTTAACTTAAGCCCTGGCACACCCTGGCATGTTAGCAAACAAACGTTCTTTGCGGCCAGCCCCCCACCCCCACTAAAACGATTAGAAACAAACAAATGCAAAGAACTAGGCATACCGAGGAGGCACCAGTTTGTTGAACCCAGGCTGCCTCAGGCATGCAGAAAGAAAACCTGCAAGAGCACAGCTCGCGCCAGGCCTGCCCTTTTCACAGCAAACCGGCACATGCAACTCCTCGTGCTTGTTTGCCATCGTCTCAGCTCTTTGCCTTCTTTCCCTTCGCTCGCCTCCATGCAGGGCCCTGCCATCGCCTTCCGCAGCTTCAGCTCCGGCTCCGGCTCCGAGTCCAGGGGCCCACATGAACTTGCGCGCAGCGCGCTGAGCCAAGCCAAGTTCTGACAACTTGGGCTTGAAGCCGGCGCCACGGCATGCTCCGCCCGGCCTGGCCTCCACGGAAAGCTGCAGCCATCTGCAGCCCGTGGAGCTCCGGGCATCCAGGGGCGTGGGCGCACGTCTTCACGCACGCCGAGCTGCTGGCCGGCAAGCCTACCGCCTCCCGCGCGGCTGTTGCCGCAACACCACGCCAAGCCAAACATTGCCGGAATGTCAGGGAGCCGCTAGGCTAGGCTGGCCAACGGCCCAACGCAAAACAAAGTGGGAGCAGTCAACGAAACACTGCGCAACCAAGACCACTTGCAAATGAGAACGGCATCATTGATGTTCCAAGTTCCAGCTCCAACAATCTCGCGACACGGTTTCTGGCACAAGTCGTCTGAAGCTCATCGTGGCTTCGGCCTGCCTTTGGCGTGTCAGCCACCAGGAACCGCTGCAGGAGCTCAGCTCCTTCTGTGCCAGGCGCACGCGCTGAAGAAGCCGCTGGCCGGACAGGGCCTGCGAAGTTCAACCCAAACCGTGGAACTGAGTCCCCGAAAGATGGGATCGAGTGGATGGTGCAAGAAAAGAAGCCAAACTGTTTGTTCCCCAAAATGGCAACCAAACCCAAAAAGTGACCAGAGTTCAGGAACCCAGGATGTGGTTGAAAAGGGGGCCATCCAGAAAACGAATCCCTACCCCAAAACATTGAAAACACTCGCGCCTCCCTTCCACAACTCGGAGCGCTGGATCTGCACAGCCTTGGCCCAGATCATGCACAGATCTGAGCCTTTGCTTTTTCGGGGGAACCCCGGGTTCTTTCCTTCGGTTTCCCGGATTAAACCCAGCAAGCAAGGGCAGACACCCTCAAAAGAAAACATTGACACTTGTGGGCACAAACTCGGAGGTCCCTTGGGAAATTCATTCAGGTCACCTCGTGGGCGTCACTCAATCATAATTGAAGTGGATCCAAAGATTGCTTTTTCAACGTGTGATTCCCCCAAAAAGCAATCCAAAAAAGGCCTCCCAGAGCTGACGAGTGCCTACAGGAAACGGACGCCAACTTCTGCATTCACACGTCATGTGCGGATACGGACGTGCCACTCACAACATGGGTGGCATGCTTCATTTTGACGTTCAAAGAAATGGCGCAGCATCTAACAACGAATCATCCCGGGAAACTTGTACCCAAGCAATTGTCCAAAGACCAAATCTGGGCTGTTGTAAGATCCCCCTCTAAAAGTGACTAACTTTTAGCGGGGTTACATTTGGAAGTCCAACCACTTCAGTATCGTCGACCCGTACGCCGAAGCGGCAGCCGCTTCATGCTGCTTCGGGCACTTGCGTCCATCCTCAGAGCAGAAGCGATTCGAACGGCATGGAAACAAATGGGGAATGAAATCGCTATGGGCTATCCATGGAAAATGCAGGATAAGCCAGTTTGATAAGCCCTGAGTAAGGGGGGTTAATAAGGAAGCCCCCCTCCCTGCCTTGGGGGTCCATGGCAAGACGATAGGAAGCGCTCACTTCGACAGGCTTTCGAAGAAAGCAAGACTCCGGAGCGTTAGCCTCAACAAGAAAACGGACCCTATGCTCTACCCAACTTGCTCGTGGTGCCGCTACACACGGCCAAAGTTGAAATGGTGTTTGTTTTGATTCATACAGGAAACACAGAGCTTCGCGTCTTTTTTCAAGCACGTCGCCGGGGTCGTGGTTTCGAACTCGCCACGCGTCTCTAGTCAAGTATGCATCGCGGATTGTGGTCCGGAGCAGTCGATCCAGGTCTTGCCAGGGCCAAAGACAGTGTCGGTTGGCAGGCTGGCAATGTGCTTCATTCGGAGATCAGAAAGGCTATAGGAGGTGCTGTCCGGTGGCTCTGCAGCTGCCAACGCGGTCAAAACGGGCTCCAAACGCTGCGTTGACTGCAGCTTCTCTCGCAGCATGGCACAGGCTTCGGCAAAGGTGCGGCGGCAAGGACCCGGGCTATAGCCTTTGCCTCTGCCTCGACCTTTCATATGCTCAGGCCCGCAAATCTGTTCCACCTCATGACAGGCCCAGTTGAAGGCGTCACAGCTTGGCCTGATCTCCTGCAAGGCTTCCTGCAGCCACTTTGGCATCTCTGGTGTGTATGCTGCCGCTGGCAGGTTCGGAAGCCCTGCCCTGGAGGGACGGAATCGGCGCAAGCCGCGCGCCTCAAAGTCCACACCCCAGCCGCTGTCCATCACCGACACCCTCAGCGGTGGCATAGGCTCTGTGGCCTTCTCCGTCCGGTGCGACTTCCAGGTGTCGCCCAGAGGGCTGGCCAGGCTCTTCCTGAGTTGAAAACTTTTCGGGGACCATTTTTAGTGGGGCAGCCACCGGAAAATAAAAAAGGGAAAAAGGGTGCCACGGAACAACTGAGAATCATGAAGCCCGGATATTTCTTCCAAAGCTCTTCGCAGGTCTTCGCCGAGTCCCGGGCACAGACGCAGGAGGAGCTGTAGTTCACTCTGCGGTCTGCCTCATCCAAAAAAGCGGCAAAGGCCACCAAGGAGCCATCCAGCAAAAGAACGCAGCCAGAGGCCTCGCTGAGACCGTCACCAATCAACATGCAATCGGACTGCAAGGACAACACCGCCAAGATCTCTTGAAATGGAACACCCATCTCATCCCATGGCAGGACACTCTGCCAGCTCGAAGCGTCCAGGGCTAAGAACTGGACCTCGTCCTCCTCAACCCCCTGCGCCATGTCTTTGTAGAGCGCTTTGGCCTTGTCCTCCTGGCATGGGATACCAAAAGCGTAGCCATGCATCGGCACTTGGACCAGCACAGCGCTGGTTTCAAAGTGCCGCAGGGCCAACGCCAGCGACTTCCGCTGCTCTCCGGGGACCGCTTGGAGGACTTTCTCCGGCAAGGGGCGCCGGGTCAGAGTAATTGAAGCGCCATCTGCAACATCCGAGAGCGGCTCGTGATCCGCAATCAGTTGGCCGCCAATGGCCAGACTTTGCGTGCAAACCAACTCCTGCCAGGCAGTAGCTTCCTCGATGGCTTCCTTTAACTGACGCCCCAGAACTCCCTTCTCGCACTCCACCTTGCAAAGCTCCTGCGCATCCAAGCCATGCACTGACAGTCGTACCATGGCACTTTCGAGGACAAGTGGATTGTAGAAAATTGCTTTAAGAGACTTTATGCCTTGAGCAAAAGCCTGGGTCGGTGCCTCCTTCTCTTCCGCCAGTGTCAAGCGCACATCGGAGTCGCAGCCCCCCCCCCCCCCGGCGCCTCGACTTGGGCCTTTCTGAGCGAGCTACACTCGGGGCCTCAGTTCCCGGCAGTCCTCAAACGTCCAGAGGGGGGTGGGGATCCGGTCTCCCGAATCCATTTCCAGCATTCCCCCAAAGGGAAAATGGCGCACCATCCTTTTCTTGGGGCCACCCTCCTCCCCCAATTCCATCTTTAAGGAGATAGGGCTCTCCCTGACACAGGTCTCGCCTTTGCCCTGACTTTTGGAGATTGACCTGGTCCCCAACATCAAGTTCCCAACTTCCAGCTCTGCTTGCAAAGCTGACTTACTTACTTTGTCCCAGGATGTTGCCAACACATGCCTGAACAACTGTCTATGATTCAGTGGAGATTGCAGCACCCAAGAAACAGGACACCCGTAGTGGAGCAAATTTACGCCCATGCATGCATGTTAAAGGCAATGTGTTTGATGCTCTCTGGGTGCAACTTGTTGCATCTCACCGGCATTGCCTCATGTCATCTTCGTTCTGCCGCAGCCAATCAGTCAATCCTGTTTGCCATCTTGGCGGCTATGCCCGTTTGCTTCATTGCAAACTGACCCAAAGCCAGAATGACAGCCTCCTCGGCGCAATTCGCACTTGCAGCATCTAAGATGTGCTCTGACTCTTCAGCTTCCTTCCAGCTTGGAGGGTTTGGTGGATTTGTGAAGGGGTTTCCCAACTAAACCCTCTACAAGAACCAGAGCCCCAGCCAAAAATGCCAAGCCACTGGGCTGCAGCGGCCGTTGGCATCAAGGCATGGCAACTCATTGTCTCACCTAAGGAGTCCAACCACTAGGTGCCTGGGCCTCTTTCGCTTCCAGCTTGATGACCTTCTCGCTCCCCATGGTGGTGGTTCAGAAGATAGCTTCACTTCACACCTGATTCGGGGAAAGCATCGCAGGCTCGGGGAAAGCATCGCAGGCATCTGCAACGGCAAATGTTGGCATCAAGGCATGGCAACTCAACATGTAGATTAGCAATGTCTGCCAAGCATTGTCTCAATTGAAAACGCAGGCCCGCATGAGAAAGAAACAAGACATACTCGGTCACCTAAACAGAAACAACATGCAGTTCCTGCTTCGCAGGTAGTTTTGGCTGGTACCATTGATCATGCCCAGTCTGGTGTCCGCTCTCTGCAGCTTGATTTTTACCGCTGTGCTACTTTCAACCTTGCAAAATCCAGCACCAGCTTCTCCCTTAGTGAAGTCTCCCGTCATGCCTTCCGCGTCCATTGGTTGCTCTTCTTCTTTCACCTGCTTCACCTTCTGCCAGAAGCTGTGCAAGCCAAGGCCCTCCTCTCTTTCTCTCACTGGTTGAGTGGATGGCCCCGAAAAAGTTCAAACTTTATATTTACCACTAAAATGGTCCAAACCCCAAAAAGTTTAAAGTTCATGAACTCAGGAAGTGAGTGGAGATTCTCCACTCTTGACTCTGACGCAGGCTTCGACCAAATTTCTGCCCCATGTCATGACGGTGAAGGCGCCAGGAGTCCAGGCCCGGCGAACCGCGATGCGCTCCCGGCCGCGTGTCCAAGCTGCGCGGTCAGAACAAGGGTGCCCGATGCTTTTTTCTGATTCGTCGATTTTTGTACGGGAACCCTCCCCCAAAAAACAAACGGGGAGAAAGGGCACTACTGGGGGACCTAGTGCCATCCTTCTGCATGAATCATGCCGGCATCCGCCTGCGGAAAATCCGGCACGCAGCGTTCCGGTCGCAATGCCCTGGTGGAGCTGGAAATGCTTCGGAACAGAAACACCTTGGCATCCTCGCAAGACCGGACATGAGAGCACAAACCCTCAAAAAAAACGGCATGATCATGTTTGCTGGGAGTCGAAGCTACCACCCGGAAACCGGTTCCTGCACTACTCCGGCATGCCTTAAAAACACGTTTTCTTACCTTTGGGTGTGGCACAGTGTTGGTGACATGCTGGATTTCATGGGCCGAAGAGGGCTTGCTGAGGGCTGGGAAAAGTGTCCAGGGGCCGGCCACGTGCACCTGGAAAGGTTCATGGGTTTCTCTTGGGATCCCCCTCTGGCCATATCATGCTGGGAATCTTGGGGCACAGGCCCACTTCGTTACAAGTTGCTGGAAAAAAACATATTTGTCAACTGCCGATTGACTGACGGGGGGTGCAGTTTGAAGCCCATGGCCGCAAAACAAATCTACCGATCAGGAGAACCTACACGGGTTGATGCATCCAATTCCGAATGCCGGGCATGTTCATGAGGACCCCGGATCAATAAACCTGTCCTACTCAAACTTTCAATCCAGTCTTATTTATAGAGGGTTCCCTCCAAAAGTGATGAAACCCCAGTAAAAGGAGGGCACCCAAGGGTTCATCAGTCCCGAGTTCCCATCAGCAAAAACAAGTTATTCTTCGCAACCAACAAACTATCATAACTAATCAGGCTTTTTAAGGCAATGCGACCTGCAGAGCAATTGCAGCTGGCGCTTTCCAAGGCGTTTTCACCGTTTTCACCGCCAATCGCTGCAGCATGCAGCTCTTCATGATTGTTTCCCATCTTCGCAGCTCCTTGCCATCTTTCACACCAAGAGTACAGCTCGCGCCAGGCCTCTTCTTTTTGTCCGTCTTGTCAGCTGCTCCGTGCCTTTGACTCAATGTTGCCCTGAGCTGCTATCTCCTTCCGCTGCTTCTTGAGCCAGGCCACCGCCCTGCTGAAGGCTTTCTCAAGCTCCGCCTCGGAGTGGTCCGAGGGCGCGAACCCGCGCCGCTTCGTCGACTTGCCGCTGCAGATGGCCCACCAACGCTGGCCGTGACGGTCCCAACAAACGCCCGGGACGGGCGCCTTGGGCTGAAACACCGGCAGCTCCGCCCGGGAGGCGGAGGCCGTCACGGAGCGCTGCAGCCCGTGGAGCTGTCGGAGCTCCAGGGCCCGCGCCTCCGCTGCAGCCTTCGACGTGAAGTAGCCGCCCTGGATGCGCCTTCCGCCGCCTGGCCGGGAGATTTCGACCTTCCACTTGCTTTGCTCCTTCTTGTAAGCCACCCCAACCACGTCGGAGCTGAGGCTCTGGTCCCGGAGCTTCTCCTTGATGCGGCCCTGGGCCACCAGCTGGGCGCGGAAGGCCTTGGCGGCCTCGAGGGCGGCGGCCTCAGCTTCCGCCTCGTTGAGGCCATCCTTCATGAAGCTGCTGATGCCAAACTGTTGCCTGTGTCGCGTGCTGGCTCCTTTGCTTCGCTCACTCCAATCCACACGCCAACAGAAGAGTCCTGATTGCCAACTGATGTTGGGAATGCCGCTCTGCTTGGCCTGCTGCTTTGTCAGCACCTTTGCAGGCTTCACACCGTTGCCTGGAAGAATCCTGCTGGCATCCCCTGCAGGCCTGGACGCTGCAGCAGACCGTGCGCCGGCAGTGGGCAGCTGCGCAGCTGGTTGCCCAGCGGTGCCAACGGCCTCCCAAACTTCGACGCCTTCCATGGCACCTGCACCGCCTGCGCAGGACAAGCGCCGCAAGCCGCTCTGCTCATCGTAGGCCCAGCCGCGACCAGCCCAGATGTTGCTCGGCAGGTCCCTCATCCAGGGCCACATCTTCATGCATGCCGCGCCGCCGGCATCCTCTTGTGAAGCGTTTGCCGCAGCGCCTCGCCAAGCCAAACATTGCCGGAATCACTAGGTTGATCAACGCCCACCCGCTAAACGCCATGTTTCGAACATGTCAGCTCAGTCAACCTAGCTGAGCTGACATTACTTGCAAAGCAAGGTGCGGCATGTTGATCTCCCAAGTTCACGCCTCCTAACCCCTCCCACGACAGTGGCGCATAAGCCACATTGAAGCCCGACCTGAGGCCCCGACGTGGGGCCTTCGGCGTGTCAATCTGCAGCGAAGCTGCAAACATCGGATGCCCGCGGTCGAAGAACCGCCGCAGGCGGCTCAGCTCCTTCGGGGACAAGCGCTGCACGCAGGGCGGGTCCTCCTCCTGTGGCGCCACCGGGTTGCTGAAGAAGACGTTGGCCGGACAGCAGGGTCTGCACATGGGCACAATCCATTCAGGCTGAGACCCTGGATTCAAGCATGCAGCAGAAGAGGGAAACCCTCCCAAACATTGGCGTCCTTTTAGGGGAAATAGATGGCCCTGGTAGATGGTTAAACCACCAGGTCAACCAGGTCCATCTATTTTTCTAACCAAAACGGACACCTATGATCCCAAACAGAAATTCAGTGATTCAGCGGAAACAGATCTGCTTCCCAACATTAATCTCCGGCCTGGTGGGCATCCAAGTCGCCCTCTTCCTTTTGAACTCGGCACATCGCTCGGCCCACGCGGCCATCTTCTGGTGGAACTCTGAACCCAGACTCTCCGCCTCAGAAGTGGCCAGTGGCAAAAAAGGCACCTGCTGGGAATTTGCTTGACTTCTAAAGGGGACAAAACACATGGAAAAGGGGCACCACAAGGGCACGTCTTGGACTTCTAAAGGGAAAAGCAAATGGACAAGGGGCACCGCTCTTTGGGTCAACTATTCTGTTAATTGATTGATTGATTTTAAAGCAGTCCAAACAAACAGAAAGTGGCACCACTGAGTGTCTGAGCCACTTTCACTTCCAGCTTCATGGCCTTCTCGCTCCCCATGGTGGTGGTTGGGAAGGTAGCTTCAGTTCTGACCTGATTCAGGGGAAGCATTGGAAGCATCTGCAACGGCAGGCATTGGCATCAAGCCACTGTCTCAGTTTGCTGGAAAAAGCAGGCCAGCATCAGCAGAAAAAACACACACACACACACACACACACACACACACACACACACACACACCACACACACACACGCACACGCACACGCACACGCACACGCACACGCACACGCACACGCACACGCACACGCACACGCACACGCACACGCACACGCACACGCACACGCACACGCACACGCACACGCACACGCACACGCACACGCACACGCACACGCACACGCACACGCACACGCACACGCACACGCACACGCACACGCACACGCACACGCACACGCACACGCACACGCACACGCACACGCACACGCGCACGCGCACGCGCACGCGCACGCGCACGCGCACGCGCACGCGCACGCGCACGCGCACGCACACGCGCACGCGCACGCGCACGCGCACGCGCACGCGCACACACACACACACACACACACTAGCCACCTAAAATGCAACCACTAGCATTTTCTGTCACATCTGTAGCATGCCCAGCCTGGTGTCCGCTCTCTGCATGCTCGACTTTCTCATCTCTGCCACTTTCAGCCTTGCAAAATCCAGCACCAGTTTCTCCCTTCGCTCCCTTCATGCTTTCCGCGTCTCACCTCCTGCTTCACCTTCTGCCAGAAGCTGTGCCAGTCAAGGCCCTCACTCTTGATGCAGGCTTCGCCCACGTTCTGGCCCTGCATGTCATGACGCCGAAGGCGCCGACGCTTCACGGGCTGCAAGGAATCTTGGCCCGGCGATCGGCTCTGCTCCTTCTTGATTGGACTGCGATCGGCCGCGTGTCGGACCGTCGCGCGCTCCTCTTTCATCTCTTCCAGCTTCATGCCTGCTGCGCCGCCCAGGTGGCGCAGAAGGCCTGGCCTAACAAGCGTTCCGGTCGTGGCAATGCCCCGCTAGAGCATCAGACATGCTGCGGAACAAACCTAACTTCGCATCATGGATCCTTCACAACTAAGTAACTGAAACCACATGAAGCCATAACCAGGTACAGTATCTTGGGACACCCACACGCACGTTTGTGAAGCTATCACCTTCACCCCGCTGAAGCATCGTTCAACGCAAGATCCGGGGCATTCGGCCCGGAAGCCAAGCGAATCCCACTTCTGGCGCTTGCCTTCGGCCCCATCCGCCTGTCTATCGAGCCTTCGATAAAAACAAAAAACAAAACGCCGCATGAAGCAGATTCAACCATTCTGTGGGGCACACCTCAGAGTATGTGCATTTGGGGCAAGTCGGAACCTAGAAGGTCAAGTATGGCCCTATCCCTCCCGAGTCGATGAGAGAGCAGGTCCTCATCATCATCCTGGCAGGGTGACCGAAACTCGATCCATTCCCCAGATTCATCTGGAACACCAAGCGCCCCTCGTTTCAAGGATATCCGCTGTTCAACCTCTTTTGCCAGCTAAACTTCCAGAGGAGTCGGAGCAACTCTGGCTGAGTCAAAATCAAGTGCGTCAATAAAACAAGGATTTCGAGGCTGCATTGCTAAGTGAGTTTGCGCCATTCGCGCACCAACGCACCAGCGTGTGCTTGCCCAACTGGGTCCTGCCACACCCATTGTTTCTTCATGCTTCATGTGTTTTCAGGAAACACACAGGCTGGACGCGCTTGGACGCTATTCACACTTTGTGGGCGTTCAAAGTTGGAAGCCCAATGATAAAGCAGAGAGCGTGGGGATTTATTGGTTGTTTATTCTTGTTTGACAAAACCTGTGTGTTTTGATTGAATCCAACAAAGACAAACCAGTATTGATGATTGATTTTCAAAACAACATGAAGCCTGAAAAAGTCCAACCAACTAGCAGCCAAGAGAAGAAGCTCTCTTTCCAGCCAAACCCTCGTGGGCCCTTAGTATGTCTTTTGCTACCAGGGATGAAGAAGAACTACGCAACAATCCCCTAAGCAGTCCCCTAAGCAGTCCCCTGGAATTGCTTTTTTGTTGGACATCACCTCGTGTTTTGCCCTTTTTGCCTCCCCTGTAACTCCCAAGCGTCTAGGGTTGTGTGAGTCTGTGGCTCGGAGGCTAGGAGGGTGGTACCCTCTACAACCCCCAAGCCACCAATCCGTTAACCACCAAGGGATTACCCTCCCGCTAACATGGAGCCTGATGTTCGGGGGGGTTATTGGTTTGGACCGTTCTTCTTTTAAAGGGGCCATTTCCCTGTCAGTTTCCATGTTAATTGGTGGAAGGGTATCTGGTTGTTGGCCGTTGCCGTGCAGGCAAGAGGGCATGGCAAGCTGCAGGACTAGTCTTCCTGCAACTCTGAGAAGGAAGTCAAATCTGCACAAGGTCACGTTCCACCAAAAGCCGCATTCGTGGCCTCACATGACCCGCCTTCCAACCCCAAAAGCTGTAAACGCGATCCATAGCGCACCATTGTCACATTTCGTGTGAATTCTGTGAACCGCGCTTCGGAGCTTTGGAGCTTCGGCGGTTCGCGCCTCCGGCTGCAGGGATTTCAGGTACTCTTGGAACCGCGCCTTCGCTCTGTCCAACGCTGTGCAATGGCCTCGCCCCCCGCGCGATCCGCGCGCGCGCCGGCGCCGCCCGTGGCCCTTGAAGCCTTGGGATTGAAACCTCCGGGCTGTCCGTTTTCAGATCCGCTCAAAGTGAATCACTTTTAGTGGGTTATAGTTATATTTGCAAATCCAACCACTAAACTCTAAAAGCATCCAAAAAGCTAAGTTGAACCGGATGGCTGGGAGCCAAGTTAACAAAGCCCGAAGTCTTCGGGACCCAGCAACCCCCCGAGCCTCAATTGAAAATCACCTAGAGCCGCATCAAGCTGTCTGCAGGCAAACGCATCGACTGGATGGAGGGTGGGCGAGACTCTCAAACAACCAGGGTAGCTAATAAATTGTTGCCAAAGCCATTGACTCAAAAGAACGGGGTTTCTTTTTGCCCTTTTAAACTGGATGGCTCAGTCTTCTGTTTACTTGGAAACTCAGAATGTCACAAACACTTGAAGTTTAAAGCTCCAAGCACATAGCAGCCAAGTAAACCCACCAAAGTCAAACTCCGTTTACATTTATGAAATTCCATCCGTGGGTAAGTACAAGGCAGTTCGGTTCGCCCTGGGGTTCCCTAAAGGCTTCCTTCGGGTTTTTTAGAGGTTGGGGACGTTTTTTAGGGAGGGACGCCCCCGCCCCCTCCTTCCCCCGACCACCCCAGCTTGCGGTTCCCTAGTACGTTGGAGCAAGATGTTAATTCAGCCCACCGTTTGCGTGAGAAAATGTCAGGACAACCTCGACTGAACTAGCTGGGCCCAGTGGGGCTGAGCAAACAGCTTTGAAACACTTCAAACACATCACATGGAAACACTTTCAACACCTGGCTTTGAATTTCCTTGCCCAGATTGAACTGGAGAAGAAAACACCTCAAGCGCACGGACATAGTGTGAATGGTTGCAAGAGCCGCGCCACGCACCATTTTGAAACTATGGTTGAAAGTTGAAACCATTGTTGGTTTGCATTCACTGAAAGATTGAGTCATTCCAGGGTTTCTTAGGTGCAGGAGTTCGTCCATCCACAGTCGCGAACAAAGCAAACCAACACAGGGACATGTTTTCTGAAAATGCCCCTCCAAACCACCCCCGGAACACCTCCAAACCGCCTTTTGCTCTCAACCGCCGAACTCAACGAGTCTGTCTTTTCTTGAGGTTGCCCCGCTTTTTTTTCTCTTCAAGGAAACCAACAGAAGAAAACACAATTTAGGTGTAAGGAAGCCAAAAGTAAAAAAAGAAAGAAACAACAACAAAAAGAAGAAACACACACTTTTTGTGTGTTGTCCCCCAAAAAGGCAGCCGCCAATTGGAGACAAGTGGAGTCAGGTTACCGGAAACGGAAGCGACAGATTCTGAATCCACCCGATCCGGAATCCGGAATCCGACGGAATCCGTCGGTGGATTTTCTCAACGGCTTGGATGCGCTTTTCTGGAACCACGCCTCGATATTTCAGATGCTTTGGAGCCGAATCGGTGGTCTTCTGGTGTGGGTGCTTTGGGTGGTCTTCTGGGGTGGCTTCCCATGTCGACAAGAAGCGGTTCAAATCAAATCCAAACCACCGATGCAGGAGAACCGTATCGGATTCAAGGAGTACGAGGAAGATATTTAACCAAAAAGCAATGACAGGGAGCTAGGTCCTCCAGTAGAGAGGTTAGAATAAGGCAACCCTTTTTGCTGCAGTCTATTTTAGAAGAGGAACCCTCCGCCAAAAAAATGGTAAACAAGGGCACTACTGGGGGACCTCGGGACAGGAGAAGAACATTTGTGGACTCCACAGGATTTGACCAGAAAGTCCATGACTAAAAACGGGACGACATCGGTTTGACAAGGTCGGGTTCGCTTTGGGCGCGTGAGATCCCCCGAAAAGCGCATCCAACCGCGTCTTTCCAAGAGTCAAAAATGGGGCCCCGGGCAGTAGCGCACGATGAGCGACCAGAAGACCGCCAGCAGAAGGACTCAGATGACAGATCCGAGCCACGGAATGCCCCGTTACTCCAAACCCAAATCAATCTGGATTACTAAGGTTCTATTTGCCAGGTACAAGGATGCCTACCACTACTGAACCCAAAAAGCCACTAATTATCATTGATCATCGTCGAAGGCAAAAACACACCGTTGACGACTTGTTTGTGTCAACGGGTGGGCCAAACGCGTCGCCGTGGCTTCCGCCACCACAAGAGAAATGGGCGAAAGAAGTGTTTACCTTTCGAGGGTGTGCAGCATTAAAATTGCTTGCCTTCAAACACCCATCTTTGTGCCACCAAAAAACAGCACCAAGCGGAGGTCATTTTCAGGGTGGCCTTGACATGGAAAAAACGAAGCAGCCTGACTTTACTGCGGAGTCCCGATGTCCTTCCCAACTTACCCATACTGTATCAGTAGCTCACTTCTTGAATTGTTGGGGTTAAGGGGAAACCACGTGGAAACCTGTAAGAAACTAAAGGTGTGTTGGAAACCACAAAATAGGGGGAAACTACTTTTTGGGAGGGCGGGGGGTGGGGTTAAAAGGGAAACGTTATCCCAACCAACCCGATTCCTAGTTGCCTAAGTTCAACTTTTAGCAGGGGATCTGAGGACAGTGCGCATAGCCACAGGTGACCATAGAAACATAAGAGCACTCCTCCTTGGGTGTGTATGCTGTTGAGGCATTTTGTGTTTTTGTGTGTGTGTGTGCGTGTGTTTGTGCGTGTTTTTGTGTTTAATTGAGCGGAGGGAGGAATTGCGACATCAACAAGTTTGTTTGTTTCATCAAGTTGGGCTTTTCGTGCTGCAGCTGTTGTTTCTGTTTGCGCCTGGATTCCCCTTTATTGGGATCAACGGGAAAACACACAGAAACCTACGGGAAACCTAAAGTGGTGTTGGATACAACTACATTTGCAGACCAACAAAAAGGGGGCGGACGGGCGGGGGGGTTTGCAAGGGCAAACCAACATGAGGACACCTCTAGCCGGTTGCTTGGGGAGCCAAGGAGCTGGCCAAATATATGTTTGATTGATCTCCCGGTTGGTTTTAAAGGGAATCGACTTACGGAGCGGGAGCTATGTTTTCTCAATATTTTCCTGTTGGAACCTGGGAATACACAGGGAACTCAAACCAAAATGAACCAAAATAGCCAGGTTTTGTTTTCTTTCCTTTTTTTTATCTCGACATGGGCTAGAGAAGGGTGATTCCCCAGAGTGCGCAATCCCAGGGTGTAATAGGAAAACACTTGGATTCTAAATTTGTCCAGGGGACGGAAGATCAAATGGAGGCAAATGATGCCTTGCCACTTGACGCGGACCCCTATTGTGAGAAATACTTGGATGGCCGACGCCGAATTGGCTTTCAGATTCCGGGAGGGAGACACACAGGGGTCGCCAACGAGAGTTGTTTTTTGCTTTTCTGCTTTTGGTGATGTTTGACTCACTCCCTGAGTGCCTGAACTGTATACTTTTGGAAAGACCATTTTACTGATATACTAGAAGATCAGTTTTTTTTGGCCAATCCAAATCCAACTGTCACCTAGGTCCTCCAGTAGAGAGGTTAGAATAAGGGTACCAACTTTGTTCTCTAGTCTATTCTACTAGAAAACCCTCCCCCCCCCCAAAAAAAAAAGCACTACTGGGCGCTTTTCTGAATGATGACGGACCTAGGTCGCACTCCCAAGCCACCCCCGAAGCCCCGAAGCATTCGCCCCGAAGCATTCGAAGCCGTGGCGCAGATGAAGACGACCCCCGCCGCCACGATGAAGGACACCAAATCCGGCGGCGTGTAGGGCTGTACGGCACTCGCCCGCGCAGGGTCCACCTCGTCGATCCTGATCGATGTTTTGGTTACCCGAGGAGATCCACCCGGTGTAGAGGTCCATGTGGGTGGCTCCTGTTGTTTTCAGTTGGTCCCCCCCCTCTTTGTGCGTTGTTTAAAGGAAATCAAAGGCGGACACAAGGACAACCGCCATTTTGGGGTGACTACCCCGAGCTTGGAAGTGACTGTCGATTTACTAAAGCACCACATAGGCTACAGTGCTTAACAGTTTCAAGTAGGGAAGCTCTACAAGGACTCAACTGGAACCCCAGGTTGAAGATTTGGGAAGCCCAAATCAAGTGGCAAGTTTTACTGAGACTGACCGGACCCGAGGAAGGAAACAACTCATTCAATCAAATCCTAATCGTCTTGGTTCATAGGAATGACTCCTGTTTTGTTTTGTGGTTGGTGGCACTTTCTGTGTGGTATTGAAAGGAGGCCAAAAGGAAAAGCACACTTTGATAGGGACATATACTGTGGATAGTTGCGAAATCCATTTCGCACCACTTCGAAACCATGGGAAGCAATTGCCCGTTGGTATGTGCAGGGAATTATCAGAAAGGGTTTCTTTGGTTGTGCAGAAATTCGTCCTCGATCCACTGTATTTGAATCAAAGGCTACTATAGGTCCATATATGAACCCATCATTACTTTGGACTGTGTGGGGGCTGATTCTCAGTAGTTAAGCCAAAACTATCGGTTAGTTAACCCATAAAATAGGATTTCATATCAAGGGCTCATATATGGAAGAACAAATTCAGCCTTTGATGCAATCGGTCCAAGGTAAAACAAAACCGGCCTAAGGTGATACATACATATACCTATAATATAATATATATATATATATACATATATATATATATATACATATGTAGAAATATGTTTGAATGGCCCCAAGGTGGAGTCTGAGATATGGGTGTGTCTAGGGATACCCAAAACTATGGTTAGATTCTTCCTGGTTTCGCTGTAGTCCGGCTTCTAAAGGTGTACTCTCCCAAAAAGAGTACCCCATTCGGGTGACTCCATTTTTCTCCCCCTGCGAAGTGGGCGGTTTGCCTTGGGTTTCCCTTTAAGACAACCCCAGAAAAGGGTGCTCATGAAAGATTTGAAAGGCCCATATGAGCCACAATCAATACCCGGTACTAGAATGGTCTACCCAGAACCACGCTTCAAGAATTAAGAAGGCGCAATTCCGCAGCTATTTATGGCTGGGATTGGCCCTTACGAACCTTCATCTACCCGAATCGGTTTTGATTCCGTGGCCCATATAATTTTGCTGGGCACCTTAAAGCCTTATGGCTCCGTTGACTTTCTTGGCACATGAAGGGGATGGCACTTGCTTTCAGTCGCAAGGATTATACGAACCCGATCTGCGGTTTCTTTCTGTGACACCTGGGAACTGGTCGCAGGATGCAAGACCGTCTACAAGCGTGCGCAAGGGCCTGTTTTTTTTGCACACCATCAATCATATACACTGCGTTTCCATCTACCGTGGGAGTACATTGAGGAATCATCTTGGCGCACAATGGCCACCAAAATAGTCTTGCCGGTTCTCAGTGTTTGCCTTAATCAAATGAAACCACAAGGGATGGTTTATAGGGGTCAGCAAGGGTGCGTTCACCCAAAGAGGATGATAAAGCAGTATACACCCGTACTCACTCTTAGTGATACACAACCATGCCTGAAAATGCCAACTTGAATACGTTTTCCCTTCTTCCATTTGCTTCAGTCCCCTGGAGAAACAGAAGTAGTTCCCGTAGTGAATCGGTTCCCCGTAAAAACCAAAGCAAGAAAAAAACAAAAACACAACTTCATCTCAGCAAATAGAAGCCACGCGTCCCGGCTTCGCGCGCTTTTTCGGCGCTTTTTGCGCACGAGGCGCAGGAAGAGGCAGTCCCAGTTGTTGGAGGGGCACTCGGTGCCGTCGTAGGCCGTGTGGCCCAGCAAGGCCAGGTTGTCGCAGAAGATCTGGCAAGGTTCCAATGGGTGTGGGTCAACAATGCATACCCGAAATGGAACCCGGGTAAGTGGAAACATGGACTAAAATTATGCGGTCCCCTGGTGGTATAATTTTGACCCATACCAGAATGTCTAGGGGTTGATTCCTTTTCCATTCTCTGGGCTGTCCGTTTTCAGATCCCTCGCTAAAAGTGAATAACTTTTTGCAGGTCAAGTGCAAGTCCAACCACTAAACACTAAAAGGATCTAAAAAGCTAAGGCTTGGTTGACGTTGGAAGGGGAGCAACAATTCTAATGTTTTAGCAGTTCAGTGGTTGGATTTGAAGCACTAAACCACAAAAAGCAAAAATTGGAGAAATGTCAAACCCAACAACCACGAACCGGATGGCTGGCAGCCCACCAAGTTTTCTGTTCAACCCACCAAGTTATGTTCAACAAGCAGCTGTTTCCCCAGGGCGTTTGGTGGATTTTCAAAGTTCAAATCCCCAGCCTTCGGGTTGCTCTTCCGTCCTGTGTCCCATCCCTCAAGACCCATAAATCCAAATCCAAAACGCAAATTTGGGGCTTCCTGATCTTAAGGGGTTTGAATTTGGGGATTTGGATTAGATCCCTCAAGCCCCCAAGCTTCCTGATCTTCCGTTTGCTCTTTCGTCCCCTGGGGAAAAAAACACACGTTTCCCTCAAAAAAGCCCGGGAGGGAAATACAAATATGCTTAAGCACATGGAAGTGGCTGACTCGAAGCTGGGGCCGGGTGGCTCTCTTGCTGGAGGTGGTCAACGTTTGGGGCCAGGGCTAAAAATAAGAACGGGAAACCAAAAGCTTGGCTCTTGGCCGCTGTTGAGTGCGTCCAAAAGAAAGTGTGACCCCTCTCTCCAAAACCAAAGGGAAACTGCAGCCTTGCCTATTTAAATCTCCACCCCATGGAAATCATGCGGGCACCCATTTCTTGGTTGCTGTAACAACCCCTCTGCACAACGTTGTTCAATTTGTGGTCCAATGGAGAATCCCTCGTTGCCCGAAAAAACATGAATTCCAAAGATCTAACCGAACAGCCATAAAGGAAGGCCAAAAGGTCAAAAGCTCAGTGTTGAACCAGTGAGTTCATCCCCGGCTTCTTATGTCAGCTTCCCCCAAACAGGGTGGTTGGGAGCCCGGTTGAGCTTTTTCCAGTTACCCCAACTACGGGGTGCCCGAACATAGCAGCAGCCTCCGTGCAACCAATGTGAAAGTGGACTAGGGTTTATAAATCGTAAACTAGGCCGACAAGGAAGACTGGGTCCTCCAGTAGAGAGGTTAGAATAAGGGTGCCCTTTTTTTTCTGTAGTATATTTGAGTAGGGGAACCCTCCCCCCAAAGGGTAAAGGGGCACTACTGGGGGACCTAGAAGACAAATTAAAGTACTGTCGCACGTGCGATGAAGCGAGGGTTCTCCAGAAGCTGCCACAATCTAAACGGCCTGAAGTAGGGAATCAAGCGTGGGCGAATCCACTCAACACCCTTGGGCCCCCTGAGGGTTGGGTTTAGTTAATGTTAGCTTCAGATTCATCCGGAGGACTGTACTGATCAGGGGTGGTTCCCCTTCAACAAAAAACAGTGATCATTTAAGGGGGTCCCTCTGACCAGTAGATTTTTGCGGATTCATCCGAAGTAAACGTGAAACCCGTTGTGCCGCTGCTGGAACTGAACATCGCGACATCCAACTGCAAATGATGATTCGTCAGGGGTCATTGGATTTGTCCCTTCACAAGTTGCAGTTTCCTGGTAAGTTCCAACGAATACAACCACTTTGGAGGTCTCCTTTAAAGGGAAACCTAACATCCCCTGACCATGGGAATTGTATCTTTAAAAAACACTCCTTCCCGTAGTTGTTTTTTTTAATGGAGGGGGGACGCTGAAACCTGCATTCTCTGGCATCCGAATGAGCCACTGGTCAGTATGCCCAGCTGACCTCTGTAAACCATTGGAACTACTGTGGATGGACAAAATCCTGCACCATCTAAGAAACCCTCGAATGATTCGATTCCCCCTGCGCATGCCAAACGTTGTGGTGTCAATCATGGTTTCTTGGGTGGTGCGACATGGATTTCGAGGCCATCCACAGGATGGTGAGTAATTAGAACCATTTGATCTTGCCTCAGAATAGGACACCACCCAGAACGACTTTCCTCTGTTGGTCCCGCTTCGAAATACCTCAGAAAGACATATGTCAAAAATGACATACCCCTAGGTATCCTCTTGGGAACAAATGGCGCTGTTGAATGTCTAAAAGCAACTTGAAACCAGAACACATCGATGTCCAAGCAAGCTGACCTAACAAAGACATCCATGTCCACAATTACCACTCCGCAACCTTTAAACCATTCCACAACCGGAAATAAGGATCTGCTCCAGTGAAGGACCCAGATCATGGGCTTTTGCTGGGTTTCTCCCGTTATGCTAGCCATCAAAACTTGGTTGACGTTGGAAGGGGAGCAAACAACAAAATAGCAGTTCAGTGGGGATTTCCCACCAAACCACAACAAGCAAACATGTAAAATGTTTCCCAACAACAACCATCAAATAGATGCAGAGCCATGAGCACACGCTGGGACCCTGCCTCAGAAACTTGGTCCATCAGGCTGCAGCAGCTACCCACGTGACCTGAGCATTTCGAGCATGCCGGGCTCGGATTTTTCGGGTTGGAGAATGCCTGGCAGCTGCTCGGAAACATGAAGCCATACAGTAGGATTCTTCTTAAGTAAGATGGTCTTCTAAAAACCCAATTCCAGAGGCTCTATGTTGGGAGGATAACCAATTTCTGATTCTCAGGGAATCAATTTCGAGGTTTGAGAATGAACAATTTGGAACTCCCTCAAAAGAAACCACGGGTTGGACACATTCTCTGCCTATCGAACCAGCCAGGTACTCATGGATCCTACCACCCTCAACGCCTACTTCACCTTCAAAGTACCCGCACATAATTTCAAGCAGGAAACAAGGGAAGGGATATGTATGGTTCACTTCCATGATTTGTAAAAGACACACTATGAATAGGGCCAACCAAAAAGGGCACCTACTGTGGATGGACGAAATCCTGCACCACCGTTCAGAAACCCTGGCTCATGATGATTCCACTGTAAGTACCAACCAAAAATGCTTGTCTCTGGTTTCAAAGTGGTGCGAGCGGATTCCGCAACCGTCCACAGATATGAACAGTGGGCCCACGCGACGAATTCACCGCGCAGGAAGGTCAGGGGGGCTTTTTGCCACCTTTGGTGAGAAAATTGGCGACCCCCTCAACAAGGAATTTCTTTACCAGGGGTCGATCATTTTTCCAGCCAAAGGTGGCAAAAAGACCCCCCTGAGGAAGGTCACCCGACTCCTCACTCCGAGCTCGGGGCCGTTCTCGTCGTTGCAGCACTTGAGGCGGTCCCCCAGGTACGCCGCCTCGGCCAACATCCGATGCGGAGATGCAACAACTAGGTCGAGCCTCCAGATTGGAGAGGTTAGAATAAGTTGGTACCTACTTTTTTTGTTCTAGTCTATTTTTAGTAGGGGAACCCTGGCCCCCCCCCCAAAAAAAAGGGGTTCAAGAGGGCACCTAGCTGGGGGACCTAGACGACAAAAACAAGCCTGGTGTGGAAAAAGCTCGGCCCTCAGGTTCTGCAACCCCCTACAATGGCTCTTAGAAAGGTTCTGGGAGCCCTGTTTGTCGGTTCTAGCCCTCTTTTCTCCTGCAGGTGTTCGCATGCAAACCCGAGCCAAACAAATGCCAAAGGAAGAGGACTCATACCACGCCGCTCTGAGGCCATATTCAAGAATCCCGGGGAGGGGGACGAGCTGTCAGGTGTCTTTGGAGGGGTGCTTGTTTTTTTGTTTGCTTGTTTGTAACAATAGAGCTTAAATCCTTCCTGGATGGTTCTTGATCCAGCAACTCAAGATAGAATCAGTTCAACAAATCCAGGTATTCACCAAAGTGGTGAGCAAGATCCATTGGAGAAGGTTTGTTTGCTTGTTGCTTGCAGGAAAAAGTGGGGCAGACCAGCTGTCTGTTTTTTAAGTTGCTTGGGACGCAGCAATATGCCAAGACCTGTTGATGACGAGAACCTGTCCTAATTGTCTCTTCCGATTTGTAGAGGCCGCAAAGCATCGGGCTATCAAAATGCACCCAACTGCAACTAGTAGTTGACTAAACAAGCAGGATTTGGGGAAAAAAACTGGATTGGAGAAAGGCAGGGATCTGGAAAGACCCACTCTCCCAGTAGATTCGTTACCCGGACGATCACCTTCTCAGTTGCCATGGCTAAATGTGGGGCGAAAGGGGAACCAACAGATTCTTTGGCGTCCAACGAGATGGTTTTCAGCTCAAGTCGTGGCGGTGTCAACAACAAACAACCCTTTGAGCAGTCTCCTGTCCGAACTCCGAACTCGCCCAATAAGGTTCGTCCATGCTCAGAAGTAGGAAGTGCATTCGGGGCGAGGGACCGGGAGCGGGGTGTTTGGTGCCGAAATCCAGCTGTTCCGAGGGAAGCCCATAAATCGGTTCCTATGTGTCAGCGTGCATGTGCCCATATACAGCCGGAACCTTGGCGCCAGCTACAGGCGAGTACTCTCTAAGGGCCTAAGCAATTCGCATGGGCTTGTGGGGTACCTTCTGTTCAACCCTTGGTGCAGTAGCTCACTTGCCCAAAGGACCCGTCAATAAAAGGTTAACCTTTTGGGACCCCTACTAAAAATAGACCAAACCGGGAAAACCAAAAGGTCAGATCCGGTCGATTCGCTTTGGACCACTGAGGTATACTAGCAACACATGTTGTGTTTCCTTCCCCAGCCTGCGAAAAGAGGATCAGAACCAAAACAAGAACAACCACTTCCGAACAAATTTGCAGGTGATAGACGTGAACTGCCAGTAACTCTGCGGTGCGCAAACAAAAGCACGCAGCTTGAGAAAATTCTGCTTCACGCGTCTAGACCATGTAAAATAACTTTGGAGAACCAGTTATATATGTTGAGTGCTTTGAGCGCTTGGACCCATCAAGTCGGAGATCCCGATTTTTCTTGCGCGACCTTTGTCTTTTTCAGGGGGACAGGATTCCCGAAAAAGACCAAGCTTTAGCTTGCGCAGGAATTGGCTCCAAGAACATGTTCCTGTGTAAGGGACGTCCCTGTGCAGGTTCTATGCTTGCTTTCTTTCATTTCCCTCATGCTGGTATGGCTTGGCGGTTTGGAGGCTGCGGCTTTCCATTTGAAACCAAGTGAGGGTTGGGCGTTTCCCTTGTCACAAACACATGCCCACCCCCCCACCCCCCCACCCCGCCCTCTTTGGCATTCCGAGCTTCAAAATTTGAGCCTCCCATCTCGGTCTTATAGGCCACTGGCAAATTCCTCGGCACGGCGCCCTACGGTGGATGCCCATTGAATGGGTGGCTCGTCTTTTTTTCAAATCGGATTTCGGCTTTCCTGCTGGTTTCCCTTTCAATCCGCGAAAACGGGCACCCTCAAAAGCAAATTGCAAGCAAAGGAGCACGGGACACGCTGTAGTGACTGCAACTCCCCATATTTGTTTCATCTCTACTCTTGGTATGGTAGCAAAAAACTGTTTTTGCAGACCCCCAGTAAAAATGAACAGAACCAAAAAACTAAAAAACCAAAAATCATGCCAAGAACAGTGAAGGTTGGGCGCGGTGAGCTGCAATGCTGATGGAAACCCCATATGTCAACAAAGAGTCATGTCTCCTTTGCTGCCTCTAAAAGTGAACAGAATCCTAAAAGAGGACAACCACATAATCAAGAACATATTGAGGACAGTGAACTTTCCTGCTAGCAGCAGCATTGAGTTTAGGCCCAGTCACAAATGTCCAGGGTACCTACTCCAGGCCGCCGTACGTGTGAGGGGATGTTCAAGCAGGAAGGGAGACCCCTTTTGAATTGAGTCGCAAAATGGTTCCGACAAAAGCAGCCCTTTCTGGTGATTTCCCTTGCTTCTCCTCTCAAAGGACCCCGAAACAGGTTCAAACAAAGGCTATGGCAAAGGAGTTCCATGGCCCCAAAAACCAGGCAACCCGGTTTCGAAGAAATGTTGCCTCCTGGACCCCGCAAATCAAAGACGGCTCTCACCGGGCCGTGTGCTAAGGCCAGCGCCAGCCCTGCATAGTGTAAAACCTGAGCGGGGCTCAAGATTGTGAGTTCCCATGGCCCCGTCGATTCGCGACACGTCTGCTTCTTACGCAATTCCACAGCAAACGGCCCGGCGCTCAACCTAAGGAATGCAAAGGGACCTCTTCTTGGCCCAAACGACCTGGTCCTGGGTTTAGGGGTTGGTTTAGAGGGAGGTTGGAGTTCGGCTTGGTTCGGGAGAGTAAATGTAGTCATTTGCTCATTCTCACTTCCTCAGTGGATATCTCAGAAAAAGTAACCAAACTTCTTGTCTGAGCCACTAAAACGGTCCAAGCCCACAAAGTGACTAAAGTCCATGAGGAAGTGAGAATTTGCCTTTTGAACCTTAAACCCGGGTCCATTGAAGTGACTTGGACGGCGGCTTTCTGGGGAATGGCCAACTTTTTGCCAAGGGGGGTTGAGTCATCCAGGTCTCGAATGGAGTTTGGGGACACCCTTCGTAACATGGGTGCGTGTTTTCTGTTATATCCCTTTTGGGGGCGCGGAAAATTAAAATTGAAGCTGAAAGGAGAACCACTATCATGTGGGCCCCATATTTTGACACATACCAACATTCAGCAAATATCCCAGGGAAAAAGGAAGCCAAACATCAAATTATCATTCTCACCTTTTGGCGGTTCCACTTTGGTCCAGGCTTTCCTGGTCTACTAAAGTGATCATGTTGAGGGGTTTTCCAAATGACTCGTTGTTCTTGTGTTTGTTTGAGTTTTTGTTTTTGCTTTTTTTGGGGGGGTCCCCTTTCAACAGCTAACTTTGATTGGTCCAACCAAATAGCCAAGAAACGGCTAGCAATGGACCTGGAAATCAAAGTTTATCCTTTTGGGACCTTTGCTAAAAGTGGGAACCTGACAAGGGGCAAATGTTCAACTAGGTCCTCCAGTAGAGAGGTTAGAATAAGGGCACCTTTTTTCCGTAGTCTATTTTAGTAGGGGAACCCTCCCCCAAAAAAGGGTAAAAGGGCACTACTTACTGGGGGACCTAGTTTAAGGTTGGAACCACTGAGACAAGGTCCTGTTGACCCGTCAGATCCCTTCCCAGCTCTCAATTTGAGACATTCTCCGCGCCTCAGCCCACCGGTGGTGCCGCGGACCTCCACGTCCACCGCGCAGCGGGAGGTGGTCTGATCCTTGCAGGTGATGTTGGTGAACCTCGGCGCCCCGTGGCTTGCGTGGTCCGATAGGTAGGGAATGAAGGAAGGAACCCAGGAATCCCCTTAAAGGAAACCACCAGGATGGTTTATAGGGGTCAGTAGGGAATGAGAAATGGAATGAAGCCAGGAATTGGGCCCCTTAAAGGAATCCACCAGGTGGATGTTTTTTTTTTGTCGGGGTCATTCCATTTCTTCCCTACAGAGCAGGAAATCAGGTGTACAACTCAAGAGGGATTCCAGTGACCCTTTTTCCCACAACAGCTGGAAGCTTTTGGGTCTGTGCCCAAATGAGCTCTGGGGTTTGCACCTTTGCCTTTTGAAGATATCCCCACCCACGTCTTCATAATAGGGCTGACGTGGCGAACATCCACAAGGTAAAGTCATAGGGCTGCATTGGGCGCCAAGGGCGACTTGACTCCAAATCAGCATAGGAGTTGGGGCAGCTTTGTACTCACCTCCAAGTAAAACGTGACTACCTCGGACTAGTTCCTGTGCAAGCTCAGCTCAGAGAAAATCTCTTAGAACAAAGCCTCACCCGGTTTGCAGGCTTTCCCAAGTCACACTCAGATCCCTCGTGACCGCTGTCCAGTTGGCTTGGTTTGGCGCCCGGCGGTTTGGAAGTTGGTTGTGGTGGATCACTCGGGGTTTATCCAACCACTTCTGTGATAGTTGGAATCCCCTCTTGAAATGGGCGGGGTAGTCTTTGGGGGACCTTTTTGCTGTATCACAGATTCGTGGATTCCATTTCCCACAGCCCTGCAACCTGAGTGAATTATAATATTTCACCACCCGAAATACCAAACATGCCCTATTGCACCAGCAAGATGGGAAACCTCTTAACCAAGTCGGGCTCTGGACCGGTAGATGGTTAAACAAGAACCTACCCGAACCAAATCTACAATGGGTTCCCCCCGAACCACCAAGCCACCACTCTAAAGCTCCAATTAGAGGGAAGCTTCCCCTTGGAGGGATTTTTCTTGGGGTCCAAGTAAACAAATCCCTTTCCCACATGGAAGGCTTCCGTTGTCCCGACTGAATCTGTCCAAACGGAGGAACATGACCTACCATGACCTTCCCTACCTATCGCACCAGCAAGATGGAGAAACCTCCCCTTAACCACCACCCGCTGGGCTGTAAAAACCTGGGGCTTGGGTAGAGGGTAAAACGTACCCGAACCAAATCCACAATTGATTACTTCCCCTAACCACCAAGCCACGACTCTAAAACTCTGAGTATTTGGAAGCTTCCCCTTGGAGGGATTTTTCTTGGGGTCTAAGTACGGAACTCGCCCTCCCACATGGAAGGCTTCCATTGTCCGGTGAACCTCTCCAAACGGAGGAACCCGAACCAATCTACAATTGATTACTTCCCTTCGCCACTAAGCGGGTCTCAAAAACTGGTGGGAAGCTACGGGAAGTCTCCGCCGCTTTTTGACCAAGCGGCATTGCCAGCGAGCAGGTGCCCACGTTCCAACCGCCCGTGGAGGTTTCCAGCGTCCACACCAGGAGGCCGCACCTCAGCTCCGAACCCGAAAGCCAAACGACTCCTCCCCGCCTGGCGTGTGGTCCGAATTTCTCTGTTGCCCCTTAGAGACCCAGAAACAAAAAATGAGCTCATCCCCAACAGCATTCAGTGCTCCTTTTAGTGCTCGCACTACCCCGCAGTGGAACTCTGGTGAAACCCTGGTGGAACCCTGGTGGAACCCTGCTAAAACCCGTGGAACCTTAAGACCCCAAAGCTTTCAGCTGTTGGGGAAAAAGGCTAACCTTCTGAAATGGGCAAGAATGGAGAAACGAAAAGGTCAAAAGGTCAGCTTTGGGAAACTGAGTCATGTTAACATCAAATTTTACAAGCCCCTGGTTGATTTTGATTGGGTGTGTCCCGCTTTTGGTGGTGATTTCAGACCACTTGAGGGGAACACCCTCTACTAATAAAACCGGTGTCTTAATCCGGGGTCAACCCTGCCGTGCTTTCTTACTCTTCTCACGTAGACTGCCATCGAAGCCTTTGATAGCCACGTGGGTGACCCTTGGCCCTCAAAAACTAGTCAGCAAAAGGCCGACACCGCGATTCGACAACTCACTTGCCCAAAGGATCTGGAAGTAAAAAGGAGAACCTTTAGGGACCTCTACGAAATTACTCGGTTGCTAACAGTGTAAATTTGCGAGGTTTAATACAGAACACCCATTAGTTGGCAAGAAGCTGTTCAGTCCTAGCATCCCTTGGCAAAATGCACCAAAGTTGGGACAGCCTGGCTTCCTTAAAGGAGCAACCGGATACCGCAAGGGTTGGCACCAAAGTAAAAGTGGACCAGGTTGGCTTTGGGCCTGTGAGTATTCGTAGGGAAAATGCATTGGGGGAACCTGCCAATGCTCTGCAACCAAGTGGTTGGTAGAGGGTTCCCTGATTCCCAAATTAGAACCACCGTCTTATTATTCGCCTTTTGGGGGGGACTTTTTGGGTTCCATGTTATCCTATGGCTGTCAAGGGCTCAGGGGGCCATTTGCCCGGTCGCAGGTACGTCCGCTTTTGGGGCGAAGGGGTCCTTTAAGTGCGGGTGGTTTTTGTTGGCAGTCCACTCTTTGGCCGGGAACGTACATTGGTAATGTTGGGTGTAGCGGTTCCCAAACTCTAACACTCTAGGAATTGCTGCTTTCTTGCTCTGCCCTTTGGATTCTTGCCCATTTGGCATCCTGTAACACCGAACAGGGATAAGCAGCGTAGGTTGTATACCGGTGGATTGGGGGAAGTGGAGACAATCCTAGAAGTTTGGGTGTTGGTGGATATGGGTCTGTCTTTTGTGTAGGGCAACCCTGATTGGCGAAAGAATAAGGAGGAAGAACAGATAGATTAGACGAGCCACCCCAAACGGGGGAAGGTACCGGATCCCTCCAAAACTCTGCCTAGAATGAACTGCCCACCGAGCGGCACGACCAGCTCTACGATGCAAAGGCAAGGCAGGAAAATGCTCGTCACTACGCCTGCAGCCGCCAATGTCAAAAAAACAAAAGGAAGCACTGCACCCTCCAAGGCAAGCCAGGGGAAACGGCGATCGGCTTTTGAAAAGAAGGATGGTTGAAAGGAATGGAAAGGGAATCAACCCCTAGAAGAACAAGTTTGAACAACAACTGTTTGGGCCACCAAAATGATCAGGAAATCGGCCAGCGCCACTCGACAGGTAAGATTAGGGACCCCATCCACATGCGGTTGGTTTCCTACACCTTTAAGGTCAGCAGGGCCCAAGCAAAACAAAAACCACCCATGTACGACCGGACGCCTAGTTGGTGGTTGGGATTTGTGGTTTGGAGGTTAGGATGTGGTTTGCCCATCACCCTCCATAAGAACCAGGGCACCAATCCAAGCCATCAAATAAGGATTGCCTGACACCCCCAAACCAAAAAACAAACAAAAACAATAACGACGACACCCCCAAAGAGTTGCCACTGCGTGACAAAGCTGGGTATTTCTAAAGCCACCAACTGATGGCTACCTGCTCGGTTGCCCAAAGGAGCTGGAAATAAAAGGCCGGCCTTTGGAACCTTGACATTTCAGGTCGATTGGCTTTGGTTGCAGGTGAGCTTGACATTTCGCGCAGATCGTGTTTAAACCAATCGTTGGTTGCTTGTTGTAACGGAAAACCAACAGGACAACCACAATTCCGGGGGTCCGCCTAAGAAAAGACACGCCACAATCAGGGTTACCTGACATTTCGTGCAGCCTAAGTGGATTGGCCAGAAACAGTTCGACCAAACTTTTCGGTTAAGCAACTAAAACAGTCCAAACCCAAAAAGAGACTAAAGTCCACGAACTCAGGAAGTGAGTGGAAGGTTGCGAAAACCATGCCACGGGGCATTTACAGGAAAATCCTCATTTCAGGGTTTCTTAGGTGGTGCAGGATTTCCTCCATCTACAGTATGGGCGTGTCTTTTAGGAAGGGAAACCTTCTTGGGAGGGGGGCTTCCCTAATAAAAACACACACCCAACAACTTGCCCATAGGTGTTTATGGTGTCAAAGCTTCGGTTTTCTTGTTGGCCTCCAATTAAACAACCACCCCAAAAAGGCTTACAAAGCAACATGCTTTGCGAAAAGCTAAGGCAAATCAGCTTTCACCCGCCTGGTGGTGTGTTTGGACCGGGTTCAAATCCAAATTGAAAGCCACCACTCCAAACCAAGGCTAATGTGAGCCATGGGGGTAACATGGGGTAACAAGCAAACAGGCACTACAAAAAAGGCGGCCAACATGTTTCGATCCCAACCGGGGCCTAGGTGAAAGCATGGGGCTAATTGCCATTCTTTCCCAGGGAAACCAAAGGGAAACCACCCACGCAACGCGTGTCGTCGTTATTTTTTTTGTTTGGGGGGTGTCAGTCAATCCTTAGTTAATGATTTAAATTTAGATTTAAAACCCTGATTCTTGTAGGGGGTAACCAGGCCATAGCCTTCAAACCACGAATCCAAGCCATCAGTTCTTTTCGAGGAGAGCTGACGGAGACATGTTTTTCCGAGAAGTCAAGGTAGAAAAGAAAGCAACAAAACACGTGCAACTTTTCCGAAAAGATATAGGCAAAAGCCAAACCAACACAATGTTGTTTCTTGATGGTAACAAGTAGCAGTAGACCGCTCATGTTTGCGCATTTCTTGAGTGGGCCAAAAAATGACTGCACCAAAAAACGGTCCTTTTAGAAGTGTAAAGTCCAGAAACTCAGGGAGTGAGTCATCATGTTCTGATTGACCTGCAAATGAGATCATCGAACTCGTAAGAAGCCAAGGCGCTTCTGGACTCCTTCTTCCGCTCCTGCGATCAGCGCGATCACGCTAATGCGCGATCGGCGAGTGAAATTCCCCAGCTCCATTTTTCGAGCCTTCCCCAGAAAAGGAAAAATGGCTCGCGCTAAATTGAGATCTCCAGTCACCTGCCTCACCAATTCCATTGTTCAAGGGTTCGTTGGCACTGGTGGCTGCGTGCCCTGAGGCTTACTTGCCCAAAGGAGTTGGAAATCACGGGGCTTTCCTTCCGAGACCGTGAGAAAAGATGAGCCGAGGGGAGGCTAAAGGGTCGAAAGGCAAGTGAGTAAGTCGGAAGGCCAAACTACTACGACGAAACACTTACCCGGAGCCGCTCTGAACCGCAGAGCCTATCTGGGGAGAGACCCCATGGCAGGGGAACAAATTGCAAGGAAAACCTGCCTACAACCGGGAAGTATTACCTGGACTGTCCTCAAATCCGCTGCAAAAGGTGAATAACTTCTAGTGGGGTTCGTTGGACACAAACAACAGGGATCCTTACATCATACACCTGAACATTGCAACTTGTAAAGGGTGGTGTCCCTTTATTTTGGTGCTGAAAAAGCCATGTTCAAATGGGCAAAATGTATCTTTTCTTACCCCTTAAAACTCCAAGCCCTGGGGAAGTTAATCTTTTACAGACATATAGCCCATGTTACTCCCAAAAAGCTGAAAAGTTGTGTTTTTAAGAGGTAAGTTTTAAGGAGCCCTGAGCCACGAAACCAACTTAGAGCAAGCCTAGAGGCCTGAGCACCAACCCGCTGGCTGAGCCAAGTTACTTCCACCCAATTTGGTTTTTCGACCCCTGGAAAAAATTAAAACAGATTTCCAGTAGTGAAACGGATTCCCTTTAAAACCAACAGGTTGGATTTTTGTTTTAAATATATAATATATATTCTTCAGCAAATGGAAGGTTACCCCAGCCACCCACCCACCCATTCCCCCATTCCCCTCCTGAATCTCCTGGGGCGCCTGCAGCGCACAATCCAACCTCAGCAACTGATTACCCGACACAAAGCCCTGCAAACGAAAGAAACTACAACTACATCACGGGGGTAACATAGAGTTGCCACTGCATGACCGCGATCCAAAGCAATATCCCTGAGAAAACTTGGGTATATAGCCGCTGAGGGTTACCTGCTCAGCTGCCCAAAGGACCCCAAAAACCTTTTGGAATCTTGGCTAACAATAGGAATCGTAGGGGAAACAAGACGGTGATTTCAGATCGATTGGGTTTGGTTGCAGGTAAGCCTGTGCGGCTTATTTTTCACCCACGCTGGTTGTAAAGGGAACCACAAGGAAAACCACCATTGCTTTCTGGGGGGGCTCTAAAACAAGGCGCATCCAATTGAGGGTGACCTGAGCTTAATTGACTTAGATTGGCCAGAACAAGTAACCAAACTGTTGTCTAAGCCACGAAAGTTGTGCAAACCCAAACAGTGACTCAAGTCCACCTGAGGAAGTGAGTTCATCTATCCTCAGATCCCCCGATACAAGTTTACCGTATACCGGGCCAAATGGAAACCGAACCACAAAACCGACTAAAAACAACTAAAACATCTCTACCCTTGTAGTATGGTACCCAAAAAAACCATTTTTTTGGCAGCCCCAGTAAAAATGAACAGAACCCAACGAAAAGACCAAACAAAAACCTGCCCAGAGTGAAGAAAAGCCTCAGAAACCCAAGTGACTGGGAAGCCAAGGTCCTCCAGATTTGAGAGGTTAGAATAAGTTGGTACCCACTTTTTTCCGTCTATTTTAGTAGGGGAACCTCCCCAAACAGAAGAAGAAGGTAAAAGCTTGCACCAATTGCTGGGGGCCTGGCAGTTGAAACCACCAACCAGGTGCCAATTGAAGCGCCAAGCGCCAAGCGGCAGGTCCGCCACTCTCATCGCCTCCGCCAAGGAGAGCCCCCCATTCCGCAGCGTCTCGAACTTGTTCGGCGCGTGCGACAAGGCACGCAGCAGCCTCGGGGCATTTGGGCATTCGGCACCGAGATCGCGGGGCGAGCCGATTCCTGGAAAAAAAAAGAGAAACAATGTGTGTCCAGGTGTGAAATGGATTCCCTTTCAAACCAACAACAGGCTTGACCAAGGATGCTGAGCAAATGATGGCAACGATGTGTGATCAATGACGCAAGGTGATGCGGATGGCGGCGGGTTGCAGTGACAAGGATGCCACTGACGCAAGCGATGAGATCAGTGGAAGGCCTGGTCAATGATGTTAACGATGCCTGATTGATGATGCAAATGGTGCAAATGATGCAGGTGATGCGGATGGCTGCGGGTTGAGGCAGGCTGCGACGGGCTTGACCAAGGGTGCGGATGACTGCGGGTCAACGATGCAAATGGTGTGGGTGGTAGCTGGTTGCGTCACAGGCTTGACCAAGGATGCTGAGCAAATGATGGCAACAATGCGTGATGCATGATGCAAATGATGCAAATGATGCAATTAATGATGCAGTGATGCGGATGCTGGCAGTGACGGGCTTGACCAAGGAAGGATGCCAGTGACCCAAGCGATGAGGTCAGTGGAAGGCCTGGTCAATGATGCAACTGATGCGTGCTTGATCAAGGATGCTGAGCAAATGTTGCCAACGATGCCTGATTGATGATGCAAATGATGCAAATGATGCAGATGATGCAAATGATTTAAATCATGCAGGTGATGCGGATGGCTGCGGGTTGAGGCAGGCTGCTGGCAGTGACAGGCTTGACCAAGGATGCTGAGCGAATGATGCCAACGATGCCTGATTGATGATGCAAATGATGCAAATGATGCAAATGATGCAATTGATGCAAATGATGCAAATAGTGCAGGTGATGCGGATGGCTGCGGGTAGGCTGCTGGCAGTGACGGGGTTGACCAAGGATGCCAGTGACGCAAGCGATGAGATCAGTGGAAGGCCCGGTCAATGACGCAACTGGTGCGGGCTTGACAAATGATGCTACGATGCCTGATTGATGATGCAAAATGTGCAAAAATGGCTGCGGGTTGAGGCAGGCTGTTGGCAGGGACGAGATCAGTGCGGGTGGTAGCTGGTTGTGTGATGAGATCAGTGGAAGGCCTGGTCAATGACGCAACTGGCGCGGGCTTGACCAAGGATGCTGAGCGAATGATGCCAACGATGCCTGATTGATGATGCAAATGATGCAAATAATGCAGGTGATGCGGATGGCTGAGGCAGGCTGCTGGCAGTGACGGGCTTGACCAAGGATGCCAGTGACGCAAGGTATTGAGATCAGTGGAAGGCCTGGTCAATGATGCAACTGGTGCAGGTGGTAGCTGGTTGCGTGACAGGCGTGACCAAGGATGTTGACCAAGGATGCCAGTGACGCGTGGAAGGCCTGGTCAATGATGCAAATGGTGGTTGCGTGACAGGCTTCTCCAAGGATGCTGAGCCAATGATGCCAACGATGCCTGATCAATGATGCAAATGATGCAGGTGATGTCCAGCAAGGGCACCAACTACCAAGGGTGTGAATCGAAACTCGGGCTTCTGAGGGGAAAGACTTGCTCTTCTTTGATTCCTCAAAACTCCTTAGGGTTCCTCAGGGAGCCTTAGGGACGCCCCAGGGGCTAGGATCCGTCAACCCTAATAAGAGGGCCTTTCGTTCCCCGCTAAAAGGCGACGCGCCCCGAAAACCAACAACTTCCACGCCCAAAGTAGTTGCCCCCAAGATCATTGGGGAATATGCCCGTATAGTGGCTATGCGGCTACGTCTCCCATTAAACCCGTTGGGGCTGGAAACCATCTTGGACATGACGCTCTGCTTCATCCGGGGGTCTCATTAACCCTACAACTGGGGTTTGCAATTCCTGATGGAGGCATGGAACCCAACCGACGCCCGCATTACCAGTTCAATCTTCAATTCTTCTATATTTTTTGGCCCGGTACTCTTTGACGGATGGCTTTGAAGGGAAACCAGAAGGAAAGCCAGCAACCTTTGGCGGTCCAAATCCTTAAAAAAGGCGCATGTTTGTCTCACTTCCTGAGAGGATTGGCAAACCAAAAGTATCCAAACTTGCCGTGTACCACAAAAAATCGTCCAAACCCGAAAAAGCTCAAAGTCCGAAACGGAACTCCGGAAGTGAGTTCTCAGAGTAACTGTCGCGTGGCTCCGGGGAGATATCCGAGGCACGTGAAGCTATCGGCATGGCTGGGGACCCTGAGCGCCTGCGAGCAACCCACGGTCTCCATGAATTGGCCTCCCAAAAGGGATCCCTCCCCCCTCCCCAATTCCCCCATCCCAGCCGAAAATCATGAGAAATGCCGGAAGGAGGGGTAACTCCATCCAACGCACCATTCAGAAACCCCGGTTCATGATGATTCCACTGCAAGTACCAAGAAAAATGGTTGTCTATGGTTGCAAAGTGGTGCGAAATGGATTTCGCAACCATCCACAGTATCATGAATCCATGGCCCCCCAACAACTCGATCCCTTGTTAACCCCTCAATAAGACCAAACAATGAATCCAGCGACCGCTTTCGGGCCGGCGCCCTCGAGGATCCATGACCAATGCCCCGCAATGGATGTGTGTTTCTTTCATCTCTACTCTTGGTATGGTAGCAAAAAAATGACTGTTTTTTGAAGACCCCCAGCAAAAATGAACAGAACCAAAAACTAAAAAAAAAGCTGAAAATGCCAAGAACAGTGAAGTCTTTGATTGTACCATTCGTGGGTTGGGTTTTCAGGAAAATCCAACGGGACACCACCACTGGCTCCACCCATCCGGACACGTAGCTCCCGACACCGACTCCTGTCAAGCAGAAGCCCGTGACCCGAGTCTGGGGCTGCACCGGCCTCTTCTGCAGGTTGCCCTGTGTAGGGACAAACCCAAGTCTTACCCCTTAAAACTCCAAGCTTTGGGGAAGTTAATCTTTTACAGACATATAGCCCATGTTACCCAAAAAGTTGAAAAGTTGTGTTTTTAAGAGGTAAGGTTTGCTTGTTTGCCGCCCATGTGCCCACGAAACCGCCCGCACCCAACTGTGATTTTCGTTTTACGACAATCCAGGCCCAGGCAGGCATTCATACAAGAAAACTCGACAAACAAATGAACATACTCCATCCGGTGGGAAGCTTCCCTACGCAATTATAATTCACCCCCGGCTTCCTCTCAAAACCTCACCCAAGCCTTGGACGCAACTGGTGCGGCATCCATATCTGAGAAGCTGGAAAATGATGCTTCCTGGGGGCCAAACATGGTTTATGGTTTCTCCCTGATTTGGGTGTCCCCTGTTACGAAGCCTCTCAAACAGCGGGCCGGAACAACTCAGTTGCAAAGGCATCCTTGAAATCAACTGGTATTTGGATGAGTGTTTCACCGGCGGCTTAGGGACCCTGTCGAAGGTATACAGGTACACAACCAAAATAGTAGAAAGTTCATACAGTGAATGGTTGCAAAATCCATTTCGCGCCACCCAAGAAACCATGGTTGAAGCCATTGTTTGTTGGCATGTACAGGAAAATCATCCTTTTAAGGCTTTAGGTGGTGCAGGATTTCCTCCGCCCACAGTATGGGTGCGTCTTTTAGGTCGAAACCAATGCCTGTTGGCAATTTACGGACTTTGAGGGTCTGTTTGTATCGCCCGAGAACCGCTTCCGGGACACCTCCCTTTGACATGTGGCGGTTCAGACCACTTTTGCAGCGAACATCCTCCCAGGGTTCTACGAAGTGACATCTGCCTATTTTACAGGGAGCTCACCGATTCGGGGGGGGGGGGAAAACACAACAACTAGCTCTCTATGGATGTATGTCCCTTACCTGGCGATCCATTTCTGATTTCAGGTGATACTGTGGGTGGACGAAATCCTGCACCAGGTAGAAGAAACCCTGCAATGGAATGATGATTCGGTGTCCCTGGTTTGTAGTGGGAATCATCACTTTTGGAGGGGAACACCCCCATATTAATAAACAGGGGTTTATTATATGTAAACTATTACTTCACTAACTGAAACACATCCAAATACCTAATCTAAACCCAAGTGGCTGGGAACCGCCAAGTTACCCACCCCTCCGTTCCCCCATTCCGCTCCTGAAAGGTGAACATACTGATGGACGAAATCCATTTCGCACCACCCAAGAACCCCTGAAATCATGATTCCCTGGTCTTCCATGGTTTCAAAGTCAGGATTTCGTCCATCCACATGGGTGACTTTCGCTTTTAAAGGGAAGTCTAGGTACCTCGGTACCCAGTGCTTCGACCTCCAGCGCGCCTCTTTAATCTCCGCGTGCGCCAGCAGCAGCTTGCATACCTCGTCCTTCGCGAGGACCTGCTCGCCGAAAAGGAAAAGTGGGGACCATGGATCAGGGGAAGCCACAGGGTGGTTGCTCTCAGCCCTGTGGATGGTCGCAAAATCCATTTCGCACCACTTTGAAACCATAGGGAACCATTGTTGCTGGGTATTTACGTTGGGGAACTCAGGATTCCGCTTCTGCTTCCGAGCCCTAACTGTGGATGGTTGCGAAGCCCATTTCGACTTATCTTGAAACCACGGGAAGCTATAACGTTTGTTGGTGTTTACAGGGGGAATCATTATCCCAGGGTTTCTCAGGTGGCGCAGGATTTCGTCCATCAGTAGTTGGGGGTTGGGAGCCCAGTACTTGGATTGGGTCCGGTGGGAACCAGGAGTTATCCCAAAACCACTCATCCAAACCGAGGTTTACCCCCAAGAACCAGGGCTTCAAATCCAAAGCCTGACGAAACCACGAGGTTGACCCTCTACAAGAACCAGGGGTTCAAATCCTGGTTACGTGACTGGTTTCCCTTTGGTTTCCCTTTGGGCAAAAAATGACTTGCCAATGAACAAATCCTGAGGCAGGCGCCCAAATCTAACCTAGGCGTCTTGGACAAAAAGATGGTGGCTACAATTTTTTTGTACCCCCCTGGGAATTTTATGTTTCCAGAACCAGGGACCCGTTCAAATATCCAAACCACATCCAACCAATGAAGGGTTGCCTGATTTGTAATGGTTGTTTGCCCGTGACCCCCATGGCTCAGGTTAGCCTCGGCTTTCGACTTGGATTTGAACCTCTGGTTCTTGTACAGGACAAATGTGAAACTACCTCTAGCCTCCTGTTTGGCTGCAAACGGCTGACACCCCCCCCCCCCCCCAGTCAAATGGCTGTGGGTCAAAAATATGTACCCAAAATGGAACCCTGGTAAAAGGAAACAAGACCTAAAACCTGCGGTCCCCTGGTGGTTTCATTTTGACCCATACCCACATATAAAAAGGAAGAACATCGAATCACTTGCCCTTGTCGGACCTACAAATGAAAGGCGATCGCCTTTTGGAAACTAAAGGCGAAAACTAGACCAACACGGGAACAACAAAAGGACAGATCTGGTCGATTCGCATTGGACATAGGGAATCCATCGGGATCTGGACAAGTGCAACAAAAAACGTAGGGGTATGTTTCTGTGGATAAGCCAGTTTAACCTACCAATGAATGGGAGGTGACGTTGACAGTGGTAGTGTGACGGAGCCAGAACAAGTTGGTACTTGGGTGTGTCTTCAAATAGGCTTCCCTTTTAAACAGGCCCAAGCATCCTCAAAAAAGGACAGACCCATCTACGTGCCCATCCTTTTTGGCTTCTTTCCGGGAAAGCAAGCAGCTAGCACAAATATTTCGCACCTCGAATGGCTTTGTTTAGGTCCCCTTTAAACATCTCACCTCGCAAGGAGAATAGGTCCAACTGAGTCCAAAAAAAGATGTTCAATCCAACTAAAGGGTCCATCACCCAAAGGATGCTCGGTTTGAACCAAAGGCAGTCCCCTTGCAGTCACCGTTCTGTTGACCTTTCCAGTTCACCTGTTGGTTCAGCAAGCGTGGTGGCGAAGCCAGCACATATTTCTTGATCCGCATCTGGGGCATACACCAAACATGTTCTTGTTAGATTCCGCCTTTAGTTCTCTCAGGGATCCTCTCTTCAAAAGATGGGCCAAACCCTGGAAAATGGGTGGTTTCGAAAGAACACCATGAAGAGAACGGGGACTCAAACCTTCGAACTTGTCCAAACCCCACCCCAGTCGGGCTCAGGCCCCGGCTGGGTTGTTGTCAGGCAACTCTTGTGCTTTTATGGTGCTCCGCTGCCTATGGATGCGGGACAGCCCACATGGCGAGGAATGTCTGGCGAAAACTTGCTATCGGTGCGATGGTAGGCAATGACCGGGTCCGGGAATTGAACATGAACAAACTTGTGGAATCAGGAGTAAAGGAAACCATAGCTGGGCTGTCCTCAGATCCCCCGCTAAAAGTGAATAACTTTTAGTGGGTTAAATGCAAATCCCCACGAAACACTAGGGAGCCACCAAGCATAGGTTGGATATTTTCTTGGGGTCATTCCACTTCTCATTCCCTGCCCATTAAAACTAGAAAGACAAAACACGTTTTGATTCTCATAGATTTCTTGGATGACCACATTCTACGTCCACATGCCCCCTTTGAAGGCTGCCATGTTAACGACCCTTTTAGGGGCTGTCCCAAAAAACAAGCCAGAACTAACGGTGAATTAATCCATAAGCATAACGGGGTTCACACCAGGGGTTCATACATGTACCTATTCATTCAGCCTGGCAAATCCCCGAACTGGGTGAAATGTGCTTAAGGGAAATCCCACTCCGGTCAACCCGAGATAGAGACGACTTCCTGACCTGTTTGGTCTATGGGGGGCGGGGGGGATGTATGCCAGAAGCTAAGGATAAACCTACTCTAGATGGACAAAATCCTGTACGACCTAAGAAGCCCTGGAATGATGATCCTTCCCGCAAACACCATCAAACAAATGCTTCAACCATGGTTTCTCAGTTGAGGTGGTACTGCGTCCATTCAAAGCAGACCATGGAGCCCCCCTGACCGGTTTCCCTGAGATGCAAAGTCGGATGCTCGTTATTGAACTGGAATCTGGCGCTAAGTCCCCCTTTGATGGTTATATATGTGGGTGGGTTGAACATCCTTGTGCCTTTTGCTGAAACCAACGGAGCACGAAAGAGGGTCTCCTTAAGAAACATGGGCAGCTGTGGCATGATTTGGCAATGTCGCCATCTGAATTCATGCACAGGGCCTGGCAAGAAAACGTGATCACCCGTTGGACCCTGAATATGCTCGTTTCAGTTCGATTGGGTTTGGATAAGCCTCACCACGTGGCTTAAAGATGTTTAAAGGGGGCTGGATCCCAACGGGAGTCGAACCCACTACAAAAACCTTTAGAGATTCCCGCCAAACCACGCAGAGTGTAAGTTTCCCATGCCTGGGGCTCCGGCTTTTGTCGTCCCAGCGCCGGCGACTTCATCACGTACCATGACGCTGAAGCTGTTCACGCCCCGCCCACACGAACATAACGCGAACCAGCTTCTGGGGATATGTTGCCGAGCTCCGAGCCGTCTTTTGGGCCGAGGCACCCAAAAAATGGAGGTCAAGAAACAGGCGGAAGGGTGGAAAGAAAAAGGTCACACAAATTGCAACCCCAACATCAACGGGTGGTTCCTGCGGCTGATTGAATGCGAGGAGCCATGACTGCCCCATTCCCCAGTCAAGGATCACCTGCGTTCCGGATCGCTGGGTTTACGCTGGGGAAGCTCCTGAAAGCTTCTCCTCTCCCCTGGTTGGCTGATAGCCACCCGCTTGCTTCGAGCCACGAGGAAGATCTTCAACCCTACCCGCCCCGCACTTCCGATCAAGTGGCTTGGCCAAAACAAGTACCCTCTCTTCTACTAACATAGCACCTGTGCGGACACGCCACACGCCCACACACACACACACCCCTCCTCGGGGTGATTTTCGGTGGCCAAAATCAAAATATGTTAGCAGCCTAGGTTTGCTTCATAGAACCACGTGGGAGTTGTGGGTACCTGGAATGTTCCTCTTGTAGGGACCGGGTCCCTGTCAGGTGCCATGCCAACGTGAGAGTGAGGGCAACCTGTCCATTGACACAAACGACCCAAATTTGGCTTGGGTTGGGAAGTGTTCCGGGGTGGTTGCCCATTTACCTTCAACGAGGAAAAGGGGTTAAATCTGTCCACCCTTGGGATATGGCAGCAAACAATTTTATTTGCAGCCCCCTACTAAAAGCAACAGAACTTCCCCCCCCCCCACCCCAAAGAAATCAACAGAACCCCCTCCCCCCCCCAAAAAAAAAAACCTTCCTTCAACTGTAGAGAAATCTCACCAACTCACACAGCCAAACCTTTGGCCCCCAAACACCGAGGCCCGAACGAGGTCCGGATGTCCGGATCCCATCCCGACCTACCTGGAGTCTCCTTCTGACCCCTTAAAAATGGGGTCATGACCCCCTTTTTCTTAGGCAATGACCCCATTTTTGAAGGCTCCAGGTATGATCCTTGTCTACCCCAAAAAACCATAAACCTGTACTTGAAATCCTTTTTCGTCCCCTGGAAAAGATAGACATATGTCCAGTTGTGACAGGTTCCCTTGAAAACCAGCACAGGAACATAACAGTTATTCATGCAGCAAATGGAGCAACACAGAGACCCCACTGAAGAAAACAAAACCCCTACGGTGCCTTTGCATTGCTACCAGACCTGGAATTGGGTGGGTATGGTTGCCAACTCAACAATGCTAAGTAGGAAACCATGGCTTGTGGTTGGTTGCAAATACCAAGTTGGCATCCACCGTGCCAACTCAATAATGTTTCTCGGAAACAATGGTGTGTGGTTGGTTGCAAACTTAAGTTGGCATCCACAACAGCTTGACGTCGAATGGTTGGTTGCCAAATTTGTCCCGAGCCCTTCGCCTACCCCATCGCAAGGGAGCATTTGAATAGGCCCAGATCCCAGGTGATGGAAACAAGCACCAATTCAGGCGGCAAATGTGGGGCTTCTTTTTTTTATGGGGGGGGGCGGGGGGGGCGGTTCCTAAAGATAGCCAAGCCACCGTCAAGAAGTATCATATAAAGGGTGTGCCCTTTTTGGGGGAACCTAAGGAGTCACAATCAAAGCCTGGCACTAAAATGGTCTACCCGGAACCATGTGAAGAAATAACAACGTGGCTGCACCAGTATGGTTGGGTTTTCCCTTACTCACTCACCTTCATCCACCCAGGCTTTGATTGTGGCTCAAGTGGCGTCGGTTTCTTTCACAACCACTGCTTTCATTTGGTTAAGACCCTGGACACATAATAATAATAATAATCAAATATTTTTCCCAGTAGTGATAGATTCCCTTTAAAACCAACAGGGGAAAGTAGGGTTTAGGGTTTAGGGTTTTAATGGAAGACTGCAATACTCACCCGCCCCCTGGCGCCAGGCTGGAGTCTGGACTTGCCTTGGCTGTCTCTTCACGAGCACGGGCAGCCATGTGCTAAATGGACGGTCTGAAGCATACCAAACACCCCGCCTGTACTTTGTGGTTTGGATTGGCTTGAGGATTTGGATTTGCAACCCCTGGGTCTTGAGTGCAAATAGAAAGCCACCCCTAACCACCACATAGCAGGGATAGAAGAGGAGCAGAAACGAACCCAACCCTAGTTTCATGCAACAAAGGGTCCTATCTCAACCCTCTCAGTGAAAGGGGCATATCGCGTTCCAATAATAAAGGGACTGCTCTTTACATAATTCAACGGCTGATTGCATACGTACAAGTATGAACCCATGGCAATTTGGATGCCGCCGTCCCGCAAATTAAGCCTTATTAACGCTTGCTTCGCCAATAGGATATGGATTGATTGGGCTTCATAGGTGCAGTCAGCCTATGGAGAAGAGGGCGGGGTATTCCAGCTGGCCAAGTAGCAGGGAGAAGGGAGAAGCAGGATAAACGCAGGAGTTCCATGAGCTCTCCTTCAATCTGCTGAAGGTAGCTGGGGCGGGGCGCTGGAATCCCGCTTAACAATCGTTGGGCTTGCTTTGGTTTCCAATTGAAACCAACCAAAAGCAGATCCCCCTGAAAGAAAATACCCCCCGTATGCTTGTCCAGCCGGACCTGAACCCCGCTAGGGCTGAAAGGAAAGACTAGGCTGAACCAGGACTCATCAGGTCCTTGATGGAGCCCCTGCTAAATTCACACAGCTTGAAACTCGAGACCCCCAGTAAGCATGTTTATGGGAACCTACCCAGTTCTTGCAGGACTCCTGATAGCTCCTTAGCTCCTTTTTGAAAAGCAACACTGGGTACCCCAGCTCCTTGGCTCCCTGTCCTGCTGCCCATGAGGATGGAATGACCATATTGGCGATCTACCCAAAGAAAAGGGACCCTAGGGCTTTCTCTCTCTAAAAATGGGTGGCTCCTCTTTTGTGGGGGAACCCCCCCTAGGTTTGGTGGTTTTGAAAGCCAACCGAAAGGAAAACAAACCCAAATGGCCCCTTTCGGTTGCCCTTTATGCTAACCCCAATGCTCACCCCCGATGGCTCGGTTCCAGCCTCCGCGCCCGTCTCAGTGCCCTGCCGGCATGCTTGAGGCCGTGCTCGGAACCAGCGGGTACCCTGCGAGGCCTCGCCGCTCGGGGACGGTGGAAACGTGCACACCCACCATCGCACACGTCTGGCACGTGTGCTCATGGACCTGCTGCGATCTCCATTGGGGGTGGCTGTGCCTAAATAAGCAGTATATAATTACTAGGTCCTCCAGTAGAGAGGTTAGAATAAGGGCGCAAACTTTTGTCTGTGGTCTATTTTAGTAGGGGAACCCTCTCAAGCCTCCCAACCAAAAAAGGAGTAAAAGGGCACCAATTGCTGGGGGACCTCACGATAAGCCAAGGGCATGGAGAAGACCTCCTTTTGCCAAAGAAGACCTCAGGCACACCTCCATCGAGCGAGGTGAGCCGAGGCCCTTGGCAAGTTTCACCATCGACTTCGACTGCTCCAATTCGAGGGCCGGGTAGGAATGGCCAATCCCTCTACTGGGCTGTCCTCAGATCCCCCGCTAAAAGTGAATAACTGTTCGTGGGTGAAATGCAAATCCAACCACTAAACACTAAAAGGCTAAAAGGCTAAGGGGATGGCTGGGAGCCACCAAGTCAAGCAAGCGGAGTAAAATCTGCCAGTATACCTCCCAAGACCATACTGGGGCTAAATAGGGGGTGTCGAAAATCCAGCAATGCACATCTTCCTTTCATTAAACTAAACAAACACATGGTCGCTATTTAGCCACACTTCCTGCGTGGATCAAACAAACAAGTCGGAAGTTGTTGTGTATTATTAAAACGGTCTTCCCCAAAAGTGCAAAGTCCAGGACTGAAGCTCAGTTGCCAGGATCTGGACAAAGGTGGTCACCATTTGGGGCCAAGGCTTAACATTGGGAACGCAAAACGAGAGAATTAAAAGGTCAGATCAGGTTGATTCGCTGTGGTTGCAACTGAGCGAGTGAGTGAGCAGTAGAACTCTGGATGCTGGGCCAACGGTTTTTCCTTCTCTCCAAGCTGACCTTCGGGCTCTGCTCGATACATCTGGCGAGTGAAACCTCCCGGCGGCTTCAATTTCGAGCCCTCCTCGAGGGAGAATTTGTCCCGAGCTCCCCAAAAACCTCCAGCATGGCCCATGGTTCGGGTAGAAGGATACATCTGAAAACCACGAGCCAAGCACTTCGTCTCCTTCTGCAGGTGGTCGTGGTCCTCAACGCCCGACTTCAACCCTCCAACTTGAGAAATCAACCAGGGTGCCGTGTTTTTCTTTGTTGGAGAGTGCCGTTTTTCAGGGTTGAAGTGAAACCAAACGAAAACCCGTCGGTTGATTTTTTGTTGGGTGGCGGCTCCCGGTTTCGACACACACCCGCAAGCGCCGGGCATCTGTTGCGGGCACCTTGGGGCGTGGGAGGATGAGAAACCATGCGCCGGTCACCAACAGCAAGCTTCCTCCCAAGTTTCTTGCGGTTCTGGTTGCGGCTTCAACTGGTGATTTCCTTTACGGGGACCCCTGGGTTCATTCCCACATTCCCTACTGAGCACCAGCAAGTTTTAGGGGTTCCCCATTCTTTCTTTAGAGAAACCTCCAGAAATGCAGGGGTTTCCCATTAACCCTCTACAGAAGCCGGGGGGTCAAATCCCCGAGCCACCAATCCAAACCACCGACAAAGTTTACCCCCAGAGGGCTGCATACCCTAACACGCAGGTTCCTCAAGCGTTCCAAGAAGGTTCTCAGTGATGTGTTGGCTACAAGTAAGTGTTTAACATTCCCGATTAGACCTCCCTCGTCTTGACCGGGAATACCTTACCCTAACCACCATTAAACCCTCCCATTCAGGGGTCGGGACCTCCATGGGAAGGCTTTGGCCCTAAAGAGGTGCTTTCTGGCGAGCGCAAAATGCTTCAAGTGAAGTGACGGGAGTGGTCATCCAAGTATGCCCAGATCGCTTGGGCAGTGGCGGTGGGGCGGTTTGTGAGGGTCCCGATGTCTGCCGAGTCGCGGTCTCCTTGTGTCCGAGCAGTGCAGAGCTTCTGTTCGTCACGGTCTTCTGCACGACATGGTCAGCGTCAGGTGGACCGAACGTGTTCCTCAGGTGAAAAAACGATGTAAATGCACAGCCGTCCTACCAAACAAGTCCAAACTACTTCATGGTTGACGTTGGAAGGGGAGCAAAAATCTAAATTTTAGCAGTTAAAAGGGGATTTCCCACTAAACCACAATGAGCAAAAATTGGAGAAAGGTTCCCCAACAACAACCATGATTTGGCTGCCACTAGGGTCCAAGAACTTGGGGTGATTGAGGCGACTCGCAACATGGGTACTTCTCAAGAATAGGCAGCCCTGCTATTTCTTGGCTTGCTTTCCCATTAAAACCCAAGATGTGCCAACGTGTCCCCTATTTTGAGACCAACCCATAGACTGGGCGGTGTCCTTCTGGTGTCCCGTGCAAACACCTACGCATAAAACTGGTACTCTCACAAAAGAGGCTCTAAGAGGCACACCGTCAAAGGTCAAAAAGGCAACCAATTTCCTTCATACACTTCACCCATACTGTGGATGGACGAAATCCTGGACCACCCAAGAATCCCTGGAATGATGATTCCCCGTAACTACCAACCAGCACTTGTTTCTCATGGTTTCAAGGTGGTGCGTTGAATGGATTTCTTCCGTCCAAAGTATTGCGCGAAAAAAAGGTCCACCTCTTGACCCCGCCAAAAACGGACCCTGATGCGCGCGTTCGCGCGAGTTCTCGCAGCGAGGTGCCAGAGCGAGTCGTAGGTCTTCCGGTAGGGGCGCCTCTACCTGGTGGGGGAGGGGGGGGGGTGGGGGGAAGGATGGGGTGGTGGGGGACGACCAATTGGTGGTCAACACCTGGTGGCTTGTTTGAAGGGAGTATTTTGGGTGGCTTGAATGGGAAACCCAAAAGGACACCAGCCATGCTTGGGGGGCTTCAAGAAAAACGTGCCGAAAATCGTAAGTAGCAAATATCTAGGTTTGCTCTTCGATTTGAACAAACCTTCGCCACGACCCCCTTCAAAGGGAAAGCTGCAGGAGGAAATTACCCTTCCGCCAGGCCAGCATCTCAACCCGGAATGACTGGCTTTTGGCCATATGCAACATGCTTGTAGGCTCAGGAGTGTTTAGATTATGCGCTTTTGCTGCTGAAAGAAAACATGTTTCCCAGCGGACCTGCACAGCCGCCAGTTTAACAGACTTTAATCGAACTGCTCAAAAGTAAGCTGCTTGTGGCTGCTGGTTGCTTCATGCTGCCTCATTGAACAGAAGATTCCACTTGCCTAAATTACTTCTACTTTGCTTGTGGTTTTACAACAATTCCCTCTAAACTCGAAACAGCCACAGGCCTATGGGATTTTCCCATCACAGGTCGATCAAGTTACTGTTGGCTTGCTCTAAACATCTCAACATGAACTCCTTTCAACGTTGGTTTCTTTCAAAACCCCACGCCAAGCAAAAGTTGGTTTCCCCTAAAGGGAGTATTGACACATAAATGAAATCTGAGGGTTCTTCCCCCTTCCCCCAATCTCATTTTTTGGGGGAATGCTCTAAACCTGCGGATGGTTGGAGAGCCAAAAGAGTTCAAGGGAAACCACCTACCATTTTCTGACTTTGACCCTAGCAGAGACTAGGTCCTCGAGTAGAGAGGTTAAAATCAGGGTACCGTTTCTTTTTCCTGTAGCCTCCTCCCCCAAAAAAACGGGTAAAAGGTTGCACCTAGCTGGGGACCTAGCCCCTCACAGAGAACCCAAAACGAATTTGACCCCAGCTACAAGCCTCGGCACTCCGAACGGCCAAACGGGGGTTGAACTCCACGCCTCGAACGGCTTCCCGGCGGCGTCCTGCATGGAGATCCGGGCGCAGTGCAAGAAGAGCCTAGGGCACCAGGCAGCGATCCAACCTGCCCGAGAGAACTCGCGCCATCGGGGCGATGGGCGGGGAATGAGAAACGGAATGAACCGTTTGGGGATTTCCTTGCAGGATGCCACAAGGGAAGGTTTATGGTGCCATAGGTAGGGAATGAGAAATGGAAGGAACGAGTTTTTGGGATTCCCGAAAAAAGAAAACCACCAGTTGGATTGTCCTTTAAAAAATCAGGTGATTCCATTTCTCATTCCCTGCCTATCACACAAGCCAGAAAAGGTCACTCCGAATGGTTTGCTGATCCCTTGGTACACTCCCTCTCCCTCAGGCTAACAGCCTGAAACTTCCCCCAACTGGCCGCCGATATGGAACCAAGTCGTCCATTCCTGGGGGTTGGTATCCCGAAAGGTTGCCCAAAGGAGGGGCCTGGAATTGAAATGTGATCAGCTTGTTGAACCCAAAGACATAGCTATGCAACAAGGGGAAACCACAAGGTAAGGGCAAGTGAGTATCATTGAGTGTTGGCTGGCGGCAATATTTTCCTCACAAAAATGTGTTATTGTACCAGTTGCTTGTCCATTTGCGAATGTTCCCTCGACAAAATGAGAGAGACCACTACTCCGTTCGCACCGCTCAGAAACCCAGGGGAGGATTCCCCAACAAAAATACCAACAAACGCTATCATCTCTACTCTTGGTATGCTAGCGAAGAAACTTTGAATTTTGCAGACCCCCAGTAAAAATGAACAGAACCAAAAAACTAAAAAAAAAAACAAAACATGCCAAGAACAGTGAAGCTATGGTTTCAACCATATTCTTAGGTGGTCCACAGTATCACGAAGGATGGGCCTACGGCTTCTTCTTCACAACCATATGTTCCAGTTGTTTATTCATGTGCGTATTCGTCCTGTGGATAAAGGAGCCCATATTTCTAGTGATAAATCCCCGTTCCTACCAAAAGGGGGAGATAAAATTACCCGAAGATCCCCGCACACATCATAAACCACCAAACTGATAGCTTCCTTTAAGAGGATCCCGAAGGGTTCATGCCCAAAACCCCTCCTTATCCCGTGCGGAGATACCAAGCCCAAAAAGTGACGGTCCAAGAACGCAGGGAGTGGGGAAAAGGGATAAAGCCTCGCAGTGAGCAAATTCCTTGACCGGACTCCAACCCCGTGGAACAAGTTGTTCACTTGTTGAAGGTAAGTGGACATCAACGAAACCCAGGGCAAAAGGTTCCAAAGGCCAGGTTTTGGTCTGGCAAGCTTTCCAAGCCTTGGTATGGATCTGCAACAAACTTTGTTTTTGTGCAGCCCCCAAGCCCAAACATGCACAAAATCAAAAAACAAAACAACTAGGTCCTCCAGTGAAGAGGTTAGAACAAGGATACCCTTTTGTCGGTAGTCTATTTTGGTTGGGGAACCCTCGCAACCAAAAAGGGGTCCAACAGGGCACCTAGATGGGAGACCTAGACAAAGAGCCTCAAAAACACGATCCAACGACCGGAAAGCTTTGGTGAGCAAAGACCCGTCTCCGCCGCCTTGGTAGTTCCGGTCCCCCACTATGGGCCGCTGCAAGCCAGCCAGGTGGCTGCGGATCTGGTGGGTGCGCCCCGTCTTGGGCACTGCCTGCGGTTTTGCGCGGGCGCAACAAGCGCGGGTTGAAACCCGCGGACGTGGCCAGAAGTTCAGCGACTGAAGCAGTCGGTTGAAACCTGAACCTCAAGTTGCGCCTTTGCCCCTGAAGCAAGAACGTCCAGTGGTGCAATCGTGTCCCTTCGAACAATCAACGGGGAGAAAAAGAAGAACAACACTAAGAGAAAAGCATCCTTTACAAGGACCAGGAAACCAAATCCAAATCCAAGCCACCAATCCAAACTACCAACCTCACGGGTTGCAAATGGAAAACTATTCCCAAGCAAATCTTGGTTGCTTTCTGCTCCCCTGCTAAAAGTGACTAACTTTTAGTGGTTTAGTGGAAAACCCATTAGTTGGCAAAAAGTTAAAGTCCTAACAGCCCTTGGCCAAATGCACCAAAGAAAATACCAACAAACGACATGGTTTCAACAATATTCTTAGGTGGTGCGAAATGGATATCGCCCATCCTCACTTGTTGCAAATGGAAATATTCCAAACAAATGGAAGAAAACAAGCTGCATCTAAACCTTCCCAGCCCCGGCCTCCAAAAGCATCACCGACTTCCCGCGCAGAGTGAAGGACTCGAGCACAGTGTACTCCGTGCGCGCCTGCGGCGGTTTTTCAGGCGCCTGGTTCCCGTGCGGACGACCCTCTCCTCAAGCCTCTGGATGGACAAAATCCATTTCGCACCAAGAAACCCTCACTTGAAAGGCCTGGTTCCCGGGTTTCTTAGGTGCGAAATGGAGTCCTTCATTCGCAGTATGGTAGCAAACAAGTTTGATTTGTCTGTTGAACTTGAGTAACCTGCTACTCAGCAAGGCCCAAGAGGCACAGACTGAAACTCAAACAGGTGGAGAATGTCATGCAACAACAGAGCTAAACAACAACTAAACACCATGCCAAGAGCAGTGAAGAAAAAACAACTCCAAAAAGGGTACCCTCAACAAACAGCTCCCTCCGAGCAGAACCTACGCTCACGTCAGGCAGGAGTGAAGGATTGGCGGAACAGTCGATTGCCTAAATATGTCAAGCGAGCCAACCAAAACCAACCACAAAGCCCTTTGTTGCAATTTGCACCAAACAGTTGCTACGGCACTGCGTGCACTTTGCTGCTGAGGCCTGACAAATGACCCTCCACTTGATTAAGGGATCGCTGGAAAGCACGAAACCCCTGAACAAGAACGCGTTCGCTTTGCCTTTGGAGTCGACTCTTATTCACCTGCGCGAAGAAACGCACACGAGGAACGCGGCTTGCGCCATCCTCACAAAGCGCTAATTGCAGGTTCTGTTGTTGGCGTTTTAAAAGTACACATGTAGGAAATTGAATCCCCTGCATGTTGAGAACTCGCACTCATCGTCAGCCACGGTTTGAGGGCAACGTAAATCCTAATTTGGCTTCAACCCGTTGATCCAAGTTGGATGATGAGACAGAGTGGTCTGAGTAGGCAACCAATGTTTAATGGAGGTTGAAAGAAAACAACTACACCAAACTGCTCTTGCTGATCCTCAAGCACCCATCACGACCTTGTCCTCCCCGACCCCTCGATCACCCTGCCTCCTTGCCAGTACGCGACCACTGAGTCTGCATCACCTCGGCTTGCAACAAGTCAACGCCAGGCACGCAACGCAGAATAGTAGGAACAAAAACACATGCCTGCCCTGGGGTCCCCCTTGCTTGGAATTGGTCATGTACCTCCTGGGCTTAATGTGGACGGTATCTGGAAACCTGAGGGCGTGCTCAGTGAGGTTGGCTTTACCCCATGCCGACTGAATTAGCTCCCTGTCCGTTCCAGCGGACTGAAGTTAAATCATTTGGGAGCTTGCCTGGGGCCAACGCTTGAATCTTCGGGATTGGCGGCTCGGATCTACGTGGCTCGGATCACATGTTGGCCTTGATTGGCAAACTTGAAGCTGTTTAGCCAGCTGTGTCGAGCAATTTTCCGGCAGCGGTCAGGAAGGAACCTGCACGTGACTCAATGTTTGGGATTCACAAAATGTCCGAAGCGACCCTCACCCCCCAAACAGACTTGATCGAGTCCGATGGGGAGGAGCTTCTTGGATATGGACTCCCTCACCCAGACGTGTGACGGAGCCCATGGCCCGGTTCGCTCAGTGAAAGCAACCCAAGTCCGAACTGCTTTGGAGATTCCTTTTGGTTTCTTCTGGCTGTGCGTCAAAAGGGGTAGGCCCACCTTTGCTCCGATGAGTGGCTTCCTAGATGGGTCTGCCTGTTTTAAGGGGGCCCCTCCAAAAAAATTCGGGTTTTCATCTGGGTGTCTCCTTACAGCCACCAAAACAGGGGTACCCTCAAAGCAAAAAGAAAGACGCACCCATATGAATCGAGCGCAGCAGCTGAAGCTTGAGCAAGCTTGTTGCTCCATTCTTGCCCAGGCGCCGATGAGCCTTGACCAGAGGCAGAACTGGACAAGCGAGACACCTGGGCTGTTGGGTGGAAAGTGTTCCTGCAAAACAGCTGCAGCTGACGTCAGGGACCCCCCAAAGCCCCAAAGCGTTAGGAGTTAGGGGTCAATTCGCCCCATCGTGGACAAACAAAAATCCGGCAACAGTTGTTTAGATTCTAGATGGTCTCTCATAAATCGTCATGCAGTCCAACTGCTGCAGGATTTCGTCCATCTACAGAATTCGGGCAACAATGCCTTAAAGGTTACACATTTTTAACTGACATGATGCCTTTGAAGAAGATAAACCTTTTTTGGGGGCGCTGGCAAAAAGCCGATGGGGGTTCGTATTCTCATCAGGGGGACCTGAGAAGGGAACTCTGAAATATAGGCTGCAGGATTTAGAGCTTCTTCACGCCTTACATAAGTGTTGCGCCCATCTTCTGAAGGGCTTGCACACCCGGAAGCGAAGCATCCGGCTAGGGAAGCAACCGGTGTCAAAGGCGTACCTAAAAGTGTTCTATACTACCATCGACCGTATAGCAAGTTCTTCTGAATGTGTGGGTGCGATTATTCTGTGCTTTGCGTGTCTCTGCGGGACTACTCAACTACTGGGAACCTCACTTCCTGAGTGGATTGGCAAAAAGCGTCCGACAAATCGTGCTTGCCACTGAACTTGTCCAAACCTGAACTGTGATGCAAGTCCGAAACTGATTTCAGCTCAATTCCTGACGGATTGGCCAAAGCAAGTAACCACACTTTCTTTTTATACATCATGGCCCAACTTCAAAAAGTATAATCTCCGAAGCGGAACTGAGGAAGTGGGGTCAAACCCAGCAAAACCAAGGAACTCTGCTCACTTCCTGAGTGGATTGGAAAGTAACCAAACTTTAGTCTGTTTACACCTAAACTGGTCCAGAATCAAAAAGTACAAACTCCAGGAACTATATCCCATACAAAGTCCGAAACAGAACTCAGGGAGTGAGTCAGGGAGTAAGGAAAGCCCCATTTGCCCCAACTCCCAGCTCCCCTCACTAAGGCGCGATGAGGCCGCGCGCGTTTTCCGCCAGCGGAGCGCCCGAGCAAAGGGCCCAGTAGACTTTCCGCACGCGGCGCGATGCGAACTGCAGCTGGAACCAGCTGGTAGCTCCTGCGAAGCGCTATCATCTCTTTTTTCCGACCCCCAGTAAAAATGAACAGAACCAAAACTCTAAAAAAAAAAACATGCCAAGAACAGTGAAGCTATCTGTGGCCAAGCCGGCAGCAAAGGGAACAGGGAATTCCTTGTTGCAGCGTGGCCAAGAGATGCCGAAACCAAGGAGGGGAACAATCAAATGGCTGTGGGTCAAAAATAGGTACCCAAAATGGAATGCAAACATGGACTAAAACCTGCGCTCCCCTGTTGGTTTAATTTTGACCCATACCCAAATCACTTGATGGAGGATGTTAAGAACCACGAGCCTGCCTTCGTTGGCAATAAGCGTGACACCTTGGACTTGGGCACGCTCTTGGACATCGAGGAGATGCGGTGGATTCCGTCAATTTCGCGAGTGCGGAACAAGGAACATCCGGAATTTTCCCACGGGTGGTCTACTGCCATGCTTGGTCTAGGGTCTGCTATGGCTCTGATTTGTGCTTCATCTTCTCTTGGAGGTACTGGTATTGCTGGTTTGGTACTGGTTTCGAGGTGCTGGTTCGGGGGAACTGCTTTGTCTGGTTGCTCTTGGTAGACATTTGCTTAAGCCACCTGGAAGCATATATGTCCAGTAGTGAAATAAATTCCCTTTACAACCAATAGGGGAACATACAACATACTCATTTCAGCAAATGGAAGCTTTGGCTTCCTCCATTCTTTTCAACCATCGTTCTTTCAACAACCAGCCGTTTCTACTGGGTGTCGACGGTTAGAAAGAAGGATCCCTGGAAAGAATGAAAATGGAATGTACCCCTAGAGCTCTTGGTAGGTTCTCTCCTGAAAGCAGTGGTTTTCTCCGTAGTCGGCACCCCTCGCCATGATAACTTGGCGTCCTGCCCCCTCGGGGCAGAGCGACACCGGCATCACGCCCGAGGTCTGCGCGTCCAGGCGCGACAACCTCTGAATGCCCTGGTACCCTGCATCCGCCAGCCACCTGGGCATCCTATCTGAGATGCGATCTTTACTTTCCCAGGCTCCCAGTGGCCATGAGAGAAAAGTGAAATGGGAACCTTGGTGATTGATTTTCTTTAAGGGGACCCCCTCCAAGAGAACAGAATTAGGGGCACCACTGCGTGCCCTTGATTCTTCTCACCAAAGGGTCCGCAACTGGAAGGTCCGGAAGATAGACAGGTGAATACCCAAGTTAACCCCCTTGTGCGCCCCAGTGCATGTGGCTAAGTCCCACATCGGCCAAGTTTCAAACCCTCCCAACATGGTCCTGACTTCCTACCCCTCCAAATGGGTGGGGCTTATCCACGTCTCCAGAAAACAGATTTGGGCTTACCTTAACAAAATCAGACACCCAAACAAACCCAGGGAAAACATTTGCATAAGCCATTCTTAACAAAATCACAACATTATGGGCCGTTTATGGGCTGTTTAGCACCCAAACAAACCCCTCGGGAAAACATTTGCATTGATCCGCCATTTGCTCTCAAGCCCCTGGAGGGCAAAAAAACAAAACACTTCCAGTGAAAGATTCCCTTTAGAACCAACAAGAACTACTAACACATATGCAATCAGGCAAATGGAAGTAGGTAATCAAGGGAACCATCCCTTCAAATCAAAGGGGAAATATTACTTACGTACAGCAGTCTTCCATTTGCTTCAGTCCCTGCAAGAAGTACACACATATATATCCAGTAGTGTTGGATTCCCTTGAAAACCAAAAGGGGGACATAACACAAATACTCTTTTCGGCAAATGATCTCAAATGCAAATGGAAGAATTCGCCTTCGCCCTTGGCCGCCTGGATATGCCGGAGATGACCTGCTCACTGGTGAGGCCCGCAGGCTTATCCACCGCCAGTAGCCCAGCCTCGCACCGCAAGCACCGCACTCCTGGCCCGTGACAAGCGGAAGCGGGCGATCGACCATCAAGACTTGGGTGGGCCAGGGTCTCAAAAGCGACATGCCCTGTTTACACCTGAGAAAGTAGGAACCTGGGCTGCCCTCAGTCCCCCGCTACAAGTGACTAAATTTGAGTGGGTCAAATGCAAATCCAACCACTAAACACTAAAAGTTGCTAAAAAGCTAAGTTGAACCGGATGGCCTTTTGGGAACCACCAAGGAACCACGTGGGGAAAGACTGCAACCTATGTCCGGTTTCTGCCCCCCTGGCTCTGCCGCCCTGGCTCCTGCCAAGTCCGTGCCCGCCAGCGGCAGAGGCGGTCCCGGCGGCTCCTTGCCGACCCAGAGGGCCCGCAGCCGCGACAGCTGCGCCTCCTGACCGGCGAAGACGCGCGAAGAGACGCAAGTAGAGAGAGGCGCGTGTGTTTTCCATGGGGGGGGTATGGGGCAGTGAGAAATTCGGGGGATTTCCATGGGGCCTTTCTTGCTTTTTAATGGGGACCTGGAAATGGAAGGGGTAAAGTGATGTCAGGGAAATATAGGGAACCCCATTTCAAAGCTCGCTTCCTGAGTGGATTGGCCAAGCAAAGTAACCGCACTTGTTGTTTGCCACTGAAACGGTCCAAACCCAAAGTGACTAACGCGCAGGAACTCGGGATGTGAGGAAAGGGGAACCCAAGGGTAACTGCCCATTTTTGAGGATCCCCCAAACGTGTAGAAACCCAAAAGACAATGTCCACAACCTCCAGAAACGCCTGGTTGGTGTTGTTGCTTGGTGGCTTGGGATTCGAACCGCGGGTCCGTATAAAGAATAAGTGGGATTCTATCTCGGAAACGTATCCACCAATTCAAGGAAATCTGAGTCCCAGTCGGCAATGCGCAGTCCGGGCTAAAGAAGCAATGTTTAAAACAGTCAAATGCGGACACTTATATATATATATATATCGGGAAGGCTTGAAAAAAATCGTGTTTTTTCTTGGCTGGTGGACTCTACTTGCATCTTCATCGGCCAGGGCTGGCCACGTGTGCCAGGGCTCCGGGGTTCCAATAGCGCGCCCGGGGAAAATCAGTCATACCAACCCCTACCCGCCAGGGACAGCTTCTCAAATCCCATGGTAGACGGGCTAGGTCCTCCAGTAGCGAGGTTAGAATCAGGGTACCTTTTTTTGTAGTCCATTTTGGTGGGGGAACCCTCCCCCAAAGAAGGGTAAAAGGGCACTACTGGGGGACCTAGCGGGGCTTGTCCCCTATCTCTCTTCGAACTGGCAGCCAAGTCTCGGCATCCGGCATGACGCTCAAGATGGCACCCCACCTCTGCTGAAGCTGCTACAGCGTGCGGCCGCAAAAACTGACCATTGGTCTTTGGATTGCGGTTTTCGAAGGCAAGCAAGTTGATTTGCAAGCAATTCAGAAGAGCCTATCTATTGCCTTGCCAGCCAGCAGCATCGCAGCTCTGATGGGCGCTGAGAAGAAGTTGCTTCAAACTCAACTCTGGGACTGCAGCCGCCTCCTTCATACCAGGCTGAGAGTAGATGGGTACATAGACAACCATTTTTGTTGGTACTTACAGTGCAATCATCGTGCCTGGGTTTCTTAGGTGGGGCAAGTCAAGGGGATGACTAGAGCGAAATGGCGCAAAATTGCGCCATCAACTTTCACCCTCATGGGGTCTTTGGGTTTCGACCTCCATGCATCTGGCATCCGCGGCTGGGGCGTCAATGCGTACACCCTTGATTTTCAAAGTGACAAGTGGCAGCCCACTTGCCCAAAGGACTTAAGAAGTTGAACAGATCGGTACTAAAACGGACCAAAAAGGGAAACCACGCCCTGGTGCAAAAACTCATCCTCATCCCAGCCCTTGCAGGAGATCACGCGGCTCTTGCGCGTTGTTGCGTCCACGGAAGTATGGGAATGCTCCTCTCACTTGCCCCAAAGGGCGATGTAAAAGGCTCCCTCCTTGGGACCTTGACTGAAACAGTCAACAGATTCACCATTTGCTTTAGCCCCCTGGAAAAAAATAATAGCATATGTCCAGTAGTGATAGATTCCCCATAGAACCACCAGGGGAAAATAAGCAATATTCCCAAGCAAATCTGGGCTGTCCTCAGATCCCCCGCGAAAAGTTTAACTTTCAGTGGGTTAAATGCAAATCTCCACTAAACCGGATGGCTGGAAGCCACCAAGTAATTAACGCGGCTTGGGATGCCCCTTCCTTCGCCATGTCCGAGGCGCATGATGCCGTTGGGCGGCAGCTGCTGGCTCTGCAGCCGCGATGCCAGCTGTAGGGCTTGCGGCCAGCTGCTGGCGCGTGCGCAGGCGTTGATGGCGGAGCTGCAGCTGTAGTAGTCCTCGGCTGACGCTCCGTCCGTATGACACTCATTTGCGCAGTGGCCAGGGGAAAAAAGGGCCTTCCTTGTTGACTTTAAAGGGAACCCTTCCCACAAATGACGAAAAATAAACATTCAAATGGGGATTTCTTTATGCATGCTTATGCCACCCGCTCGGGTTGCGGACGGAAGTCGTTCCTCCGTATGCCACCCGCTAGCGCCACCCAACCAAAAAACATTCAATATGCAACACAACAAAAATGCTGGGTTTCCTTATGCAGCTTTGATGCGGGACACTTCCAGGCATGCGTTCGCCAAATACTGTTCCGCCAAAAAAATGATGAACAAAAAAACAAGTCTGGGGTGGTTGCGCTTCCATTGCAGGCAGCTAGTCCTTGGGTGCATATGAAGTGATCGATTCCCTTTAAAACCAACAGGGGAAAATTCAAAAACAATTCTTCCGCAAAAGCCCTTCTGCCAGCTTCCACTATCGTGCGACCAGGGCCATCCTCAAGCGAACGTCGCAGCTGACGAGCAAGCTGAGAAACACCGCAAGCATTCCTTCATGTGAGAAAAGCTTACGCATTCACGCACAAGCCTAGTGAAAACTCACAGCAGTCTCAGCCAGGTCTTGGTTCCATTCGCTTCCCTTTTGGAGGGATGGTAACCAATGTTCCCCAACTAGGTCCTCCAGTAGAGAGGTTGGAATAAGAATACCAACTTGTTTTCTGTCTATTTTAGTAGGGGGTTCCCTTCCCCCCAAACAAAAAGGGCTGATAAAGGCACCTAGCTGGGGGACCTAGTAAACAAATCTTTCCCCAGGCCTTGTCCCAAGTCCCCAAGCCGCCCCTCCGCTTTCCGTCGCGGGGCCTCTTGCTTCGGCAGCAGGGCCAGGGCTCGCTGCCAGCGCAGGCTGCTGGCGCAGGCGCTCACCGCGCTGCTCTTGCCTCACCGCGCTGGGGGGAGATGGGGAGACGGCGCCTCCTGGAATCATGGGGGCGCCCTCCCCTCCCCCCCAGCCCCCATGATTCAAGGGCTCGAACTCAGTGACACCAAGCAGGAGTCATCTGGAAAAGGGTCGGCTTCCTGAAAACCAACCAAAAACTGACCCCAGGCCCCAGGAGTCATTCCCAAAGTGCTTGGCTTTCTTAAAACCACATATCTCAGTTGCACAAAGGAGCCAGGAATCCAAGGTGAGCACCTTTTGGAACCTTGACGAAAAATTCTTGCCACATCAGAGAAACCAAAAGGTCAAAAGGTCGGCGTTTGGGCAAGTGGGCCAAGGGAGTAATGGAATTATGAATCACATCTGAAAGGAAAACAAACCGCCTGCCCCAGGGTGCATGCCTGCTTACATCTTGGTTGCTGTTGACCCCTCCCTGCAAAAAAAACAAAAAACGTTTCTGGATTCAGTGCCCAAAAAGTTAAAGTCGAAAAATCTTCATCAATAGCAATCAAGACGCTACCCATGCAAGTCGCTACCCTCCAAAAGAAAACAAGTGGCTGCAAGCACGTCAGTCGCAAGGCCCAAGTTCGAATTGGGTTCGTCTCAAAATAGGGGAACCCTCAAAATGAGTGGTGTCCTTGTGGTTTCCTTTTAAACACCAGCCCAAAAACGTGCCCCTAAAAAAGAGACGCCCAATTGATCTCTTTTAATTGTGGCTCAGGCGCAAATGGTGTCAGGTGCTAGTTTGTTGGCCGGCATCTCCTGCAGCAGCTGAAGGACCAGCTCCTTGACAGCGCTTTTGCAGCCAGAAGCGTGGCCCTAACACACACACACACACCCATTCTTGTATGTCCGTAATTTACCTGTTACTACTGTGGATGGACGAAATCCTGCACCATGTAAGAAGCCCTGAGGAATGATTATTTCCCAAATACCATCAAACAATGGTTTTCTATGGTTTTTAAGTGGTGCAGGATTCGTCCATCCACAATATGCCTAGGCCCTTGGTTGCAGGATGAGCGAAATCTGTCATGAATCAAAGCGATATTGGGAAACGTGGAGGGAACCATGACACGCCCAAGTGTACTGCAAGCACCTTGCTGGCAAACAAAGTCAACCCAACTGCCTCAGCCTCGTTCCCATATGGCCTAGTGGCCCTAACAAGGGTTTGATCACTGTGACACCCCGGGAGTATTGTCCACCTTTTATGGGCCCGTTTTGGCGGGGTCCGGAACCCAATTCCATCCACCTAGTCTTCCCCGTGAAAGATGGGTTGCCATAAATGGGTCCCCTGCATGGGTCACCTACTCAAATGCCCAGTGGCCATGGGAAAAAAAAGGGCATCCTTTTTTGGTTGAATTTCAGGGACATCTCTTCAAAAAAAAGGAAACAAGGGCACCACTGGGCAACCGGGGTTTTTCGGGTCTCCCCACCGACCTGGGCCAAAGTCTCATTGCTTTTCAACCACTCTTCTTCCAGCCATTTTCCCTCCGGTTTCCGCTCGGTTTTCCCATCCGGATCCCTGGAAAGCCTCCGAAAGCCACCTTCGCCTTATCTGCAGCGGCCTTGTTCGAAGAAAATCCTATGGGAACCCAAGCGAAGAGCCGGCTGCAAGGATCACAATCAACTTCCATCCACAAGCAATCGAGCACCAAAAACCAAAAAAAACATTGAATTCACCACCAAAAAACAATCCCAAAAAACAAATTGAGCACCAAAAACCCAAAAGGATCTCAATTGAACACCTGCAAGGATCTCAATCGACCACAAAAACCCATTGAAGGCGGTTTCTACTCCCCGGAAAAGGATCCAATGGGAATCCGACTAGGTCCTACAGTAGAGAGGTTAGAAGTTAGAACAAGTTGGTACCCACTTTTTACTTGTTGTTTAAATTTTGTAAGGGGTTCCCCTCCCCCCCAAAAACAGAAAAGGGTAAAAAAGGGCACCGATCGCTGGGGGACCTCGCCGAGCTTCCCACTGGCCGCCCTTGTCACATGCGCTCATCGCCGCTCCGTAGCTCACCGCGTTGGGCCACACCTTGGCCTCGCGCTCGGAATTTCGCGCAAAGGCTTTCGCGGCCCAAAGGGTTTGGTCCATCGTTTCGAGCTCCTTACGGGTTGGCCAACTGCATCTTCCGCAAAAAAAAAACGTAAGCCAGAAGAAAGAGCCAGAAGTAAGTAGTTCCAATTCCCAAGCCAGAAGAAAGAGAACCCTCGTTGAACGACTTTCATGGGGTGAACGCGCTTAACCCCAAGCGAGAGAGCTCGCAAACAGCTGCCCAGATGTGTCCTTTTCTAGGTCCTCCAGATTTGAGAGGTTAGACTAAGTTGGTACCCACTTTTTTCCCTTCGGTCTATTTTAATAGGGGGAACCCTCCCCCAAAAGAGGGTAACAGGGCACTACTGTGGGACCTAGGGGTTGTTGGACATGGGCCTTGGTCATCCAGAAAGGTGTTGGTCTAGGTCCTCCAGATTTGAAAGGTTATAATAAGGGTACTTAAAGGGGCGATCGGGTACTTAGTAAGTGGGTAGAGGTTCAACTTTCAGCGGGTAAAACGGAAATCCAACCACTGAACACGAAAATATCTAAGAAGCAAAGTTGAACAGGATGGCTGGGCACCACCAAAAGACGGCCCCGGATGGGAACCCCCTAGAACCGTTGAGGTGGTTCCAATGCCTCGCGCCTCGCGCATGGCTTGCAGCAGCTGCAAGGCCGGCTGCCAGCGGCCCGCCGCCGCCAGGCTCGAGAGAGCGGCGCTGAAGGTGTAGACGTCCTCAGGCCAGTCCCAGCTGCCGAACTCTTCAGTTGCTAATGTTGAGCCCGGATTAATACACCCCTGTTTTTTTTCTATGGGGGCGGGGGCCCCTCAAAAATAGTGATAAGTCTGAATCCCCACTACAAATACAAGAACACGCCCATATTAATAAACAGGGGTTTGTTAATTTGGGTCAAATTTCATGCACCATACCAACTCACCAACGTGTTCTGCCAACTCACCAACCTCCCAAGGCTTCGAGCTTCATAAGCCCTATTCGTGGAGGAAATACTGTGGATGCACGAAACCTGCACCACGTTGACACCACGGATGAAACCGTTGTTGGTTGGTATTTGCCGGGGAATCAAAATTTCAGGTTTGCGAGACTTCCAGTTGCTTGCGGAGTGGTTTCCCATCTGCCGTTAGAATCCAGGGGTTCAAATCCAAATCCAAACCAATTAGGAGGTACCTGATCTTCCATTTTGCTTAATTAAACCCCATGGAAAAATGAGCAAATATGTCCAGTGGTGAAATCGATTCCCTTTAAAACCAACAGGACAAATAACAACATATTATAGAATCCCACATCATGACATAGGAATGGAAACGGGATAAATGATTGATGATTTCTTGAGGGTGTTTTCCGCACCCAGCTTTGAACCTGCTTTTTGTCTGGGAGCTGGTCCCTTCTGCGCTGTTTTCAGCCACTTCCCCTGGGGTTTGGGGGGGGGTTCTTGCAAATGGGGAAGGCTACCCCTAATGACTACGTGCTTTTCCTCATGGTTTGCTTTGCCTTACCCAACCATATACACAATCAATTCACCCGCCAAAAAACGGCGCAGGCCCAAGGGGCAAGTACTGTAGTTATCACCCTCTTGGTTGCTAAGGGTCACTGCGCTTGCCCGAATTGGGGTTGGGGACCTTTGTTGGCTGCCCCATACTTCACCTGCTTCATTCTGGACGGTGCCCTCAAGCGTCAGTCCCTTCCACGGGTTTCCTGTGGAGCGCCTTCTACTTGCTTAAGTCCACTGGAAAAAATGAAAATACTTCCAGTACTGGTAGTAGTGATAGATTCCCTTTAAAAGCAACAGGGGAAAATGACAAATATCAACCAAATGGAAGGAACCGAGCGGCTTGAAACCAAGCCAAGACGCCGGCGCCAGCTGTAAGCCGTGCATCTGGCGCAATAAATCCATAGCCCAGGGCCACGCCACGGCGCCGCAGGCGTCGATGGCGCAGCCTGACGAAATCATCCAACTGGCCTACGGGTACCTTCCATTTCCATTCTTTCCAGGCATCCTTCTTTCAGAAAAAAACACCCAAACCCTGGGGAAACAGCTGGAGACAACCACAGCCACTTAAGTAGGCTACTAGTACCCTGGATGAAAAAGAGAACCACCCCCAGTTACCCTACGTTTCCCCATAAATATCACCTAAGTGTGGCGTATGCGGATGCAAGCATGCGTATGACCGTACTCCCCCCCCAAAACATAGCATTCACCCCCGAGCAAGCGGGCCCATCTCCCAAAAAGGAGACTCCTTTCAATGGCTCGTTTGGTTGGCATGTTCAACTGGTATGAGCAAGCATGAGTGTGACCCAAAGCCGCGGCGCTGAAGGCCATCGAATCCAACGCCGCCACTTCAGCGGCATCGGCCAAAAGCCGCAGGGCGGGGCGCCACTCGGCCGCGGCGCTGCACGCCTTGATGGCGGAGCCTCGGGTGGGAGGGGGGGGTGCTTTGAAGGGGGGGGGGGGGGGGAACGGGGGAGCGTTGGGGTTTTACACGGGAAAATCGCCCTATTCTAGCTATGTGGGGTTCAAAACCTGGGTATTTTGGTTGATTTGGGAATTTCGGGTCATTTCCCAACAAATCCCAGCGTGCAGGAAACTCCCTGGGAGTAGCAAAGAACGACCTGAAGGCGGCCTTCAGACAGGGCTGTTTCAACTGATCCCCCTGCCAAAAGCTGAGCTTCTGAGTCAAATGGAAAGAAACCCAACCGCCAGACGAACTAAAAGCCTACAAGGAACCGGATTCCCGGATGGCTGGGAACCACCAAGCTATGATAGAGCTTCTTCAAATTGAGGATCCTTGGACTCTCGCAAAAAGGAAGTTACTACACATGCTCCTCAAATTGGGCCCTTCAAGATTCTTGATGGGATCAGGTCTCCACTTAGGAAAGCAAAAATGCAACAAGCAACCGGCAACGTGGAGGGAGCCCTGCTTAGTTGATAAGGAGGAAAGCAGGTTCAAAGGGGAAACGGAAGTTTCCTGAAATACAGGAGGTCTTAAAAGGGTTGGCGGAGTGTTCCTTAAACAGGCTTCCGACCTTGCACTGCAAGCGATGTTGAGGAATGCGCCTGATAACGCGAAAAATGACGTGTCATTAGATGTCACGCACCATGCTGAACTTAGACAAAAACAGGGAAAGCTCATTAAGGGTCGCAAGATCATCGCCGTGATATTGCAGTCTTTTCGATCAAGCGACAGATCCGACTTGCTATTCACCACTGAGCATGCATGGCTAAAACGGAGGCAAACCTTGGCACAGGACCTTATTTGGAGCCCGCGCGTGGGCACACAAAGGATTTGGCCACTCAAGCAATGCTATGGCTTTTGTCAAAATGGTTGATGAACAGGAACTGCAACCACGCGATGCCTATCACAAATGCAAGCGAAGCCAAACTTACCTTGCTTGTGCCTTAAAAAACAACTCTCACATATCCTCACCTCATGCACCACCAAACCACCTAGTTAGAAGGATTCTGCAGCAGGAGAAAAGGAGAACACTGCAATCCACTCTCATACAAATTGTGTGTTTATAATAATCGGTTATGAACAGGTTGCAGCAATCAAATGTATACACATTGGTTCGGGTAACTTCCGCATTCGTTCCAGAGATCCGTATTTCCGTAACATCGGTATACTCCTGAAAGAAATGGCTGCCTTATGGTTGCACGTAACAGAAAAGTATAGATTCAAGGGTTACCGGTTTGGGGCCCAAAAAGAAACAACAAACCGTCCAAGTGCGCTGCTCGCACATTTTCACGCTTGAACAGCCACACTGCGGATGCAATGGATGTAAAACCCCATACTGACCGATCAAATTCTTCACCCCCCTCTGCGTGTTAAAGGGGCCTTTCACAAAGCAGCCAAACAGTAACACAACAGAGGGAGAAGGTCAGGGGAACCATTGTAACATGCAAACCATGACAGTTGCGCTTTCAGCGCCACTGCCAATTCGAATAGCTACCGCTACTGTTGCCCCATCCGCTCCATCCGGACCAATTCTGCCAGCTGCCTTGGCTCCAATGCTCACCCTCGCGGGCGGCGGGAGCACTTGTCTCGGCATAGCGAGCGGCATTGCGAGCGAGGTGTTTGCTGCTCTCGTTCCTCGAAAATTCAATCGAGTTACGTGCATACCGCTCATTCTGGCTGAAAATCCAGTCCATCTCGTTGCGGAGGTCGTCCAACGTGTTGCTTCGCAGATGAATGATGCCATTCCAACACCCAATGCTGCGAGGCTTGTCTTGCTCAAAGACCACGTTGATGAAAGCTCTCGGGCTATAAGGCATCCCTTGGAACATAATGATCCAGCGAGAGGAAAGCGCATCTTGAAGTTCGTTGGGCAGGAACTCCAACTCTGTCTTGATATACGCGAGCCTTGCGATTCGCGACTCCGAGGTTGATCCAAGGCCAACTCCCAGAGTGCGCTGGGCTTGCGACTGCTTTGGAGCAGCCAAGACGAGATTTGCAATTCCATGCGGAGCATGTCCGCCTCCCGACGGCCCACCTCAAGCATACGAACCCTGTATTGAAGGTCGAGTTCATAGCGGTCAAGCAGAGAGTGGTAGCCGTTCTTCAGGGCGGACTTGAGCTTCTTCCGGGCCTCCTGAATGACAGCACTGTCCGGGGAGTTCAAGCCACGAATGATGCTGCTACGATCCTCCTCGCGGAGGTCAAATGTTCCTACTGATGCCAGGACCTGAGCTGTGACGTGGGTGCTGAGGCCCATCTTCTTCAGCAGATTGGAACGCTGCACGATGTAATTCTTCTGTTGCTCTTTCAACAGGCGTGGGTTGAGGGGTGACAACTGCCCACATGATGAGCAGTGCACCTGCCCCTCGAATACACTGTTGTTGCAAATCGGGCACGTGGCGACGTTCAGCTCAACGTTCTCCGTTGGGTTGAAAGTCTTCTGTCTCTTCGCTTCCCCTTGCGGGGCGCGAGGAGAGGCCACATTTGTGCGCGTTGTAGCAATACGTTCCAGCGCTGTTGAACGATCATCAACCACGGCTTGGTCGCGCCTCATTCCCTGGGGTTCATCCTCAGTCGCCTCAGCTGGTGCACCTGCATCCGATTGCTCGGAGCGAGTGTACCATACATCGCCATTTGTAGCGTCCAATACAGAAATAATTGTGTAGTTGGGCACCTTGTCGCGCGTAAGGACGCCGTCGCTCTCCGTCTTGAAAAAGCAAAGCCCTGCGCGAATGGCCATTCTGAGGTCGATCTGTATCTCCAGGGGTTTGTTCGCACGTACACCTGAGATGTAATTTTCATTCGTGCTTGGGACGTCAGCGAAGAAAACGTGAGGTCTGCCTGTCTCGTGCTGGGCCCCTCCTCCTGGAAGCAATCCGTTCCGCATGATGTTAGCGAAGTTTCGCTTATCAGTGCGGTGATAAAGCACCGTAGGAGGGTTGCTGCAAACGTTCCAGCCAGACCAGCGCCCGAGGTCAGTCCCCGGGTTCACGTACCACTCCTTCGCGATGCCGGAGTCGTCGATCTGGAGCCAGTCCTCATGGCCTTGAGAGGCCTTCAGCTTGAACAGCCAATGAGAACATGGGACGTCTCCGCACCGGCTTGCGTCCGGGCAACCAAGCCCAATGAACCTCTGCTTTTTGTCCAGCTTGAAGATGTCCATGATATTCTGAATATTCCATGGAATGGGATGTCGCAGCTCCTTGCGAAGCGCGAGTCCCAGGTCTTCGAGGTCCATGTAGCCGTCCTCATCCATCACATACCCGCATCCTTCCGTTCCACGACCACGGAGGATCTTGGAGATGCACGTCAGGGAACGGTGGTATTCGTCACTGATTCTCCTGACGGAAGGGTCGTAATCGAAAGAGGGCTGCTTGATGATGTCGAGTCTCTTGGGGCCCTCACCGTAGTCGACATACTTCACGCCATCATGAATGCTATACACCCAGCAGTCATAGTGGCCCCCAGTCACGCTCCTCCCGTAGGAGTCGAGTGGTACCGGCCTGCTCGCCGCCTCGTCCCTCTTTGCCACCGCAGCCGCTTTTGCACCGGCTTGCGCCGGGCGAACACTTTCGGAAGCATCTGCACCGGAAGGCTCACCTGAAGTTGCAAACTCGGCTGGGTTGACGGGGGCGAAATCGAGAGGCTGCCGGACTTCCACTTCTTCACGGGTGAAAGGGAGCCCGATCATCTCTGACAAAGAAACACCGCACTTCGTTAGCGTCTCCTTGCAGTACGCGAGAACCTCAACGTTGACTGTGCAATCATCTTGGTGGCGCACCTCGAGCACATCGATCGGGCGCACGGTACAGTCGTGCGAACGTGTTAGCTCGGCTACGCTGCCCATTGCGGGGCGCAAGATAGAAAGCATATACAACATGTGATGGGTTCCGCGCATGAACTGGACGGTCTTCGTGATGTTGTCGTCACTGAAGCACATATGATACCTGTCCAGCAAATCGATGGTCTCAACAAAGGGTGTATAGCATCTACGTACACAAACATATGATTGGGGTCGCCGATGAGGTAATCCCGGACTTCCGTCATGTAACGGTCCCAAATCATAGAGAAGCCGTAGAGGTAGCTTTTCGCGCCGGTCATGACTCCAAGGCATGCGCAGCCCTTGCGGGCCGCGAAATCCCTGGTCCAAGCCAGGTGCCTCTTGGTGTCTGCCAGCAACTGACTGGCCTCGCCGGCGGGGTGGTCGAACGGGTAGGTGCCGCTGGGCTCAATGCCGTCCTTCCCAACAAGCTCATTGCCGTTCCAATAAATCATCGGAACGATGGTCGCCGTTGGGTAGTCCGTACGCACCTCGTCGATAAGGGCGGCCATACGCTTGCACAGCTGTTGTAAGCCCTTGCCCCAAAGCATTTCTGACCTCCATGCACCGACACGCGCCGGGCGAGAAGCATCCAAACGTTCTGCAAAATCATATTTGCGGAGCTTCTTCTTCTTGCCCGAAACCATGGACAGTCCTGAGTCAGCGACAGTCACATAGATAAGGAGGTCGCGATCTGGTACACGTGGGGCCTGCACAACCTTCAAATAAGGTTCGCTTATAGTTAACAGGGGTGTAAGCAACTGCAAATAATGCGGTTGGTCCTGCACCCATGTATGAATAAGCGACTGTGCAGAGGTCGTCTCCAGGAGGCCCTTGACCGTAGCGGCGAGGTTAGCGTCGTACTTGCCGTTCGTGCATACCGATGTGGTGGCAACATTCTCCATCCACCTCCTCCATGCCGGATCGCAATCCCTCGCGGGATGCGCCATAGCCGTTGGGCCGCTCATTGCGAAAACGATGCAGCACAATCACTCGAAAGCAACGGCTGCATGGTGGCATGTTCGGAAAATGCATTGTGAACGGCATCAGTGTCAATGTACGTGTATCCCTCGGCTTCCTTCAAGTGGGTGCCACGGCTTTCATCATGCTCGTGAAAACCATCACATTTGAAGTACTCA